CTAAAGTGGTCTTACTGTGCTCACGCATCTCCCCCTTTTCAGAGAATGTCTTTCTAAATTGTTAAACCAGGAGTTTCCTCCAGGCCTCTTTGGACTTTGTCAGTAAATGACTTAGCAACCGTCCTTTCAGGAGGCTTTGCAATTCACGGAATTCTAATAAAGAAACATTCTTGAAAGAGAACGTGAATCCCATACTGCTGCCTTCATTTGACAATAGAAAGCCCAGAGAATGCTGATTTATTTAAAGCTTTCTTCTTTTTTACAAGTGATTTCGTCATTAGCTCCCTAAATTTAAAGGAAAGATAGGGCATCCTGTAGCTTCACTTCAGTAAAATTTCACTGACTGCCACAGGGTGCTCATCAGATCATGGGGAGGATCTGTGAATACCAGCAAGTTAAAAAGCTCTCTTTACACAGATAGCGAACAGGAGAGAAAACGGTTGTCAACTTACGGCGCTCTTTAGCAATTCCTATCTGGAGAAAATTGCTTCTCTTCCCTTAGCAGTAAAATGCAGAGGTTACTGCATTATACATAAGGGTATAAAACTGAAAATTTCTCCATCAGGAACCACACATCAATAAGTCTTATGACCTCACTGCTGGTGCTATAATTGAGCTAAATTGTCTTAAACTGGGCAGTGTTCCTGAAGTTCTCTGAAGCATACTCACTGTTTCTTGGAGTGAAATTGAGGGCTGACCTCCATTTACAGGAACACAGAAGCAAGTCTCATAAATACTAATATTCTCTACCAAGTTCTTCAGAATAGGGCCATTTCGCCCAAGCCTGTAAATTTTCAATGCGTGATTTAACTAAACAGAAGAAAAGAAGGTCTTGGCTGGATGCTGCAGCTTCCCAATAGCCCAGCGTCCTCTCCATGCTACCGGTGTACTACTCAATAAAGAGTGTTAATTACCTTTTAATATCAATTCCTTAGAAGGCAGATATGTAGTAACTAGCGATTCCACACTGTACAAAGCAGTCCCCTTGTTCAGCAACTTCTTCTACACAGGAACCAACCAGAGCCTGCTGAAATGAAGTCTCGACTGTGGCATTAGCCACTAGTTCTAGGCAGAGAGGGGAGCTAGCTCCTGAGTCTCTGCCGGCACTCGTTTCTTTGCACCTTTCATCCCCAGTGGAGGACTGTCCAGGGTCTCAGCTCTGTGCTCCACAAGTGCAAACATGCATCAGAAACACAGGGGTAAGCCCGTTAGGGATGATGCCTGCAGACAGTCCTGGAGATTATGGAGAGCAATGACAGATGATGGCCCTAAGTGAATAATATAGAAATGGCTTAAAAAATAAATGCAAAGGCAGGGAATTGGAAGGCAGAGCGTAGTTGAAACCGAGTGGGCAGCCAGAAAGCCCTGTCCCCAGTGTGACTGCCCAAAGCGTGCCCAGCAGGCGGTGGGTAAGCGGCTGACTAACATCCAATTCTTAAATTCTCTTTGAAATATCAAAGATTATTTTACACTCGAAAACTATACTAGAATTCAAAACAGCATAGTGTTTGAGCCTGAAACAGTTCAGCCATTCTGCAGACCGTGGCACTACTATTAACAGAAGCTAAGAGTTTGAAGGACTTAAAATCCTCAGACCTGATTTCAAATTGGGCATTATTGTTTTGGTGGTGATTACCATGGTAGGCCTGGCATTCCTAGAAAGCCAAACTATTCTAGTAGCCAGTGGAATTTAAGGACACCCATGTTGGAATTTCAAAGTCACATCTTTGATAACTGCACAATCTCTTAGGAGTTGAAGGCTTAGCGTAGACTGGTGATGGCAAACCTTTCAGAGCTTTCATGATACAAACAGCTCCCTGCGACACATGGCCATAGGTTTGCCACTACTGGTGTAGACCTTCTGTTTTTCCATTTTCAAATAGCAGTGAGCTCCCATATATCCATGAAGAAAAGAGTTTCACTGAGTTTCGGGGGACAGCAGGCAGTGGTAAGAGGGTATAATGTGGTACACACTTGGTGTTTCAGACGTGATGGTAATTGGAGAAGTGGGACAGTACTCGGAAGACCTAGCTTCAAGTGTTGCTTCCCTCTGTGCTAGCTTTGTGACCTCAGATGTATCCCTAGCATTCTCTGGACCTTAGTTTCCTCCTCTGTAAAATAGTGATAATTAGATTGGAAGGGAAAGCCAAGTGAAATCAGGCCCCTTGAAAGAGCTCTGCAAGTGAGAGTGCTTATTGTTCCTCTCTTGGCTTGAGTTTTCTGCTTTAGCAAGCAGTGCTCTGTTGGCTCGGTCTGGTTCTCCTCGAATGCCCTGCACATGGGCCCAAAGAGCACGTGTGCCAGCTGCTCATTCCTCACGCTGGATCTGAGGAACCTTCCCAGCCCACCGCTTCTGATTCCTCTCTGCCTCTCCCTTCGTGGAAACGCTAATCCTCTCAAAGGAAACCACAGTGTCCTCTGTGGCCTGAACACACCAGAGGACACTGTGATTCCCTTTGGGAGCCTGAGGACTTTTCCAGCATCCCTGGGCTTGTGCCCTGTGGCCTGGAGTCAGCCTGCCACGTTGTTTCTGACTCTGCCCACAGCTTGCTCTAATGCTGTCCCTGCCCATCTGGGACGGGGTGTCAAACGCTGGCCTGCACTCACAAATGCGGTTCAGATTGGGCTTTTTAAAAACAACTGTTAGAGGCAAAGTCGAATTTGGATATGATCACTTAAAACAATTTTGAACAATAAGCTAGTGGTGCTTTGATTCCTGAATTTATCATTTGAAAGCATTTACCATCTCGATCAAAGAGAAATTCCTCTATAAATACATATGGCAAGAACTGTACCCAGTTGTTACGGTTTATATCAAGAATGATTCCCCGAAGGCCTCATATGCCCAGAGGCGGGGCTTTTGGAAGAGGAGTGGGCCATGGGGCGCTACAGCTGAGCTGCTCGGAGGCAGGGTCTGGCTTGGGAGGCAGCTTAGGTCGTGGGAGGTGTGACCCAGAAGGGTATAGTGCCTCTCTCCCTCCTCTCCCTGGTTCTTGGCGGCCACAACGTAAGCAGCTGTCCTCTGCCGTGTGTCTCTGCCGTGTGGTTTCTGCCCTGCCGCTGGCACACCGGGGACAGTAGCAGTTCTCCTCCTTGAACCTGTGGGGATCAAATTCTGTGTCTCAGCAATGAAGAAAGTGACTAAGACACCAGTGCAATTTTTAATCTTACAGCATTTATGCAACTTGCTGGTGCAGGTCTGTAAGCCTGTAGCACAGTGACTATCATTGATAATGTAGGTTAGCAAAATGATACCTGTTTCACTGCACCGAAAAGCTTTGCGATAAAGGTTAACCCAGCAGCAGTGAGTGTGAGGCCAAGGTCCGCCTTGTTCACTGGGCGTTCTGGTCACAAAAGGCTACGAGGGGCTCAGAGGTGTCATTGTCCCCTGGTCTCAGCGAGAAAGGAGCCAGCTATGGGGGAGGACTGAGGCGCCCAGAACAATAGGAAAGCAGAACACCAAAGGATTGCCTTTAGCTACCTATTTTGATTTCGCTTTGTCTGACAACTACAATTCCAGCCATGGGTTGAACAGTGACTTAGTTTCCCAGTGCTTCCTCGTACGTCTGTTCATTATAATCTTTAACAAATGTCACTGTCGAGATAAACACCAACGAAACGTGGAAAAAGTACAGGTCCTGGAAAAAGAGATCAAGCGTTCACTTGCTGACCTTCCTAAGAAAGCAGTTTCCCTTGCCCGTCCCCGCGGCCCAGCCAGGCCTTTACCACGAGAGCCAGATTTGGGCCCCTGGGGCAGTCATGGCAGAAGCTCGGGTGGCCCTGTTGAATGATGGTGCCTGGGTGCACCCAGTGCCTTTGGAAGTCATAGGCGGGTGCTGTTTATTAGACAGGGACGGGGTGTTCAGGTCTGTTGCAGGCGCTGGAGGGCCGGAGATGTCTCCTGGCACGGCAGAGCCTATGTTCCGAGTAGGAGAGGGAAGAGTGCGAACTCATGGCAACACTGGCAGGACGCAGTGACTATCTGAGAGCAGCCGACAGGAAGTGGTGAAAGACGAAGAGATTGCGCGGGGAGAGAGTACTTCTGGGGGCGGGGTGGCGAGGCGTTGGAAGAGGGAGTGAGACTTTAGATTGATACAGCGGTGGGAGGAGGAAGTTCAGGGCAAACTAACAGCATGTGCAGAGCCAGAAGCGTGGAAAGCTATGGCCTTTTCGTTCCATGTGCTTTAAACTGGCTACTTCCCCGGGTAGCAGCGATGCATCTGCCTGCCTGCCTGCCTGCCTCGTGGAGGATAGGGAAGGAAGCTCTTTTGTGTGGTGTGGGTTGCTGATTCCTTGCCATCAAGAACTATGTATTTCCCTTCCTTATTATTCTCCACGACTCCTGGGAGAGTTGTTTATACAGTGACTGAAGTGCTTATCTCATAGAAACTGTATTTGCTGTCCTTTTCAGTAATAATTTCCATGGTCCTTCATATGACCTTAACGTATTGTGCCTATACTTTTGCCGGCTGCCCAGATATCAGGACAACCCCACGCCCGCTGTATGGCCCACGCTTGCCGCTTGCCTGAAGCTCAGTCAGGTGTGACTCTGCTTGCTGGCGTGGGGCTGGGGGAGCGGGTTAGAGTGAGGAGAGGGGAGCCCAGAGGCGGAGGAGAAGCCGCCCAGGGCAGGGGCGGGGGACGTTGTAGAGATGAGCATGCAGAAACAAAGCAAAACAAAAACGCGGAGCCCTTGAGACTGTACAGAAGGTTAAATGATGCGGCATTATGGAGCGTGGTGAGAGGAAAAATAAACGTGGGAGGATTATCAAGATACTGAACCACACTCCAGGTATTTTCTTGATGTTGAAATTTAGAATTGACAGATGAAATACAAATATGTTTATTATATATCTTTTTCATGTTAAAATGAAGATGACACCAAAGTAACTGATTTTTTTCCCCCTCGGCCCTTGAACTCCTAGGGTTACACAGTGCCCTGTAGATGTCACAGCCATACATGGGGAAGGTCTGATTTCCCTTTTGCTTTCTCCCCACAGGAAATGCCAGAAATAGCCCACCGCCTTACGGGTTTCATCTCTCACCCGAAGAAATGAGGAGACAGCGGCTTTACAGATTTGATGGCCAGTGAGGTGGCACGGCTTCTTCGGAGGACACGGTCCAGTTGTGTCCCTGTTGCCCACGTGGCTCTCTCCCCAAACCTCTAACTAGTTTTAAACAAAAGCAGAGTACACAGTTATCATCCCATATTGCTCACGTCTGCGATGGAGCCTCACCCTGTGGCCCATGCGAGCCCAGGCTCATGCACCAGATTGAATGTCAGAAGCCAGGTTTGTTGAAAGCAGCTCTGAAAGCCAGGAGTAGCCAATCTCCTGGCCTTATTCTCTGTCCCAAACAGAAGGTACCTTCCTCGGTGTCGGGACCAGTTTCCACGCTCCTTTACCTCCCTCCTCCTCAGGGTGTCCTCACCTTGTTTTGATTTTGAAGACAGAGACTTTCACCGGGAGGTTTTGTTTTCAGCAGTTTGGAAGATCAGACCCTCATCCAGCCCAGAGCACTGGATGCCTGACTTGGCAGGAGGTGAGCCCTGTCCGCTCGTCTGCCTGGCACGATGCTGTGGTGCCCATCCAGGAAGGCACTGTGGCTGCCTTCCCAGCGTGCTGTTCTGTTTCCCTTCACCCAGGCACCTCGGCTCGTTACAGTGTCCTGCTTTGCTCTCACTGCAGAAGCATAAGAAAGACCCAAGGTGGGGAAAAGGCCAGCATATCCATGAGACAGCAGGCCACACCAGCAGGAACCACCCCTCCAGAGGCAGTAAGAGTACCTGAGAGGTGGGCGTGTCATGTAATCAGCAGAGCAGCAGCACGCGCCACATGCAGAGGGGAGCAAAGACACTCAGTGGACTGGTCACTAGAAATCCTTCTCGCAAGAAGTATTCCTCTTCCTCATAAAAGTGCCTTTTAACTGGCCGCTGTAACAGCTGTTTGTCCTGCACAAGTGTCCAAAACGTGCCCCAGGGCCCTGCGGTATCACCGTACACAGACTGTCTGCCCAAGCCATCCGAGGCATTTCCTGGTGCTTGTGTTTCATGAATAAAAGGACAAAGCCAGAACATCACTAATATCTTACTGTTGTGGAGATAGTTCTTTTTAAAGAGACAAAGAAGAAAATGGTCTCCTCCTTTTGACTGATCTGTCCCTTATGTACAGCTTTGCAGTTGTGAGTGAGGGGTGTACCATCTGTGTTTATGGCGCAGACGTCTGGAATGAAGTACCCCAATGTTAACAGAGGCTGCCTTTGGGGGCAGAGCACATGGGGTTTTTGTGTTCTCTTATTTATAATTTTATGTGGTATTCTTTAAAAATGTCTGTATGTGAATATATTACATCTGAAGTCAGGAAAACAGATTTATATAATCAAGAAATAACCAGTGAAAACAGATTTAATAAGTATTATATATCCATTGAGAAAATTCACACTATAAACAGAAATACATACAAAATTTTAAAATTACCTGTATTTCTACCAGTTAAAGGTGCCCAGTTTGGAGGACCTGCCTTCGCAATTTTTCTTGCATACATTTGATACATTGGAAGTGTAATGACTGTGCAGGTATGTGTCCACCTCCTAATCTGAACTTCCCTGGGAAAGGCTTTGACACTTTCTTATAAATAAGCTAAGAAACCCAGTAAAGCCAGGGATACCCTGACCTCCCGCTGCCACAGTGATCCCTGAGCTCCTTGGTTTCATTTATAATTGGTGCAAAGCCAGGTTCTTACTAATATGAATTGTACTTGTGAGTCTGCTAGCTTTAAACATACTTAAATTGAAGTGTTCAAGCCCAAACCATTCCTTTCTCCTAAACTGTAAATTTGACTTTCATTTCCGCATTTAGAGTCTACCACTTTCTTCCACGCCATCTTTCCATAGCACATGCAAATTCTAATATATATTGTCATTATTATTATTATTATTATTATTACCATTAATGCATAACTACACTAAGAAGTGCCATCTACATGGGAGCGTGGAGCATGGGTCCCCCTCATTTATCGCCTCATACTCCTCCCCCTTCCCTGGCTACCACCTAAAGACTTGTGATCGGGACTCACTAAACATTAGTTTTCCACTAGTGTTTTTTCATTTGCATTAAAAGTCAAATCACGTATACATAGAAGTTTGTTGTTTTGTTTGTTTGTTTGAGTCCCATCATAGTCCCTCCTTATGCTGCGCGACCGGACACGAAGTGGAATCAGATTTTGAAGGCTACCGCTGTAACGCACGCATGCCTTATCAGGGAGTTGAGTATCGCCGCACACTGAGACATGTAAAAAGGGTCATTTTAGCTATAAATATAAATCAGTTATTTTTACACAACAATAAAGATGTTCTAGAAATTCTTAAAATTATTTTGTCAGTTACTGGGCTCGCCTGTAACCGGTGCTCATTGTCTTCGGTGTCCTTTCACCCCCCACAACAAGAAACCCGCAAAGTGTGCCAGCAAACGGGAATTGAGTTGAAAACAGACAAAAGCGAGTGCATCCGACTGATTACCTCTAACGGAGTAAGCGCGGAGAGCTGGTTTTCAGTGTGGTTCCCCTGTGTAACAGTCACACCCTGATTGTTACGCACCCAGTTCGCACAGTTCGGTGTGGTCAGTCACCTGAAGAATTTCTTAATTCCGAATCTCTCCAGATTCTCAGAGGCAGGAGTAGTTGCAGTTGCGTCCTCTCACTGACTCCGAATGTACTGCTCCTGGTTCCCAGTGGTATTTAATGATGTTCAAACCTCCTCCATCTTTTTAAATGACCGCTTGTAAAGCAGTAAATAAGTAGGTCTAGCAGTGTTGGGGCAGTCTGGGCGTTTGGCAAATGTTCTGCTGCCTGAGGAGCGAGTTTCAGGAGTGAGGTGACTCCCACAGCGGCCCCTAAGATAGGGAAGAGAAGGGTGGCAGCATGGCCTAGATTCTCTGAAGAGACTCGGTATTCAGTAAAGAAATGTATTCCGGCTGAGTGTGGTGCCCCAGGGCTGTCATCCCAGGTACATAAGAGGCTGAGGCAGGAGGATCCCAAGTTCAAGGATAGCTTGAGCAGCTCAGTGAGACACTATCTCAAAAAATAAAGGGTCGTGAATACAGCTCAGTGGGAGAAGACTTGCCTGTCATTTGCAAAGCCTTGGATTCGATCTCCGATACCAAAAAGTCATTTAAAAAGAATCACTTCTTCCTTTCTCTTCCCATGGTCATTTCCTAGTTTTCTGTCTTTCCCTCCCATTGTAGAATCACAGACTCTCAGAAGTACTTTTAAGTCTCTGTTCTGCTCAATACTTAAAATACTCTTCACTCGGTTCTACATCGCGTTGCCAGCTTGGCATCCAAAACCCTTTGGCAGTGCCACTCATCATTTCAAATACCTTTGACTGTCCGTTGCCAAAGGATGAAGGTCAGAGGCATTAGCATCCGCAGTGGGGCTCCCACGGCCTTTGGTCCTCTCCGCGTGTGTCCTCGGCAGAGCCTGCCCTCCGGTGCCGCTGCCTGGCTGGGAGTGCCTTTCCATGTGCCCGCCTGGTACCTGCAGCAGCCCTTTTCTCTCTTGGCCTGACCACGCCCCCTCCTCATGCCCAGGCTGAGACCTTCCTCTGGCACCACAGCCCTGACTGAGCTTGCATCATCAGACCTTCTGCGCCCCTGGGGTCTGCATCCCATGGTTTGCACGCGCCACTAACTCGTGTGGCTGGTTCTCATGTAATAAGAGAATGTCTTCCTCTTTCGGTTGTATGTTTCACCAGGGACCGTGGCCGTGTTTCTCTCCCTCCTGACGGTACCTTGAACAGTGCTTTGTGTGGAGTATCAGAACCAGTGAATACTTGGGGGCTGAAGTACAGAGAAGCTCGCTTCACCGTCGCCAGTGGCGCAGCAAAGTGGTTCTCACTGTCACTGCGCAGAAGTAAATCGACACCACGCATTGTGTGTGCCGTAAAGCAGACTGTTCGGGGACCAAAAGAACCTTTTACTACTCTTTTTAAAGTGTTTCCTATTTTTTCCAAACAGATAAAAGTAATTACTGGTTGGGAATTTCATCTTTGGCCAGTAAAAGCATAAACACTTAGTATGCAGTCATGGAGGCTGCAAGAAGGACGCTTCTGGCCCGTGGGAGAATGAGAAGGTTGGCTGGTGGTACAGTGACGGAGCCTTCAAGTCCGGGTGGGCTTGAAGATGGGCCTCCACACTGCTCCTGCTCCGCCTCAGAGCATTTCCCCTGGATGGTGCCCTTGGGTACCCAGGGGCAGAGGCCTAGCAGGGCAGCCCAGAACATGAGACAGTTATTGAATGTCTGCATACCCACCAATGCAGAACACATAAATAACAGTGTCTTACATTTTAGGTCTCTGTAGTTGACTTTTGCACCTTTAATCATTCCACATGACCCCATGAAACGCATGGTGTCTGAGCTGTGCACTTTCTGGTAGCGAATGCAGCCCTTGTGACCTGAGGCCTGGTTTTTTCTCCCACCCGCCATCACTGTCTGCAGAGCTGAGCTTCCGGAGCTCAGAATTCCGTCCTTCCCAGCCTATACTCTTCCCTTCTGCAATTCCTTCTGCAGGTCCACACGGAACAGTCCTTATTTTTCCTAAGGCAGCGCCAGGTATAGGCCACGTGACAAGTAGATTTAAAAAAGTAATCCACTTTGGCACAAAAGAAAATAAAACGCTTAGGGCTGGGGATTTAGCTCAGCAGCAAAGCACCTGCCTGGCAAGCGCAAGGTCATGAGTTCGATTCCTGGTACCGGAAGAAACAAACAAACAAAAAAATCAAACAGAAAATGAAACGCTTGTTTTGGGGAAGTCATCATCAAACTTTACATATAATGAACCATATTATAAATCATAATACACCAAAAGTTTAAGGGTCAGTGGGAAAGCAAGCAACTTGCCAAAGTTATATGTTCAAAGTCTTTTAACTTTACAACTATAGGTTAGAGAAAGGGATGCAGTTTATTGGACATGTGTCACAGTTTTCCCATGAAGGAATCATTAAATATCTAAGCACCATAAATTCAAGCATTTCACATGGATGCAGCAGCCAGCTTTGGTGGTTTAAAATGCATTATGCAGAGTCTCTGGCAGATAATAACAGTGACAATTGTGGAGTACTGATTTTTAATATCAGTTGTTTGTTCCCTGCAGAATTTACTGATAATTTCCCTGCAGGATATTGTGCTATTTTTTGTGGTATAGTAACTTTGAGAAATTAAATAAAACGGCATTCCCAAAGACATTACGGAAAAAAAAAAAAGACATTATGAATTGACCAGTTGTAATTCTAATCAGTAATATATGTATATATAAATAACTGATTAGTGCATATATATGTGTATATATATATATGTATATATATATATATATATATATATGCCCTGTGGGAATCGTAATTCTGTGTACAGAAAGCCCAAGAGATATTTTTCATATTAAATAATTTATTTTAAATATAAGATATGACCATAATCAATTCTTGATGCCTATTATGTGTTAGACAGATAATCTAACTTTAATTTTCAACACAAGAGTAGTGCTTTATAAATGAGGGGAGCTCAGCAAGTTGGCGGAACTCATCCAGGGTAACACAGCTGGAAAGTGATCGAACCAGTAAATCTGGCTTCAACCAACTGAAATCCTCATTTTCTACCACTTCACAGCCATACCAAGGTTACAATTATCACATTGTCCCAGTGAGCTGATGTAACATTAATACAACTCCTGAAACAGAGAAAGGTTTGCTTTATGATAATCTAAAAGAAGCTCAAAATAAGATCTTTAATAAGATCCAATTTTCATGGACCATTCTATTGACTACTTCTCAAAGCACCAGTAACACACGTACAGACTTTGTAGAGGCAGTTTTGTACTCACAGGCTCTTAAATCCTGAAACAGTGTAGATTATATGAGTTGTCAGGCTGCCTTTCAATGAAGAGTTTTCTCTCAGCCAAATCTCTCAACTCTCATTTCTGAAATTTCAGTTTCTAGAAAAATAATCTATTTTGGAGGTGGGGGAGCTGGGCTTATTGATTGGCTTCGTAACAGGAGATAGTGGGGGTGCAGGTATGCTGAGCATGCTGACGTGCTGAAGTAAGGAATGGGGTCTCCTAGACAACATCTTCCCAATGAAGACCTTATGTAGAGTTTAATGTGTAATGCCTAGTGAAGCAGTGGAACTGTCACTGGATAAAAGAATTGCGTGTTAATATCATGTCCAGCTCTGTCTAGCACTGGGCATATATGGATGAATAAACCATGGTCCCTGCCCTCAAGGGGCTTTCGTTTTAGCCAGGGAATGAAAGAAGTGTGCTGAGCCATTCGAGAAATAATGGGGAATGAGAGAGAGCCCCATTAATTGTACTGGGAGCAGCAGAAGGGAGTCCAAGTCTCCTCAAGGGGATTCACATACTTGCACGCCACTAATTCAGTGTAAAGATAAGTAACGGTCTGTCCAGTCAAGGGACCTGAGGGAGGACGTCCCTGGGAAAAAGAGGAGCAAAGGCGCAGAGGTACTGCGAGCATTTGCAGAGCTCACTCAGTCACGGTGGCCGGAGATGCTCCCAGACATAAGCCATGGCCATCACGGTGACCGCACCGCACGTGAAGTCTTCTGGTTTGAATGGAACGTACGTGACAGCTGGAATTTAAAACTGGAGGAACCCTTTAGGAGACACCTACTGCAGGAGGATAGGTGAAGAGGCGACGTCAGCTATACTAGATACAAGGAGGCTGAAAGGAGGTAGCGTTCCACAAGAAGCACTGACTCAAGGCTCAGTCCGGTGGGTGGGAGAGCACAGCTTGGAGGCACCCTGGATGGATCGGGCTCCACCACCACAAATGACCATCCAGGAGTTAACGTGCCAGTCTCCATCATGGGCCTCAGAGACACCCCAGCTCGGCAATCTAGGTGCATTCGACCCAAGAAGAGGGAGAGTTCCTTGGGAAATTTGACGGGGTTGTCACTAGCAATGGATTAGGCAAACAACTGCAAAGCCTTGTTCCTGGCCTTCGTAGAGCACATGTATTTTAAAGCACGTTGCTATATAGCCAAGAGAAGAAAGTTATGCCAGGAAGTTATTTTTTCTATCGTGGTCCCGCTTTGACCCTTTAAAATACTTTTTCAAAGCTAAAGGGCAGTGTTCAAACCTTATTTAGAGAGGACTCCTGTGCTGCTAGCATTTTCAACTGCTTCATACTCACTGTTCTGGATTCACCGCGAATTAAATTTCCACTTAATTCAGCCTGTTTGTAAAGCTTATTAAGATAACATTCTAATAGCAGGGTAAACTCAAATAAGTGAGCAAGGAAGATGCATTTCTGATATTCCATTGATCATCTTTATCTCTTCCAGAGAACGTTCTCACACTGTATTCATGATAGACTTTTAGGAGGCTTGAGTTTTGATACCAGACAAAGATTTTAGGAATAGAAGACTAATTACAAGTAAGGGAGAAACTGGGTTAAATTTCAGGCACTCAAAAATATACCAATAGGATGGCCTAAAAAACTCAAATAGGTCAGTGAACTAGGAAATATTCTGCTACATCAAGAAAACAGCTCATCTTACTCATACGTTTTTTATGCGAAAATACTCTTAAAATAAATGGCCTTGAGCGACTCATTTGAAATGTGTGCTGCAGAGAGAAGACCTCATTAGTAATTAAAGTTGAACAAGAAAAACATTTCTTATACACAAAATTTTAATTGAGTTTCTCTCAATTATTTTTAAGTGCACTAAAACTGAGCGCTGAAATGAATGTCATTTTCATGAGTAGTTTCTTTGCTTTCCTCTCAGATGATATTTTCTGTAAAGGAGGAAGGCGAATTTCCTAAAACGATTCTTTCGATTGTAAGATTAGATCACTAGAGTCTTGGCAAAACAGAAAACGTCTTTAACGATTCAAAAAGTGTGCTCATTATAAGTTGACATAGCTTCTAGAGTTTTATGGAAACAGCTAATGCCAAATGTCAGCTGTGGCCCTGGTTCAGTGCTGCCGTGAAATAGTTTTTTTTTTTTAATTGTCAAAACATGATGCTCCTGTGTAAACTCATCAGAGGAACATAAAATTCAAGCTGTGGATTGTTCCCGTATGTTCTTAAAGATAGTCCCAGGCCTTCCTTGTGGCGGGGGAGATGACCCTGACTCAAATAAATCTTCTTACCTAAGTTTAATTAAGCCGGCCCTTAACTTCCTGTAAGTGCACATGATAGCTCTCACTTCCCGCTGTGGTCTGCTGGTGTGTATGTGCAGGAAAAGCGTCCACTGTAAGCTGCAAGGAAGCCCCACAGCTCCGTGGGTCCTCCTGGGGAGGGGGTCGAGGGAGCCCCAGGTGGCTTCAGTCCCATTAGCTCCAAGGACATGCCAGTCCCCGGGAAAAGCGATCTGTTTGGAAGTTCACTGCCATGGAGGGTCAATTTCTGTGAATCACTACCTTAATATTCATTAATAGCTTTCAGGTTCCTAATCCCTTATTGAATATATTTTCTTCCATAATTGCTGCTTTTCAAAAAGGGTTGCCCAAGTAGACATTTCTATTCTCTGAAAAATGCAGCAGGGAACATAATGTTTTATATTCCTCTGTGATATGCTTATGCTAATGTCGCCTCTCTGGAATACAGCAGCGGTGGGCTTCTCTGGCGTAATGATTCATTCTGCTTTGAAATGAACTGTTAATGCTGGCTGCGTGGGGTTTTTTTTTTTTCTTTCTTTAATCTCTTTGGGTCACAGTTTTACAATTGTTTAAAGTGCATGAAAAAAATAGATTACAGAGGAAAGCATTTTGAAATGTTGAAAATCTCTCCTTGCTACTTTCATTTGTTGGCCTATTTATTTTTTCCTATAAAAAGCTGTCCAGAACCCCACTGTACTGTAAAGTAATTGACTTCAATTGTTTGAGATGCTATTAGCCAATGAATGAAGTTTCCCGTAATGTAATTTGTAATCTGGCCTGTTTCATCTACGTGCTTTCCTGAGAATTAACATGTTTTCAAATAAAGCCTATTTTTTCCTTCATCCTCAATAACATAAGGGTATGTGGCTTTCATCGAGATTGGGGGTCAAAACAAATCCACACATGTAAGCATTTGCTTAATCAGTAGAGGACAGAGGGAGGAAGTAGAGGCCTATGGGAATAAAGACTGAGAACCAGACGGCTGTGAGTCTGGTCTGAGACGAGCACCGCTGAATTTCTTAGCACAGCCTAGGAGCCTTGGCTCCCTGGGAAGTCTCTCTTCACACAAGGTGGCGAATTTCACAGTCTCTAGCTATACTTCAGGCAGACCTGGCACCTGCTGATTTTCTGGCGCTGGGCGTGGCCATCTTTTAAGATGTCCGGTGATGGCCCAGAGGAAAACTGCAAGTCTGGTTGCACCGTGGTCAGCCAGAAGCTGTACTCATTCGCAAAAAAGTGACAGGTTCCCTGCCGGCCTTGGCATTCCAGGAACGGCGCCGCTCGGAAGTCTTGGAGGCAGCTGCCCGGTGACGTCAGGGCCTGCCCTCCTCCTTGGGCCCCAGCTCCTGTGTGCTACCCAGACAACAGAAAAGAGTTAGGGCTCAGACACATGCAGACAGCCCAGGTCGAGGCCCGCTTTTAACATTTTTCCTTGAACGATGCCGCCATCAAGACCAAAACACAATCAGCAGAGAAGGAATAGGCGCCAACTGTGCCGATAGCTGAGGCAAAGTCCTCCTGTAAATTCTACCCAAGTGCTAAAAGAAATTGACAGTAAAAAATAACAGCGGCCCAGGTTTCAACAGACTGGTTTGCAGTGGTTTCCGTGACCCCATGCACAGAGCACCCGTAATTGCGGCCCAGTACACACGGAAACAGGAAGCGCAGGTGCTCGGGAAGAGCGGGTGCAGCATTCAAGCGCAGGGCACTCACCATCAGGAACGAGTACCCAATCCAGAGGCTCCTCCAGGTCGTGGGACACGGAGGGATGGACCGGTCCTGGCTGTGCACCGCCACCGCCTGCGCTGGGGCCTCGCACACGGCACAGCGGCTGACGTAGGGCCGGATCTCCTCCTCCGACAGCGGCATCATGGGGAGAGGCGCCGCGCTGGCCAGCCAGTAGGACCTGTCGTTCCTCCGGGCATAGTGGCACACTTGGTGGATGTTGCAGTAGGCAAAGGGCAGCGTGCTGAACACAGGAAGGCAAGACCCTGCCAGACCTCAAGGGAAGAGGAGAGGGGTGGGTGAGCAGCCCTTCCCACACGTGGCGAAAACACACACCTGCCCTGGCCGGTAGTGGCCCACGCCAAAGGTGCCGCCTCAGTCCTGCGGGCCCAGCCCTTATGCATTCATCCCTCCCTCAGGAGCTCCAGGGCTCGCAGAACAGCAGCGACGCATCCGTCCTCGTGGAACTCAGGATCCGGGACAGACCGGGGTGCGCAGACATGAAAATCCAGCCAGCAAGCCTCAGAACGAGAAGCAGGGGTTCCTGGACCTCCCGCAGCCTGGCTGGGAGGGCTGCTTTACCTGAGATGCAGATACACAAAGGATGGAGCCAGCTGTGGTGCTGACTATTCCAAGAAGGTGCAGCCTCCACGGAGCGGCGGAGGCACAGAGCACGGGCTCGGGGAGCTCAAAGCCCAGTGCCGGCCTGGTCTGTGTGTCTGCTCAGCTCAGATATGTCAGGCCAGAGGCTGTGGGCCTTGGCAGTCTTGCTAAGGGGCTCGGATTCTGCAGGCCTCTGGGATGGGCTCCGGTTAGACCAGGGCGGAAGCAAGACTGGTGGTACAGAGGCCAGGCAGGAAAGGGACTGATGCTATCGGCCAGTGCCCAGAAGGCAGGGCAGGAGAGAAGCAGACAGCTCTGAGATGTCCACCTGGCCCTCGTCCTTTCCCCCGTGCTCAAAGTGGGTCCCTGCGATGGCAAACAAACACGGCTCTGCCCAGGCGAAAAATAAAGGTGGTGATGGAAGCAGCTGCCAGTCCCAGGCCTGTACCTGCGCGCCCCTTACTAGCCGCTGGGCCGAAGCCCCACGAGTGTGTGTAAGACTCGCCATCAAACTTTGCGGTGTCCTCCCTGGTCCCTCCTCACCCCCACCACTGTCTAGGAAAGACGGAGTTTGCCAGCACCCAGACACTTAGATCCCTGCCTTGAAGCTGCTCCATGCGGCTCACGAATCTACTATTGAAAGTGGACGGGGAAGTCGGGCATAGTGGTGCACACCCGCAGTCTCAGCTCTCTGAGGCAAGAGGATCGCAAGCGCCAGCCCAGCCTGGGAAATTGAGCGATTTGCGACATTCTCAAAACATTTTAAATAAATAAATACGGCTGGGGATGTAGCCCAGTGCAAAGGTTCTGAACTCAATCCCCAGTACTGCAAAAAGAAAAAGGAAGAAAGGAAGAAGTAAACGAGGAACACCCAGAGTGATCCTCAAAACAAAGTCATATATGTTTAAAACATATATGTTAAAAAAACACATATATGTTAAAAACACAGGCAGGGTGTTCATGCTGGCAGAGGCCTCCGCAGAACCATCAGGAGCTCCATGCCCCGCTTTAAACACAAACTCAGGAACCCACTACATCCCATGAAATTTACATGTGGAAGTGAAAACTGCATTTTATAGAGTTAGAAGAAACCTATCCAGGAAGGGGTTTTGTTTTGTTTTGTTTTGTTTTGTTTTTGTACTTGGGCCTTCACTCTGATCTGCATTTCCAGTCCTTTTTTTATGTTTTCAGACACGGTCTCAACTAAGTGGCTAAGTTGCTTAGCCTGGACTTGAATTTGTGATCCTCCTGCTTCAGCCTCCCAGAGTACTGGGGTTACAGGCACCACAGAAGAATCCTTTTTTAAGAGCAAACAATAACTGATTGCTACTTGTATATATAAAGATAATGTCTAGTGCATGATAAATATTTACACTAATGGTTGATTTGATTGTGTTATTATTGTATAGATAAAGAGTTATGAGCTGGACTTCCTCTTAAGATTTATTTCAGAAAAGCACTTGACATAAAATTTTATAAGGATAAAAGCAAGCAATACGAAGCCAGATAATAACCATATCCAGAATGAGATTCTTTGGCACTGCATAGGTCATAGATTTAATACACTTAGTTGAAAATTAGCATAACTAAAGTAATATCAATGCCAGAAAGATCGTTGATCATTTAAGAAACTGATGGGTCTGCACACTTAACACAAGGCTGACTCCCCATGCACTACGTGGGTGGGGCCGCGCGGTGGGTCCCTACCGAGGTCTTGGTTGTGCGCTTTCTCCTGCCCTTCCACGTAGAGCAGGCTGTACCCACTCCAGAGCCGGGGCATCCCCGCAGGGCAGGCGGGTTCCTCATCCGTTTGGCTGTGGACCACTAGCAGGAAGCCGCTGAGGTAGCCAAGCCCACGCCCTTTGGGGCCAGGATCGCCAGTTGGACCAGGAGGGCCTGGAGGAATAAAGAAAGAAGCACCCCGCTGGGGGAGTTCCGTCCAACAGCCATTCCCTGCACCTCTGTCCGGGCTGCACGAAGCACTGAGAGAACAGAGGAGCAGGATGCAGCCCTTCCCAGGACAATGAACACGAAGACGTCCGCCCCTTAGTCCCTAAACAACACAGCGTAACAAACATTTACAGAGCACTTACAGTAGGTGCTATTAGTAGCCCAGAGGTCATTTAATGCACATGGGAAGGTGTGCATAGGTTGTATGTAAATTCTGTGCCCTTTTCCAGAAGGGACTTGAGCACCCTGGGATTGTGAAAAGTTGTACCTCTCCCTTTGCCCACTCTAATTTTTCCTGAAGAGCCCAGTATTCTAGATACACATGTATTGTTGGCTTTATGATGAGATGAAGTAAATTCAGAAAACTGGAAGCCCAGCGCTTCAGCCAGAGGCAGAGGGTGAAAGCCACCCCCAAGACCCTCAGCACAGCCTCTCGAGGATGGCCACATCTCAAACCAGGCTGCAGGACCCTTCAAGGAAGACCTTGAAAGGTGAACAACAGCCGAGCTTGTCGCAATATTGTGGAGCGATTTGGGAGAACACCAAGACACAGGAGCTGGACAAGTTTTATGATGGTTTAGCATCCATGAGAACATGGGAGACGCATCTCTCTCTCTCTTCTGGTGTTTTGGTCTCCCTGATACCCTCTGAGTGGTACCGAAGGCAGATGCTTTTAGCAGCAGCAGGTTTGCAAAGCTGCTTCACCGGGCAGAGTCTTGGTCTCCAGTGCCTGGTCTGCAGGGCAAAAGGAAGAGAAACAGAAGCTCTTTCTTTACCTGGTGCTCCAGGGAAGCCGGCCTCTCCACTGTCGCCTTTGTGTCCAGGAGGCCCCGGTGACCCAGGGACGCCATCCTCGCCCCTCCTGCCATCGGGCCCAGGCTCTCCTTTGCACCCTGCACAAAAGTTCACAACAGTGGTCGTGAAAACAGCGTGGCTCCTGCCCGCGGCGACGCATGCGCACGCCTGCCAGCCTGGGCTTCCTTCCTCTTTCCTGCGCTGCTCATTGAGTCTTCCTGGCTGCAGGACGCTGGGGTTATACCCTCTGCACTTGGCCGCACGGGGGTCACTGAGGTTCTGAAAGGTCAGGTAACCTGACCTGATTAACTCCACGAGACAGGAAAGGGATCAGCCAGATGGAAAGCCACAGACTGAGGAGGCACCGAGGCAGAGGTTGTTCCATTTTCTTCATATTATTGTTTTTTGCCTTTAAAACTATTAATCCATATTAGTAAAATATTATCCTTCATAATTTTTTTTTAAAGCCTAGATGGAACAATGAATGGAAATGAATAGGATTCAGCTGGGGGTCAAGTTTGGAGTCAGACAAGAACAGGATTTTTTGAAAATAGCTTTTCCTTAAGCATCCATCATGCGCTAGGTACCAGGTCCCCCAGCATCTGTCTCAACAGGACTGGGCTGGGGCCGGAAGTCTGCATCTCCAAAACCTCCCTGCCGAGCTGATGCTGCTGGTATCACGGCCCCCACTTGGAGAAGCACTGTTGTAGTTAATGGGTTAAGATTTGAACTCTTTTGGTAATATACTTGCTATATTTTGAAAATCATATTTCTGCCTATTTTCTCCTTTGGGGGTTGTTTTTAAGTTGTTTTCTTTTTCACATATCTATTTCTTTAAATAGAAATTCTACTCCAGGAATAGACCTGAAGGAAACAATAACAACAGCCAACAGATTTACTGTTTATTCTGTCAAGCGGTGTTCTGAGTGCTTTTTGTGAGAGTGAACTTGCACAGTTCTCAGTCTTCCACAGATAAGGAAAGTGAGTCACAGAAAGGCTCAGAGTAGTCTAGTTTGAGAATCTCCATTTGTAAGTATAACACGCTTTCATAATCAGGATGCTTAGAGTTAGGAAGGTATTATCTGGTCACTTATCGCAATCCATTTGAAGTAGAAACACCTTAAATCAGAGCTGTTCCTTTAAGTCATTCCCGGGCCTGCGGCAACATGATCAAAATAAGGGATCTCAGAGCCCTCTCCACTCCTAAGGAGCCCGAGCCTAGAGCGGGGCCCAGCAATCTGTATTTAACAAGCTTTCTGGGAAACGCGGATGCTGCAGATAGCTTGAGGACCCAGCCTTCAAAGTCACTTGCAATTCTGGCTCCCTCCTTTCAGATTCTGTTTGCACACGACCCCGTGCTAATTCTCAACACATCTGTCCTGACTTGGTCCTTGCCTTCATTTTCCCCGAGCCTGTTGCTCCAAAGGGCAGGGCCTTGTTAGATTAATTTATTTCTTACAGAGCAGCTAGCTCCAAAGCAATCAATAAATAATTCATGGATGTGAGTCAATGATTTATGGCTCATCAAATAATGCAGTGCTCTGCAGCCAGGACAGATAATAACGGAGGAAAATATGTAATGACAGAGAAGAAGTGGCATGTTTCGCAGAGCAGTGTACAAAAGACTGTGCCTAAGATTTTTTTTATTTTCAAGAGAATATAAAAAAATAACAAAATAATGACTTAGACAAAAACAATAAAAATGATACAGGGTTTCAAAACAAAATGATAGGAATTACAGAGGTTGTTGTATTACATATTGTTATCTTCAGCAAAGTTGCTCAGATTGCCAGATGTAAGAATTCAAGATTGATCAAACCATTACAGAAAGTAAAAAATAATAATAATAAAAGGCATTAGAAACGATACAGAGCTTCACTAAACAAGATGGCAGGAATTCACCAATGGCTGTTATATTGCATGTTGTGGTCTTCAGATTACTTGCTCAGAGTACCATATGTAAGCATGCAAAATTGGACAGTTCATGCTTAAAAATTTTTTCGGCCTAAGACCTTTTTAAGGACATGTGCAGAAGTAAGACGAAAGATATATAGGCAAGGCAATAGTACCCTTTAAAAATGTCTTTGCTTTGCTTTTTGTCTTTACTTATAGAATAAGGGTTTGTTTTCCCTTTACCAAATAACCGTCCCCAGGCTCATGCACGTCCCACCTGCCTCCGTACTTCTCCCTACACAAACAGTTCTCGACAGTGGGCGGCTCTGCCCACCCGAGGACATTTGGCAATGTCTGGACACATTTGTGCTTGTCACATGGGGGGGCGCTAATACCTGCGTGTAGAGGGCTATCAGCCTGGGGTGCTGCTAGACACCCTACAACACACAGGACAGCCCTCCAGGAGAGTGGGGTGTCTGGCCGCAAATGGCAACAGTTCTAGGTTGAGAAACCCTGCCCCACACTGCAGCTTACACCCAAGGAGCACGTGCTCATTCCCTGAATACTCATTTCACACCTCCTGTGACACAGGCCCGTGCAGGGACCCAACACGGAGTACGAGAAATCCTGCCTTCAAGCTGCTATGGCCTCTAGAGCAGTGCGCGGCCAATCACAGCCTGGGAGCCGCCCTGACAGGTCTGCGGCCACGGTTCTGCTGGCCACGCCTACCCACTGACGGATCGCCTGCATTGTTTTCATGCTGCAGCAGAGGGGCTGAGCAGTCACAACAGGACCACTGGCTCCAAAGGCTGCAATGTGTACTACCCGGACTTTACATCAGATCCCCGGGCCTGGGCCGGGAGGATGCACAAAATAAACACGGAAGAGGGGGGCCAAAGATAGTCATGGTGTGAGGGCAGCGGTACAGTAGGGCCAAAGGGTCCCCGGGGAATCTAGGCCGTGAAGTAATTCAGCCCACGGGTGAGACCCTGGGGGAGGACGACGCTTCACCTAGAGGACTGAGCAAGCTTTGTTTGGTCATAATCACATTCTGCAGAAGAGGTGTGCTCGGCACGTCCCCATGGCCCACCGGCAGGGTCAGTGGCTCCAATGAGAGGGCACAAGGAGCCAGAGAAGGCGCCTATGGCCACCAGCAGTACAGGCCATTGCACCTGGTGGACGTAGTGAGCACACCCTCTTCCAGAAGCTCACATCCTGCAGAGGGAGAATCTCACGTGGAGGCAAGATCACAGTCAAAGTGCACAGAATTTACCCCTGGATATTTTTTCTTAGCTACTTTGGTTGTTTTTTAAACAGCCAAGATGGCTGGACCCCACCGTCACTGGGTCTCAGTTTTGATGTGGGGTAAAGCAGTGGGCCTGGACTCTGGCTGCGCCTATGGTCATCTGCGTGGCTTTTCAAAATGCTGGTACTCAGGCACCAGCTCCCTCTGTGCCCAGCTGTTCTGGCATGAGGCCCTGGACAGCGTTCATATAATACAGCTAGGGTTTCTCAGACAAATATGTATACAGATATCACCGAGATCTTGTTAAAATTCAGACCATAATTCAGTACTCTGGGAGTAAGGGTGACTGGCATCTGGTCCTCAAGAAGCAAGGATGTAGCTGCAAACTAGCTAATGGGTTGTTAGGCCAACCTGTGCCACCTCTTCTTTTCCTGCCTCCCCCCAGGACAACTCTGGCTCCTCAAAGCCCAACCATTCCTTAAAGCTCTGCTCAAAGGCCAGCTCTGGCTGGGGTCTTAGCAGCTCAGCAATCCTCCACGTGGATGTAACACATGTGGAGAAGTATCCTAATACCTTTGGCTTGGAAACCCTTTAAAGCACGAATTACAATCTACCATCATTTATATTCTGGTGGGCACTTCCGCCATGAGATTGTAAGACCCTAGAAGAGGGAAACACATCTTAGTCATCTCTGTATTGCCCATAGCAGTACAGTCCTTTCGAAGAGTAGAGAGAATCTGGAAGTACTTACTGAATTGAATTTGCACACTCCTATTACAGGTCACACCTATTCAAGAGGTTTTTTTTTAATTGGTGCGCCACAACTCTTGACATTGCAAATATATGCATAACACATTAGCTTGGTTTTATCTATCTGTCATCTATCTATCTATCTATCTATCTATCTACCATCTATCATCTATCCATTTATTGTGGTACTAAGGATTTACTCAGGGCTGTCACCCTGAGCTAAAACTCTATTTATTTATTTATTTATTTATTTATTTATGTATGTTCATGACAGGGTCTTATGAAGTGGTTTGGCTTCCCAAGCTAGGCTCAAACTTCTGATCTTCCTGCCTCAGCCACCCAGAGCGCTAGCATTAAAAGTATGTGATATCACGCTGGACTACATCTTGGATGGATTTATTTATTTATTTATTTTTATCTTTTTGAGGCAGGGTCTCACTATGCAGTGCAGGATAGCCTTGAACTCACTTTGTAGCCCAGGCTGGCCTCAGACTCCCAGCGATTCTCCTGTCTCAGCCTCCCAAGTGCTGGGATCACAGACATGCGCCACCACATGCAGCTACATCTTTGTTTTAAAATGAGTTTGAGTGACCAGTTACACCTACCGACAGAGAACTTTATGCACGCAATGAGTGCTAAAGAAAGAGAATTTAAGCAATCACTGACCCAAGTCTCAAAGCTCATGGGCTGTTAAAGGAAGTCGCTACAACAGACACCCAATTAACTTTGCGCACAAACACAGATGCAATACAGCAAATACCAACAAGCCACAGGGTAATTTGAGGAAGCCTCCAGAGCTGTCTTGGCTTCTACCCAAGAACACCGAGACTCCAGCTGAGGGAACATCTCTTGGTTACTTAGCTTCTTGAGTCTGGGGAGCTATGAGAAAAATAGGTGCAGTGCTACAAAATTCACTTCTGCTTCCCATTATTTGGTCCTAAACCAAAAGAACTCAAATTATAGCAAAACAGTGGGAAAAATGGAAGAGGAAACAGCCTTGTGTCTCCTCTTCCAGGAAGTTGCAGGGTTTCTAGACTCATAGTCACCGCCAACCAGTCTGAAGACACCAGTGCTTCCGGGATCCCCAGGCGCAGATTTCCTAATTTTTTGTAAATTACCCAGTGTGGGAGGGTATGTGAAAAGAAAATAAATCACTTAGAGAATATTTTTTAAAAGAAGTTTGATATAAATAATAATGATCCTGCCACTTTGACACTGATTGGACAATACTTGGATTGATTAAATGAATAATACCAAAATTGGGAGGAAAATTCCTTTGTCATAACCCTGTCTAAGTGATTCCTCCCCTGTCCCTGTCCATAGCCACTGTTTCTGCTGCACTGAATCCTAATTCAGTAGTTTTTAACTCAAACAAGTCAACAGCTCTCCAAGTCTATTAACAGGGCATCTACTCTTGTGCTAAGAGGTTTCATAAGCCCACGCCCACAAGCTGGCCAAATCTAAAAGACGCATGAAGATGTTCAACACAGCAACAGATGGGATCTGCAGATCTAGTTAGTATATGCTTAAACATTTGGATCTCTCTTTTTTTAAAGGTAAAATAAGAAGGAAATCCTCATATGTTTCAGCAACATATGCAAATAATGAACAGAGTAAGGTTTATACCTGGTCCTGGGGGGCCTTGCTCTCCTGGGGGCCCCATGGCTCCTTCTGGTCCTCGTGGGCCTGGCACCCCAGGAAGCCCTGGGATTCGGGGACAGGCATCCACATCAGCAGGTGGCCCAGGTTCACCTGAAATTGGAATGGGCGCATATGTGATAGATTCATACGCTCCTTCTGCACCCTCCGGCTAAGGACACGCTTGTGACTCTACACTGACATGTTAAGAAGAGTGTTCAACAACATGGTGTGAATTCCTGGGATGAAAGAACCTGTCTTACTCAGTGTGGGGGGTACAGGAACAACTTCAAGAAAGCATCTGTTCAATAAAGAAATGATTGCCTGCAGGAATAAGTGAATGAAGTGTTAGCAGTGTGAAGTAGTGTCAGTTGGCTGAAGCAGTAATCATTTGATGACCTTCCCAGGATTTCTAATCTTTGGGCCACTTCTTTGCTGGGATGCTAGCCACAAACGCCACTAAAAGGGGAGCTGGTGGGTTCCTAAATCTCACTGTGCCATCCCTAATTCTTTACTCTACATAGCAGTTGAGTAGGTTTCCCTAGCGTCTGTTACTCAAATAGAATTTCCATAGGTGCTGACGCAATGGCTTTTAGCCTTGACTGAGCATTGGGATGATTCAGGGAAGTTGCAGCAATAGCCTGATGCATGTGGCCCTCCTGCAGAAGTACTGCTTTACTGAGTGACAGGGTGTGGCTTTGGCAGTGCCCTCAACTTTGTCTGCACGGTAAACTCAGGTGGGGAGCCTTTCCAAAGTACTGCCGCTGTGACCCCTACAGACACTACCGAGGCATTTCTGGGGTGGGGCCCAGTCCTCTGTACGCCTTCAAACTCCTCACAGGACTCACATGTCATTCAGGACTGAGAAGCACATTCCAAGGCGCAGTTCTAACTTCAACATTTCAGAGTCTAGCTAATTCCTTAGAAACCAGAGTTCCTAAGTGCACAGGTCTGAGATGGGACCTGAATTTTGCATTTCTAATATTTCAGGTAGATGCTGTTCTCACCTCTAGAACTATCTCGCTAAGGGTCTGATATTTTTAAAATCTTGGTTACATTTCACCTTTAAGACACTTTTATTTTTCTAAAACTTCATTCAGTTACCCTGGAAGCATCCCACACGTGATAGGAAATAACACCAAGCAATAATGAAAACAGCTAACATTTACTGAATACTTGCTCATGTACCAGACCCTCTGCCAAGTTCTGTCCTACAAGACCTTCTCAAAAAGACAATGTGTGTGTGTGTGTGTGTGTGTGTGTGTGTGTGTGTGTGCTGTTATTAGACAATTACAGATAAGAAAACAAGTAAATGGGGCACACACCCAAACACATAGCAGAATCCAGGTTAAAGTTCAGAATGCTGTGGCTCCAAAGCCATGCTCTTAATCACCAAATTATACATCCTCAATTATTCTCCACCTCTTTCCACTCCCCCTCCCCCTCCCCTCCTCCCTCCCTCTCCTCCTCCCTCCCTCCCCTCTTCCTTTTTACTTACTCTTTGCAGTGCTAGGGATTGAACCCAAGGCCTCACACATGCTATACAAATTACTTTCCCACTAAGCCACATCCCCAGCCTAAGAATCCCTCAAATGTATGTAATGAATTGTAAGAAATGAAACATGTCTTAAAATATACCCTTTGATTGGTTACGGTTCTTTTACAATTCACACAACTGTGGATGATAATTTTAACAACAGCCACGATAAAGCAGCAAGAAAATCCTAGAAAAATACGGCCATCACCACAAAAGTTTGGTCTGCAGAATTCTCCATGTGCCTGTACAAAATGGACTTGAACATCCTAAACTGTTCGAAACTGAACTCTTAAAACATAGGGTGTGAAACCACAACCAGCGCAGGGACACGTATAGCTTCATCATATGTCTAGTTCAATGTCCAGCTTGGCTAGTCCACTACACATAACCTGAGAGGGATGCATGAGAACATTTCCTACCTTCCCCAATAGCATGGGGCTTTTCCAGCGCCGGCAGAGTGGGGAGGGGACACATATGGCTGGTATTTAGGACTTAGAATTTTGATGTTATCTTCAAATGCATTTCTACATGCAATCATAGATAAGATTGAAATGAAAGCATTAAATACACAGCTTTACTTTTTAAATATAAACATTTAAAATAGCAGAGTTAAAAAATGAGAGTTTTGTTGTTTTTATTTTTTGCTTTACTTTTTACTAATCCAGAACTGAAAAATAGAGCGTGAGGTTTTCTTCTAAAGATCCTAAAAATAATATATGGCATTTGTACTCAGGTCAGTTTTGATTAGGATTAATAATAGGTGCCTGGAAAGAATAAATGCGAGCATTCACAATTTTTCTTTTTCCTTTTTGCAAAACACTTTTCATTTTCTTTTAAAATACCAGATACAAAATAATATGCTGCTTTTGCATCATAGAGTATTAAGCAAACATTTTCCTTTTAACACACGAAGAAATCTCCTTGAAAATGGATATAAGAGTGTAACAGGAAAGGCTTGTCATAGCTCCTTACTGGGTGGTAAGGGGTCACTCTTTAGCTGTGATATTACTTATTTTAGGGATGGTCTGCGTGTTTTATTGTAGAATTCACTAAAGGGACTTATATCAGCATGTGCTATAATTTGACGGAGAAAGCGCTCATACATGGTACCTGAATTGAAATGACATACACTGAGCACACCAGCTTGACAACCTATCATGAGGGTAGCATTAGGACATGCTAATGTGAGGTTACTCTCTCTGTAATGAGGACACAAAGGCATTAAGATCTATCATAATTACAGCACCCCATCTATGCAAATGGAACGGTTTAACTTGCAAATCCAATGAAAAGTGGAAGCCCTGGGAAAGCAGACCAATGCAGAAACCATGACTTTCAGAATGGTACTTACCTCTGGGCCCTGGAGCCAGCCAACGCCAAAACAACAAGACCACGCGTCACATGGTGGAAAGAGATTTTAAAGTTGCGAGTTAGGAGAAAAAAATGAAATACACTGTTTGAGAACATAAATAGTAATTTGGGACCGCATCAGTGACAAGCAGAATGACAGCATCTTATTTACATAAAAACGTCTGCATCGGTGTGACTGACAGGGACAGCTAAGATTTAGTACTAATGGAGTTTTCTCTCTACAATGACTTGAAATGAAACTCTCTTGAGAAATATAAAATTCTAGTGGATTTCTCATGCCAAATTTGCCCAGAATTTATGTGTGTAGGAATTCTGCCCATTTAAAACCTTGCAAAAATTCTGTATTAATTTGCAAACGTTCTATAGGTTATGTGCAGAAAAATATAAAAAGAATCTAAGTGCAAACCCTCTGTCCTGTTGTATAATGATCATTCATAATATAGGACACTTTTTTTGTTCTCTAGAATGCCTATTTAAGGGAGTGCAAAATTTTCTGAATTATTACTGTATTACTGTGCTTGGTTTAGGATTTTTTTCTTTATTATGTTTGATTTAGGATCTTGAAAGATATTACTTCTGCAAACCTCAATGCACATACTTGTTTGCCTTTTCTACTCTCAATTCTTCTTTAGCTGACTTGTCTCTACAACAAAAAACCTTTGTTTATAGAGTAAAATTAAATAGCCTTTCACCTTCAAAGAAACTAATGTACTTTACAGAAAATAGCTAAATAGCAAATGTAGGAAAATCCACAAAAATTCAGGAGTAGGAAGTGAACATACAGTCTTAACAAACAATAACCATACCCAGTTTTGCCTCTCGTATGAAGGAACATGTGTTTCCCTTAGAAAGAGTATGTGTAACCTCATCATTTAATTTTTACACTTGTTCTGAAAATAAATATTAGTTTACTAAATATGAGACTTTATGGTACAGCCTGAAACAAGTATTCTCTTATATCAGAAAGGGTTTAATTCACAAGAATGTACTGATATTTCAGAATAATGAAGTATTTTCTGAAAGATAATGCAGTAAATGTTTAAATAAGTGTCATGTCTGGGTTGCTTTGAAGAAGGCCATGCATTAGAAGCTTACCTGGGGGACCAGTGGGCCCTTTCCTGCCTGGAGGTCCAGGTAAACCCTTCTCTCCAGGTGCCCCAGGAAGGCCAGGTGGTCCTGGAGGCCCTGGAAATCCCATTGGTCCTAAAAGAGACATAAAACCATCAGAATGAAACCATACACAGACAGTGCAAGTTTGTAGAGCTCCAGACCATGAAAAAGCAGGGCCCAGTCAGCATTCGGGTTGAGATGAGCCTCACTTCTGTGAGAAGGACCACCCCTGCCTGCAAGAAACACAAGAATCAGCCAAAGAGATGAAGGAGAAATGTGTCCATGACCAGGATGAAACTAAACCAGATCGAAATTCCCTGGAACCCAGAACTTTCTCTGAAGAGAAGGGGCTGCAGTTCAGGGGAAAATAAGGAAAAAGGTTTGATTCAGGGAAACAAGGTGCTTCCCCTGCCCCGGTTCCTATCTTCTCTTCCTATCATAGATCCAGACTACCAGCAGCGCGGGTATTTGTCTGTGTCATTCCTTCTTTTCTTCTCTATCCATCCATCAAGTCCCCTCATGCTCTAGAGTCCGGACCTTCCTGGGGAAGCACTCCCTGGCATCCCAGCCTAAGGCCAGCGGCTCTGTCCGGACCCCTCCTTCAGAGCACTGAGCTCCATTTTCGGTGACCTTTCCCTTTGCCTGAATGTCGGTCTGCCTTTGTGGGACTCAGCCCCGAAGCGGAGTAGGGACCCTGGCCACCCTTGCTCACCGCTACATTCCCGTGGTCGCCTAAGACAGGTGGTGAAATGGAAGGAACGTTTCCCACTGTGTACTTCCCCTGCTTACGGTTCAGCCGTGTCTGGCCCTGACCCCCCAGGAACAAAAGTGAGGAAGCTTGATTAGCGATGCCCTGCTGCTTCTAACTCCCTGTAGGCCCTTGGGTAAGTCACTATTATAAAGTTATGACTTGCCCTTACCCCAGTCAAGGTGGAGATTCATTCCATACAGTAACAACCAGGGAAGAAGAAAGAGGTCTGCCAATCCCTTCCTCCTTCCTCTCGACAACTAGAGACTTAGTACGTCTGTCCAGTTCTCAGGTTCAATAACTGGAAGCTCATGTATCAGCAGATACAAGCCACACTGTCTAAAGTCGGCGTCACTGTTAATCCAGATGAAGAAGACTGCTGTGTGGTATTGTACAGATACGCACAAGCGCCCAATTCCACGGCTGTCATTTGCATAATAGTCATGGGAGCCTCTGTCTTTTCTGCCCTAAACTGCTGCCATAGCTCACAAGTCAGAACTCAGGCAGGGGACTACTCATGGGGAACCTTTGCAAACGTTAACAGTCACTTCTTTGATATGCAGCTTCCGTGTTTATGAAATAAGGAAGTTAAAGAGAATAATCAGTATTGGCCCCTTTTCAACAAAAACATTCCGTGAGCCAAATAATTCTCTGCAATTCCGACACAGAAGTTACTAACCACATAAGGTTATGGAGCATTTGAAATGTGGCCAGTCCAAACAGGGTTGTAATGTACTGTACAATACATACTGGGTTCCGGAGACGAGAGGAGCAGCAGACGGGGGAGAGGGACCAGGTGTGCACAATAACCTGTAGTATCTCACTGATAATTTTATGCTGATTACATGTTAAAATAATATTTGAATATGTTAACTAAAATAAAGTATGCAGTTAACTTCACCTGTTTACTTTTAAAAATGTGGCGAGTACAGGGTTGAATTTTGCATGTGACTTATAGAAGAGGTGATCAAAATATAAAGTGAATATTAAAAAGAAATTTTAATGTATGACAGTAAATGGCATGATGCTACTAATTCTCCTCAAAATACTCCTCGTCATGTGGAACACACTTTTCCCATCATTCTTGCCACTTTCTGAAGCACTTCTGGAAGTCCTCTCTCGTGTCTCTAGTTGTGCTGTCGTGGCTGTCTCAATGTCCTGAATGGATTCAAACAGTTTACAGCAATTTCCATCAAATAAACACCTGACAGGGTGTCCTGCTCCATCTGGTTCACAAGATCTGGCACCATGCAATCTCTGGCTTTCCCCCAAAGTCAAAATGACCACCAAGGTAAATCAACATTTTGAGTCAGTTCAGGACAGCAAAGCGGCCATGACTGAGCAACTAAAGACACTCATGAAAGAGGACTTCCGGAACCGCTCTTCAGAAAGTGTCAGAAATGATGGGATGTGTGTTTGAAATGTGGAGGATTAATGGTAATGTACATTTTACTGCAACAAATTTTAAAAGTTGAAGCACTCACCGCACTCACCTTAGATCACACCTCGTGTTTCTGTGGCCAACCCTCGCCCAGGGATTATCCAGAGTATTATTAGGGGCCAAAGAGAACTTGTGTTTCTTACTTTTATTTGTGTAATTTGCACCCAGACTTGAAGGGTCTCTGGGGAGATGTAGTGACTGTTTCCATAAGAAATAGGGATGACATCATGGAAAGACATTACCCCAGACCCTCGGGGTGAAATAAGGAAAGTCTTCACATATTAATTAAAGAACAACCTGCATTCATACCTTTTTGACCGTCTTTTCCATCACATCCTGGAACACCCTGGCATCCAGGAGGGCCTGGAGGGCCTGGGGGGCCTGGTGGCCCTGGCAGACCACAGTCACCTGGCTCCCCTTTCAGAAGGTCAACACTCCCACGGGGTCCTGGAGGCCCAGGTGCTCCTAATCACAGGGATGAGGCAAAAATACTCTTTCATTCAGAGACAAACGTATATATTGGCTGCCTGAGCCTTTTTTAAGAACAGTCATTTAGTGACTTGCAAGCAAGAGATACAGGGAATTGGAGAATAAAAAAGCCCATAGTCTAGAAGTGAAATGAGAGTATGTCCCACGGAGCCCAGGCTGAGAAATGGTGTATAATGTGTTAGCACTATTAGACAAAATGAACCTAAGCAAAACCTTCCTTTATACCCATTCTTTCTGATAGTGTCATTTTATGGTTTTGTGTTCATTATCCTCTCGCTGCTTTAAAAGGATGATGAAGGGATGGCTGAAGGGATGAATAGATGGGATATTTGAAAAATTATGTCACCAGCCAATGGGAAAGGAATTTTCTCAATCCCACCTTTACTAAAGCCCAAAAGATTCCCAGGTGGTGGGTCTGTGTGTCAGCCAGGACAAATGTGCCGTCTGCACTCAGCCAGTCACGGCACTCAGCCATACTCTCCTCTTGATTCTGAATCAGCTCTAGTCTGCTCCAACTTTGTTAGCTTATACTAGCTTCCAGAATCTTGCCCTGCCAGAGCTCGTCCCTATGAAACAGTGAGAGGAAAAAACAAACAGCACTCTTAGCGGCCCTGTTTCTAGGCATATGTGAGGCCGGCCTCCTGTCACTGTGGGCCAGTAGAAAGATGCTGGAAACCAACAAGGGGTGTGAGTCCCTCTTATCAAGCACTTCCAAAGCATCTTGGGCAGCATCAAGGTGCTGATGGGAAATGCTTTCTCCAGATCAGATTTTGTGGCCCAGCATGGATGGTCTGAGAATTGACATGCAAGAGGAAAGGGGCCTTCTTCTGGGCCTGGATGTGGTTCTGAGAGCCCACCGCCACCCACACTCTCACCCACCCGGGTCTTACTTGTCTCAGCCAAACTGATGGGGCTGCTTGGGCCCTTCTGCTCTGCCATTCTGTGGTCCTAGAACCTTACCGAACTGACAGCATCTACCAAAGGTAGCACTGCCATCCTTTGCCAGGATGCTCTCATACCTCTTGGGCCATCAGGTCCAGGAGGTCCCTGATCTCCAGGCGGACCAGGGTCAGGAATGTCACCCTTAGGAGCTCTTCCTGGCGCACCTGCAGGACCTGGGGGTCCTGGTCTCCCTGCACAAGCACAGGTTCACACATTAGCCACATTACACTTGGAAGGTTTCGAATTAGTTATTGAGAAACAAAACTTGTTGCTTCTTACCTGGGGGGCCTGGGAAGCCTTTCTCTCCAAAGAGGCCTGGAGGAGAAATTCCTGGTCTCCCAGGGTCTCCTATCTCCCCTTTGAGACCAGGTATTCCCACTGGGCCTGGGGGGCCCATTTCATGCAAACCTTAATGGGAAAAATAACATCAGTACTACACCTTCTTTCACCCTGTTTTTGCCCTGTTATCCTGCTTGAAAAGGAGCCACATCCCAACAGGAAAGTGTCTGGCTCTGCAGAGACAACCTCGGCCAGAAACCGGGGTCCGAATGGCTGCCTACTATTCCCGGCCTACCATTTCTCTTACAACCCATCCATGGGTTGTAACTAGGGGTTTAATTTTTCTTATGATAACTTCCCAGATTTAAAAATACAATAGCTTGGTCATAATACCAACCCTATGAACTTTACAATGGATAAAGCAAAAACAAATGATATAGAATAATGAATAGCTCCAAATAAGCTGCTTTATAATTTGAGTGGAAAGTGACATTTAATGAGAACTACTACAGTGTGATTTCCCATTAGGAAGGAAAACAAATCACTGGCTTCTCAGAAGAGGTAAACATTTAATCAGGCTGCTTGGAAGAGCCACTAAGTAATTCCAACATGAACTAAGTTATTTTTTGATTGTCCAAACTGTACAAAGATTTCATCTCTCTCCACCATAGATTCATAGCTCACTGCACGATTCTACCTCTCAATCATCTTAATGTGCATGTTGGTCTCCAGGTACTTTGTCTGGTTTTGTTATTTTTTTTCTGAGAAAAATCACACAATAAATGTGTGTCATATCAATAGAAAAAGCTAAACTATGGTTGCTGAATATTAGCCTATCTGTGGTAACAAAAACAACAGCAAATATTTCAGACAATTTGTCTTAGCAGTGGCAGTAAAGGGATACTTAAAGTACTAATTAGATACATGTGGTAAGGGGCCAGGGATATAGCTCAGCAACACAAGCCCCTGCCTGGTAAGTGCAAGGTCCTGAGTTCGATTCCCCATACCAAAATAAAGAAGATACACGTGGTTGTACAAGCGTTTGCCATACTTAAAATAAAATTTTTAAAACCCAGACTATTCATTTGTTTCGTAACATTTTGAAAGTTGGGCCCATTTAAGCAAATATTCAGAGTATTTTTAGTAAACATTGGTGAGTAATACCAACAACAGGTCCTGTAAACCAACTGCTCCTCCTTAAGGTTTTCCTGAACATCCTTCATACAAGTCATCATCAGCATTAGAAGTAGCTCTAATACTGTGTCTCCAGTCTAAGCTACCTTTCCAGTTCCACACCCCAGCTCATGAAGGGAAGGGTCCCAGGGGAAGACCCTGTTTTGTATCACGGTCCACTGACCCAAGCTTGGTCCCCTGGGAATGGTTTTCATCTTACCTGAGGCACCTTTGGCTCCTTTCTCACCCTTCAAACCATGCAAGCCATTCAGGCCAGGTAACCCAGCAGGACCTGAAATACACCACAGGTCTTTGTCCCAAGGGCAAGACCAGCTGCCGATACCCACTCTGCTCATACTTATGGGCACCCCCCAGTGGAGGGCACACTGCAGGGGAAGGCTGGGGGTCTTTACCAAGGTGTGAATCAGGCAAATATTATTCATTTGGTGGAGACTTTTTTACCAAACAGCTAAATACATAGTTTCTTTGGTTTAAAGTACCCCTGTTGGGTTATAACCATATCATGACCAGATACAGTCTAGAACTACTGAATCTTGGAATAAGAAGTGACCTTTGATTTGATGACAGCCGATCATTCTGGACAAGGGAAGAGATTGTCTTCTACCTCCTAGCCTTGTAGGTCTTCCCCCTCCATCTGGGTCTACAGGTCCTTGTTCCTTCAGGATTTAGTCATGTTAATGTATTGTGAAACCAGGACACCTGACTCTGGCACGCTGCCTGCTGTGTCCTTCCTCGTGGATTTCAAGCACTGGACTGCTCTGGAACAATAGGTCTGCAGGTCACGTCTAGCTGTTGTGATTTCCCTGCAATAGCTCCTTCAGAACCATTCTTATGCCTTTTTACAGCAACCAAATGTATTTTGGAATACTCACTGAAGACCCCAGGCTCTGCAATCAGACACTGTCCTACTGACACCTGTGCCTTCTCTGAGAGCCTTCTGCCGGGCATCTCTACCAGTCTGGCTTCCCTGAAGTTGTCACTGAGCACTTCCGGTGGGAAATTTTCCCAAAGCTTTCCATCCGTACTTGAGTTGTGTTTAACTTTCCCAAGTGGGCATGCTTTCAAATGAGAGTTTCCTAGTTGTGCAGCATAGAGTTGGGGGAGGGAGGGAAGGAGGGAGGGGGACAAGGGAAAGAAGACACTGAAAGGGGATGGAGAATGCTTCAGAGCATCTCCTGAGCGCTGGGCACAGCCGGGTGCCCTGCCGCATGTCCTGTCCCACTGAGTGACTCAGGGAAAGGAACATGGCCTCAGCACTACCGATCAACTTCCTATTTCTTTGGTGGATCTTCCATCCAGGTGCTCTTCTTTCTCACCCAGGACTCAGAGCTCCGCCCCACACAATCAGCCTTTTACTAGTTTAGGGTCAAATCTCTCAGGTTTAGGACAGGAGTATCTTCAGCTTATGTGACTGACCCCCAAGGATGCGCCCCTCATCTCTGCCTGTGATACCTACCTCGGTCCCCTTGTCAACTCTGCCTGTGCCACTGTGTGACCCCTCTCTGGTCAGCTGTCTTCCCAATGTCAGGGTGAATCACAGTGCAAGATCAGCTCCTATCTCTCTAACCCCACATTTCGCATCTTCTGTGCTTGGTAGTAGGTGTTCAATAAACGCTTTGTTGAATGAGCAAGTGAATGAGAAAATGTGCAAAGCCAAGGGTGAGGGAGTTGAACAGGTGGAGAAAAATCTATGCTTGAAAAGTGGGCTACAGTTTCCACTCACGTGCCATGCCTTTGGTAGGTCTATAGACATATGATTTAGAGAATTTAGAAGAATCCATTTCGATCGAAATAATTTCAGTGCTGATTATTATCTGTGCATGAAAGCAAGTACTAAGGCAGGGCACGGTTCATTCTATCCGATTTATCGTCAGCACTTCAAATAGACAGTTGCGGTTCTCTGTGACAGCCCAACTTTAGATGGATTCAAATGAGCCATATTCTCTTGCACTGGAAAAAAAGTGGGAATGTATATTTATTTTCCCTAAATCTCTGATGTCCTAATCACTTTTAACAGCTCTGACTCAGTTTGTTTTCCAATCTGCTTTCCTATTTTATAAGCCAATACTTCACATTTGTACGAAAAGAACACAAGGGCCCTCTTCATCTGCCAAATCTGGATATTTATTGCAATCCATCTGAAATGATCATAAATTTTTTGAGGCCACTTTGCTATTTCCATTTGTTTTGATCTCCAGCTTTCGCCACGAGGATTGATGGCTTGAGAGACTTGGCTAGGGGTACAGTGTCCCAGCCTCTGCCAACCCCCACTGTCACATCAACACTCCCAGGCCTTGGGCTGTCACAGCCCAGCCCCTGGCCATTGCTGAACCCACCCTGCCTTTACTGACCCAAGGTGATCTTTCTAAGTGGAATGCAGCTACATCTAGATAGGTTTTTAAGGGTAATTTTTGTCTTTTTGCTGAAAGCTTTTTACCAATCCCATCTCTAAATCAGGAAGTTGTTCATGCATGAAATATATACACTGCAGATGAGAGGCAATTAGGTTAACAAAGCACATTCCTGGGTAATGAGGAATTTTTATTCACCTCTCTGATGTCCTTCTGTTTAACAACCATCCCCTAACAACCGGGCTGCCTCACAGCCCGGGGCTCTTCCTCTGTCCAGGGGGGCTCCTCTCCCTTCCAGCACACCTGTGCCTCTACCTGGGCGAGGCAGCCCCCTCTGTGTGACTAAATTCACACTCAGCTTGTATTTTTGTTCTAGAGCCTGAAATTCTATACCCCAGGAGCCTTACTCAGGTTTATACTTATAACAGGGTGCTCACTGCAGTCCCGTTTGCGTGGGACTCCCTAGCTTTAACACTGGCTGTTGTACAGGGTGAGTTATTTCTTCTGGTCCAAGAAAGACGGAACAGCTGGCCACCTAACTTTAAAGCAGGTGGGGAAGAGAAACTTTCATGACTATAGATAATAGTTGAAAAAGCTTGAAGCCTCTTACCAAAAAAAAAAAAAAGTCTTGAAATAAGATTCAGAGTTTTTGGTTTTTGTAATCCAGCCAATATACAAGTACCTATTAAGGGCACAGAATATGGTTTCCTAATGCAAACAGCTTCAGTGCCCCGAAAGTATCTCATGACAGGCACGGATGGGACAATAGGAAGTGAGAGAGAAGTAATCTTGATAGGGCAGAATAAAAAACTGCCATCGGATGGGCGGAGAAAGTGCTGTGAGGGGTGGGGCAGGAGGGGAACAAGTTGGTTGTAAAAAGAGACAAGAACATTGCTAAAATGTCCATAGCTCTCAGGTGTATGGCATTTCTTCCTGATAGGAGACATTTCAAAGCGCTTTTCTAAAGGGAAATGGTTGACTTGCCACTAGGCAAAATACTCAGTCCACATTCTTTATGGTGTTGTCATGGTATAGATAATTTTCTTTAGGGTTCTGTATTTCCAAGCTTATATTCAGGCCCAACAAGGAACTGGCTGTTTTCCTGTCAAAGGGCCTATGTTCATAAAAAGTGTAAACCTAGGACTCGAGCTACTTTTAGCCTATGTTAAAGTTAACGTTTCTATCTGCTTGAACACAAGCTGGACACAAAATCCATATGGCCTTTTCTGACAGAGCAAAGGACTTTCAACTCTAAAGCCAGCAGATGGTTTGTTCAAACAAGATCATCAGTCCCCTTGACTTATTTAGAACATACTTCAAATGTTTAGTTTCTCAGTTCAAAGTGTTTCTGCCGGCGTGTGGTTTGTTTTTACATCAGCATGATATGCTGCACCAATGTATTTATATTGTAGATGCTTTCGTTCTCAGGAACGCACTTCCCTGTTCTGCTTTGTTTAGGCCGATCTGCGGCTGCGCTGTTTGCAGTGAAACAGTGTCACTACATGGTCACGAGGCACCACTGCAGACAGGGCTGCACAGAGTGTGAGGGCGTGAGCTGTTTTCTCTCCCTCATCTTCTCTTCTTCACGAACTCCCCGTTTCATTGCACAGAACTGCGATGTGCTCACAGATTATGAGTACTTCTGCTATGGATCAAAGTCATTAGCTATTCACTGTTTTTTTAATAATGCCATCGTGGAGTTATGTGATAAATGTAAAGTCATTCAAGGAAAAGAAGAACTGAAAACAGTAACAAGAGCTTTGTCATTTGGATCAAATTGAGTGCATTTTTTTATGGCAAAAAGACACTTGAAAATCTGGCTGTTTTACTAATCTGGGAGGGGGAGAAATATGTGGGAATGCAATAGGAGTGGTTAATAATAGAAAATGTTTGCTTTAAGTTGTTTCCTGACTTTTTACACACACACAAACACACACACACACACACACACACTGTCAATGAATACCTCATGAGGGCTGTAGGAATTGCCAGAGACAAGAAATGGCCACAATTACTAGGGAAACTTTAAAAAACAATGGAATGATCATTTTTGTTTGAAACCCTAAATTCATCACAAATGTCTAGACTTCACATTATTAAAAAGTCAATAAAGATAGAGAACTGCACCAAGCTATTTTGTCTTGTGTACTGCCTCTTCAAAACAAACGGCTTTTCTCTCCACAGTGTTATATCAAAGAATGTACACCACACCACAACATACGAAAAACTGCAATTATTTGAAAGCTAGCTCATGACTGAAGGAGGGGGGATGGGGGAAAAATACAATTTGGGTTGTTGAACAATAAAATGATTAACCTCAGAAATGGTTTCCAACTCTTTTGAGTTTCATTCTACCAACACTGCAGATCTGTGTAAATCTTAGAGCAGAAGGCAGATGGGAGAAAATAGAGAAATGAGACAAAGACAGCTTGGTTACAAGAGAAGGAAGCTTGAACTTTCAACTGTTGGCTACGGTGTGGACTTTTGATCTCATAGCTACTAACTTAATTGTATATTCTTCTGTCTGACCATTTATTTATTCATACTGCCGACCAAAATATTTATTGGGTGTCTACTGGGTACTAAGGTGTTCCTTTTGCTTTTCAAAAATCATATTCTATTTGGTAAGACAGTCCTCTAGGCAACAAAACTGATAGAATATGGGTGTTATGCTAGGGCAAAAACCACCCATGGAGAAAGTACTTTTTCTAAAATTCAAGAACATAGACTAGAGTTAAGTATCATGGATCGGGGGTGAGTGTGATAAACTTCTTAATAACAAGTATATCATATCATATCATGTTATCTTATATCCATACTTATAACCAAAGGCCAAAAATTCAACCAGGAAAAATGTGTCTTTATTTCACAAAGATAATGAATATTAAACACTCGTTCCTTCATACCACCTTATTCTTTTCTTTCTTCCATTGATCCTAATTGCTGAAGGCACATTTATTACACTATATTTTTAATGTCTGTCTGTTCTATTAGCCAGTGAGCTCCAATAAGGTAGAAGTCATGTCTATTTCCTTCAGCTTCTGCACGTAGCATCTGACACAGAATCTAGGATGTAATAGGAGCTTATCTACTTGTGGAGAAAATAAATGGATAGACCTGAATATCATGAAAACCAGCAGTCTAACATCTGCAGCATGAGATGGAAATGCTACCTTCCCTGGGAGGGGGCAGGTCACAGCAGCCCCTGCCTTGGGCCTGGGGGTGAGGAGGAGTAGGAAGATGTTTATTGATACATGAGACCAGGCATGGCCAAGAGCTGAGTCACTCATGGGGTCAGGAAATGGGCTACAAATTGGCTACTGCTTGGGCTAGATCTGTCTGCTTGGGCTAGATCCACAAGCCCTGGAACTTACCTTTTATTCCTGGAGGACCTGGCATCCCTGGGTCCCCTGGCAGGCCTCTAGGCCCAGGATGCCCCGTTTCTCCCGGATGGCCCTGCAGCCCAGGCATCCCCTGATCACCTGTGGACAGCAGGAAAGTTCTACAGATACCCAGTGATGCATGAGTAACAGTGCTGAAAAAGCCCTCTATGTTCTTAATAGATGGGTAACCGGGGACCTCATTTTACTGCAGTTTCTTCTTAAATTTCTTAACTCTAAGGAGAAAAGTACACTTCACTTCAGAAGGAAAAATACAGTCCTAAATGATTAAAGTTGCCAATTATGATGTTAAATTTTTTTTTCCTTTTTTCTGAATTGGCAGGAAAGGGGTCATTAAAACATTAGACTCTAAATGTGACATCTGCCTGTGGTCTAAAGCAAGAAGGGGTAGGGGATTTCAGCATCACAAAGGGAGAGTGAAGTAGAGGGCTTGAAAAGCACTTTTACTGTCAGACCACCTTTGTGACAGGAGCCATGTCAGCTCCTTTCAGGCATGGTCTTTACTCCCAGTAATTAGTGTAACCCTGTGGGATTGGACTAGCTTTACCCGTGAAAAAAAGGGAAGCTTATGTGATCTGCCCACAGACACAGGTCTGGAAATGGCAGAGCCCTGTCTCAACCTAGGCCTAACAGAAGATTGGCTTTGTGACACAGGAAGAGATTCGTGAGTGCTCCAGAAGTTTCCGAGGTACCTGAACAGCCTGGTGGCCCCAGGTAGCCAGGGGATCCTGGCCTTCCCGGTGGTCCTCTCAGCCCTGGAACTCCAGGCAAGCCCTGATCTCCAGGGGCTCCACAATGTCCTAAAGAAGCAAAAATAAAAATCTGAGTATTGCCGTTTGAGACAAGAAACCTGTGAGACAGCCAACTTCAGCTCTTGTTATTCTTTAAATCTGTTCCACTGAAAAGGAGGATAACATTAGAAAACTGGAAACAAAATGTCCATCATCTACCACTATAACACAATTTTCCTATGACACACGTGCAAAGAATAGTCACAATTTTATATTCCAAAAATTTAAATTAGTGTTGCATCCTAAGTAATACTCTAAGTTTATCTTAGTTTCCCCAGTTGTCATTTTCAAGTAACTGGTTAATAGCTTGCTGATTCAATTTTAATTAAATTACTTAATCTACTCCTCTCGTTGGTCATTCAAGTTATTTCTCTTCAGTATTATGCAAAATTGTATCTATATCTATACCTTGTTGTTGTTGTTGTTTAGTTTTTTGTTTGTTGAGACAGGGTCTTGCTATGTAGTTCAGGCTGGCCTTGAACTCATTATGTAGCCCAGGCTGCCCTCAAACTCATGGTGATGCTCCTGCCTCAGCCTCCTGAGTGCTGGGACTATAGGCATATCCCACAATGCTTGGCTGATTTTTACATATTTTTAATCGATATTTTTCACCTACTAAATTATTTCCCTAGAAAAAATTTCTAGGAGTAGAATTTTTAGGTAAATCATGTGATATTTTGGTTCTTTTAAATGCTGAAATATTTTAAAGTAAGTCACAGCCATTACAGAATTCCTAAATATTTTAGGAGGTGAGCCTGATAACTAAAAACATTTTCCTATGTAGCCAAAATAACACTGCAGCTAAAAAAAATTAATAACAATCCCTAATTAATAACAATCCCTAACTGCCATCTTATGCTTGTTCTAAACTTAAATCTCTCCCAGGGTCCCCACAATGCCTTTCATAGTTGGTCTGTCTACACCAAGTTGATGCCGGAGTCACACATCACACCTTGTGGCTATGTGTCTAAGATTTTTTTAAAAATCTGAAATAGTCCCTTTCTCACGAGAGTAGCATCCTGAACAGAATATAGCACAGCTCTACTCTAGCCTTCTAGAGGAGACCATTCAGCACTTTTTGTTTATTTTTGTGGTATGTGGGACTAAACCAAGGGCCTTTGGACTGTGCTACCCTTTTTAAATTTTGAGACAGGATCCTGCTAAGTTGTCAAATTGTCCGGGCTGGGCTGGAACTTGAGACCCTCAGCCTCGGCCTCCCAGAGTCTTAGGATTACAAGCTGGTGCCACCAAGCCCAGCTCCACACTTGGTCCCTGGCTTGGGCTGCCTGTGGGTTGGAGGAAGTAAGTCAGTAACCCACTCACACAGTCCCCTTGCATCACCCTCGAGGGCATCTCCGTGCCATAACTCCAAGTGTGTGCTCCTCCTGCGGACTGTCCATTCACTGACTTGGCTTCTTGCTAATTTAGTAAGGATAAACTGATACTTACAGGATGAAACAATAGTCTTTGCTGAAAATCAGTGGCTGCAAATAAAATATATGCCTCTGTATTTACAACCCCATGGAGGGTATAGTCATGGCTTACTAGAACCCATGCAACAAGCCTCGGTCCGCATCTATTCCTCGATCAAATCCAACATCTATTAGTCTCACTCTGTGCTACCTTATTTCTCCCCAGAAGCTTCCTGCAGTAGAAGTACAGCACAGTCATTACTGGCACCAAAGGAAATAACAAGCACTCGGAGGCTTATCTCCCAAATCTGTGGCTGCGCTAGCAGCAGGATTTCTCAGCTAGTCTATGCTGTCCTTCCTCTGTGGATTGAAGAGGGTTGGAGGAGAAGACTGGCCCCACCCAGTCACACACAATCCTGGGGCAACCCACACATCTACACTTCCTCATCAGCCTCCTTCCGGTTCAGCACAGCTTTTCCCAGCCCGTGGAAATAGCATACGTACATAAACTGTATGCTGCTGAGTAACATATAACTGAAAAAGGCTAAGCCGAAGCCATGGCATATAAGAATGGACACAATTTCAATGGGGATAACTGCAGGCCGGCTGTTAGGCCAAGGCCAATGTGCTGTAAAACTTAGCCTATGCGTGAAATAACTCACACTGACGGTTTTAAACTTAAAATACTACCTACCATTAGAGGCCCTCAGTTTGGACTACTTTAAGCTTGTAAAATTTTATATCTTCAGGGTTTACAACAAAAATATCAGCAAGTGTGGAAAAATCTCCTAATGTTTTGCTGAGTTCATCACCATGATGACTGCACTTTACATCTGTGTAGTAATTTTTAGTTTGCAAATCTATTTCAAGGTATTGCATCTACTCCTCAGATCAGTTCTTTCCTGTGCATAGGGCCAATTTCTAGGAGAGAAAAACCGAGCACAAAGACAGTCGCCTCGCCCAGGACGAAACGCTCAGTAATGAGGCAGGCTGACTTCCAACCAGCACGTTCTCCTTTCTGAGATGTCTCACTCTGGCGTTTATTCTGAACTTCCTTAATGCTGACCCCAAGACTATTTTCCTTGCTAGCTGAATATTTGAGTTCTACATTTCAGTTAAAATATGATACTCTCTTAATACGTGTATCCCTGTGAAAGGAAGTTTTTGCCAACATAGCAGCTTGTTTTTCTGCTAGACATCCATTTTTACAGTTTCTTATAAAATGACAAAGAAAATACTATTTCCCATAATGCTTCTGCTTTCTATATTCTTTCTGTTACGTGAAATTAAACATGGCTATTGCCGGAGGGAACTTTAAGGAAACTATGGAATTATTAATAGGAAGTCTTTTAATTTACAAGAGATCTGTGTAAATATAAAACTCATTTTTAATAGGACCACTATCACCTGAACGCTCTTGACCATAAGTGACTCAGTGGATCTTCTGTGGATGGACATCTCTTCTATCCATGCCCTTGTCCAATTACTGACTTTAGATAAATTCTCAGGAGTAGAATTTCCAAGTCCGAAGGTGTGTATATTTTAAGAAATGATGAACGGTTCCCCGGGGACCAGAAAGGGAGTGTCAATTTGTATTTTTCAATATTTTCTGGCAGGTAAACAGGAGTACGAAATAGTAAGACAAAACATCCTAAGACACTTTTGCCCTCTAGGGGTGAGGCTCAACATGCTGGCTTGAACTAGAGCGACTTCCCCTTCCCTGGGAAGTGTGGAGCATCGCAAAGCATCACGGTCCCTTCTGCCGCGGGAGATCCTGTGAGGCCGGCAGGGGTGAGAGATAAGAACTTGCTGGCACATCGAAATTCCTTCTGAGGGAAGGAATCCACGTCAGCTGCTAGTGAAAAACAAAGTACCATTGTTCTGAGTGACTGAGATTTCTCGGTGGTGGTGAAATTTTACGTTGGTTCTGGTTTGATTTTTAGGAAAGTAGAGCAGATGTGTGACAGGTCGGCAGGGTGGGTCTCACTTGCATTCTCAGGTGCTGTTCTCAGTGGGATAGACAGGGTGCCAGGAAGACCTGCAGCTACTGTAAGTGATGGGGCCTGCAAGGTATCTCTCACGTTTGCAAAACTGTACCATTTTAAGCAATTTTAACTGCTTGCAATATTCTCTTTTGACTGTCGAAGTATAGGGCTGCTCGGAGGGGCACTTGGCGTCAGTGTCATTGGTCATGTGAGCCACAGCGGGGAAAAGATTGGGAACCCCTAGGATCTGACCCCCTTGTCCTTCCGGGACGAGAGTGCCAGGGAAGCTTTGCACATAATCTTTTTGATGTGTATCTCAGTAGGCAAACGGGAGAGAAAATACCGATACAGTCACTGCCAGCTAGATGCACATAGGCAGTTGTTTATTTTTTGAAATAGACTCCTTTTTTGTTTTCGTAAGCAAAACACATAGCTATACCTTGACACCCAGGGCTACCAGGCTCACCCTTCGGACCAGGTGGACCAAACCTACTGGCAGCGTCACCTTTGCTTCCTGTAAGCAAAATAAAACACATGAAACATCATTTACAAAGGTGGAATTTGGTCTTACAGACTTAACATACTTTTTTGAATATTTGTATCTAGAAGCTATCTTCAAATGTTCCAGCAAAGGATTAAAAAACGACAGTTTTTATCCTAAATGAGAACACACAGAAATATAGATGCAAGATGTGATTTAAACACCGCACACACACTCTCCCTAATTTTATAGCTTACAAAAATCATAAGAAACTACAGACGTTGATGTTGATGTTTGAACTTCTAAATTCCTAAAATTATTTTTCAAACTCAGTTTTGTGTTGAAGGAAGTACTTGGCATTGAGTCTATATTATCTTTAGAAAAACATTAGAAGTTGTCACTGTTTCAGCTGCTGCAACCCATTTCACACTCTCTTCTAAGGAAGGTCAACTCAGTGTCCTATTAAAAAAAATCACAGAGCCATACATTATTGAACGCTTGACAAGTGACACATATTTACAGGCTGCTGCAGACACTGACACCTGAGTCCCACAAAGCTTTCCAGCAATGCTATATGTGCTTCCAGGTCCAAAGATGGGAGCCAACTACAAGGAAAGGACTCAAAGGGGGCGGGTGGGCAAAACAATAGATGGTTTTATAAGAGAACCTGGGACATGAGAATGATTTATAATCTTCTCACTAACACTGTGTCATAAGAGGCCCCCCTCATGCCTTAAGGAAATAAACACTCTACTTGACCCTATTCACCTTTATGCATTACCACTTGGGGCTGGAAATCTGTCCATCCCAAGTCAGACAGTCTTTCTTTCAGGAGTTGAAATTTAAAAAGTGAGAATTTGAGATCCTTGACGATGGGTGCAGACACCATGAGAATCATCACGAGTTGCCCTGATGCGCAGCACGTTGGAATACAATTCAAACGTACCCAGAAATACCCAACCCAGAGAAAATATGAAGTAGAGAATGATAAAGCCAGTCAGTAGACGAGTAAGCAAAACACAGACATTGGAGAAAAGCAAGAAACTATGAGTTGCTTGAGGAGTGGGCTTACACCCTGCAGGGCTGGGTCTCCCGTCTGTAGGCTCCACGAGATCTCTTTCAGTCCGGGTACCCTGAGTGCATTCTGACCCCTTGCAAAGGTGGCCCAATACAAGCAGTAAGGAAAGGAGAACAGGTGTCTTTAAAGTGTGAAAAGAGGCAAAGGGACTACAATGAACTCCTAAAGACAGCAGAGGAGTGAGTTCTAATGCTGAGGCTTTAAAATATCACAATCAAATAGGAGAAACTCCCTCTTTATAACCATTCCTGAAAAGGTGATCTAGACTATCCCCACTGAATAATAAGCATATCTGTTTCTTAAGATAGTTTTCTTGGGGCTGGGGATTTAGCTCAGCGGCAAAGCGCCTGCCTGGCAAGTGCAAGGCTGTGAGTTCGGTTCCCGGTACCAGAGAAAAACCAAAAAAAAAAAAAAGATAGTTTTCTTACAGCAACTATCACATTATTTATAGAGTATCTCTCAAAAAGCATGCATCATTAGTGGCAAAATGATTTTAGGTGGTTTATTAATTTATATTTTAAAGTTATTTATTTTAACTTGCATTAAAGTAATGTTTAGCTGCACATCAAATTTGTGTATTCACAGATAGTGAGGTTAAGGTTTAAAAGATGAATCGCTTTAAGATATTCAGATTTTTGCTTATTTCTTTGTTTGTCTAGTTAAAGGGTTAATAAGACGATTCTTTTTCTCTAAGAATACTTTTTACCTTGGGTAAATTTTCTGTTCCGGTTTCCCTGAAATCCTGATAAAGATAGAACGTCAGGCGTGTTTACAAGACAACACTGTTTTTGGCACAAGATAAAACTAGGGCCTGTGGGGCCAAATTCAGCCTGCAGTTTATTTTGTAAATAAAACTTTATTGGGACATAGCCACGCCCCTTTGTTTACATGCTGTGTATGGCTGCTTTCATATCACAACAGTATAGTTAGTTGAGTGGTTGTAACTGAGACCATAAGTCGCACAAGATGAAATTTTTATGAAATTTTTAATGAAATTTGTATCAAGTTCCGGGGGTGGGGGGCGATATTGGTATCCTTTGGCTTAAGATAAAAATAATTCAATTATAAATCATGGCTGGCTTCAGAATTCCTAAGTAGACTCTTAACATCTGTTGGAAGGGCATGGCTTTGGCCTTAACGAAGTCCTCAAAAGAGAGACTGGCTCCTGTTAGACATGGCAGTTCTAAGCCAAGGTGGACACTGCCCACAGCTGTGGCTCCAGACTCCTTGCACCTGAGCTGTCATTACAGGAGCTGTGTCGCTGTGTGCGTGGCAGCTGGGAATCCCCCCTAGGGAAGAAACCTGGTAGGGCTGCAGGTACGCTGTTCCCTACCTAGCATCCTTGGAACTAACTGACAAAGGACAGCCCTTTGGGTTTTAAGTGTTGTGCAGCAGATTCTTTTCTCTTTTTTTCTTTTTTTTTTTTTTGGTATCAGGAATTGAACTCAGGACCTTGCATAGCAGATTCTAAGTGCCTCTTGAGTGTTAATCATGCAAAAGATGCTCACTCACAATGTTACAAATACCCAGGAGTATGAGTTTGACAGATTTCTGCTCTTTTGCAAACCATACCTTTAGGTCCTTTTGTTCCATCAGTTCCTGAAAATCCAGGGGGGCCCGGAGAACCTGGCTCACCCTGACAATTGAATGAAACAAAAGTAAGACCTCCATTGTGTTTCCAATACAAATGCCACATGTATGATGCAATCCCATTATAATTTTTTGCAATCTATTTTTTTTTTTTATTGGTACATTTTCTTTTTAACCAATGAGTGGTGAAAAAAAGCCTGGAAATGTATTGCAGACACTCTACGGCACAGGTCTAGCATGTCTGCTTTTGAGACAAGTGGGCTTTTGCAGTCCGAGCTGGCCGCAGCGTCACCATCTTCCTGCCCATGATTTCTAGGGCTGGGATTACAGGTATGCACCACAACACCCGGCTTACAGGTGTCTAGTTTTCAAAAACTCACAAAATTCTTCTAGTATGACAGCTATCAATGTTAACAGTACCATGTTATCCTGTAAACATGGCAAATAGTAGTTGCACTATATAAATTACATTTTTAATTTTGACTGGTTAATATTAAATAAAATATTATTAAAAGTCATATTATATTATAAACTTCATAAACTTTAGGAGGACATTGAGACAGGGTCTCACTATGTATTTCATGCTGGCCTTGACCTCACTATGCTGCCCAGGCTGGCTTTGAACGCATGGCTGCCTCGGTTTCCTGAGTGCTGGGAATACAGGTATGCACCACCATGCCTGGCAGCTTTTCCAAAAGATGGATAGTGAATTACATTTCCAGAAGTAGGGTGTACGCTACTATATTTATTATATTGTCTGGCTTCTCCAGGGAAAGTTACTCCTGATTCTGAAGAGCAACTATATTTAAAGCAAAGTCTGTGATATCGTCAATCAGACGGGCGGCTGAGAAACCAGAATCCGGGTGGGATTTCAGGATAACCTTCTACTCCACTAAACCAGCAGTAAAGCAGGAACAAGTCTCGTGGAGGTGCTTAAAGCCAGGATGGATCATGTGAGTTATGTGACTTGCGCATGTACGTTAGAGCACTGGTCACATCCTGGCCTTTCGGAAGACGCCATCTTCCCTGTGGTTCTCCTGTCTTCCAAGAGCCAGGAAGCAGCCCAGATCCACCTTGGTAATGATGACTCCTTAAAGGATTCTGAAACCAGGAAGGTTTTATTATTTATCCTCTCGTGGAGCAGCAGCCCCTTACCTGGTCACCTGGAAATCCTGGGAAACCAATGATCCCTCTTAGCCCAGGTGGACCTGGAGGGCCAGGGAGTCCAGGAAGCCCACGCTGCCCATTTCTGCCAGGCTCCCCTCTCTGAAATCCAGGTGGTCCGTATCTTCCAGGGTCTCCTCTTCTCCCTTGTGTCCCAGGAGCTCCTTTGTCACCTGATGAGGGCAGCAGTATTACGAAGCTCTTGGCTAGAATCCCGGGCTAGGCGCTAGTTACACTACAGGACTTAATGCTTTTTAAAGATGGAGCCAAAGCAGTTGGGAATCCTGGTTCCTGCCCTAAACCACCTCTTGAAGGTTTCTGGTTTCAGGGACCTCGCAGTGAAAAAAGCTGTCCAGCAACAGACGAGCAGAGGAGGGAGGACGCACATAGGGGCCTTCACTCCAGCATGCTCATTTTCCGATGAGAAAATACTTTACTCAGAAGAGGTAAAACACATTTCCTATAACCACTAGTTAAAGAAAAAAGCAAGGCAAGAAGCCAGGCCACATGAGGATTAAGCCTAATCTCGGAGAGAATATAAGTGGTGGCTAAAGTGCTTGCCATCTGATTTTCCTGAGGGCCAGCAGCACAGCATGGGGACACCTGGACACCCCACACCCCAAGGATTCACAATCTGCACTTTAACAAAATCCCAGCTGATCCATATGCACACTGAGCTTTGAGAGACACTGATCAAAATCACAGTCAGTGTGCTATTGATTTGAATACTAGCCACCCATCACGGAGATATTCTAAACCTGAACCAGCATTTAATGTATATCTCAGCTGATTCTAGTTTAGGTTACCCAAATCTATAAAGACATATGAACTTCAGCTAAATCTGTAGCATGAAAAAGCAAAAGAGAAGTGAGCCCCACCACCCCCGCTCTTTATCAGTGTGTAGTTACACCTAAGAAATGAGCTCTGCTAATCTGCACACTGGTGGGATAGTTGCTAATACATATGCTTGCTTGAAGGATCTGTAAAGATAGCGATGCATGTGATAAGGTTAAAAAGCTGAAGCATTTACCTCTCTCTCCTACGAACCCACCATCTCCGGGAGGCCCAGGTTCCCCACTGTCTCCCCTCTGGGAAATGATGGCCATTTCTCCCTCATCTCCAGGAGGTCCTCTGGCTCCTGTGGATATTCATCATGAGAGAGAAAAAGGGACACATCACACACACAACTCATTGTTACCACAGTCACTGCAGTTTACAAATCCCCATTGAAGTCACGAAACTGTATTCATGCTGGCAGATCCAGATCGCCTGGTGTCAACATGCTGACCCCCGTCCTGCAGGAACGGCTGTCTTTCATGTTCTCGTCCCCTCTTGCCCTGAGTGCTCTGTGAGTGTTTGCTAAATTCAACCAGATAGGACTCAGTGTGTTCAATGAGTTAAGACAAATTTGAAAAGTTCTCGTTCATAAATGTGTCTGTCCTGCAAAATCTGCATTTCCCATCTCATATTTTTAATTCAAATCCTTCCCGGGCTGGGGATTTAGCTCAGGGGCAAAGCGCCTGCCTGGCAAGCGCAAGGTCGTGAGTTCGGTTCCTGGTACCGGAGAAAAACCAAGAAAAAAAAAATTCAAATCCTTCCCTTTCCTCACCATGCTTTGTTATTTTCCTTATAAGAACAGACTTGTGTCTCAATGTGGTTCTCCATGGAGAGATTTCCCGACATAGGAAATGAGCACCACGGTTCTGCCTATTTTTTGAACACTGTCCGACTGCAGCAGTGTGCCGGAGGGGGCTGGAGTTCCAGTGTGGCTAAACCTGATTATTAATAATTTGAGAATTTTGTGAGCCACTAGTTAACCCGTCGGTAGTTAAATCAGCCATGATGAGAGTTTTTATGCTGGAGTGGGAAGACTTACACCATCACAGTCGGAGAACAGCGTAAATCAGGGCATTTTTTTAAAAATTCAGAGACCTAGTTTAGGACCACATCACTGGAATTAACCCATTTTTAAATTTTTAGTGAGACAATGCAGCAAACATCACTTATCCAAGGTAGCAAAGTGACTCGGATTCCTTGACGCTATGTAAATAATTTACAAACAATGAAACACAAAATAATAAGAGAATCAATCAACTAAGAAGAACAGGTAATTTGCTTTAAATATGAGGCTGTTTGCCCAAACATCTTGAAGAGCAAAACCCTTGTTTCTAAAAATTATTGATCATTCCTCTGAACTCTGGAAATACACAGTTTACTCACCCCAGCCTTAGGGGTAAGACGCAAAAGCTAACACTTAACAAGGATGCACAGAACCTCTAAATCAGTGGTCTCAAAACTATTTTTTATAGTAATAAAAACTTATTTTTAAATGAAGCTTAAAAGCAGCTCAACTCATGGCCCAGGTGAAAGAGGTCTCATTCTAGTTCAAAAATCTTCAAACTTTGGCCCACACACCATGTCCCGGAGCTACCAGAGATTCTGAGAGCTTACACTGACAGCCATGAATGGTTTCCACCCTTCTGCATGGTTGGGGGAAACTCAAAACATAAAACACAAAACATCACTTTGTGAAAATATATATATTTGTGAAACTGATATGGACTTAAGCATTTATAAACACAATTTTATTGGGAAAAAATTTTTTTTCTTTTTTTATGGTACTGGGGATTGAACCCAGAGCTTTACACTGAGCTATATCCTCACCTCTTTTTAATATTTTTTATTTTGAGACAGAATCTCATTAAGTTGCTACATTGTCCAGGCTGGACTCACACATGTGATCCTCCTGTCTCAGCCTCCCACAGTGCGGTGATTACAGGCAGGCACCACAGAAGAGGTTCAGATCAAACACCATAAACAAACGTATGTTGCCTTGTTGGGTTGTAAACGTGCTTACCTGTGGCACCTCGTGCTCCTGGGTGCCCCCGAAGGCCAGGCCAGCCCTTCTCTCCGATTTCTCCCTTTTTGCCAGGTCGGCCCTGTGGGCCGGGCTTTCCTCTCTCTCCAGGAAAGCCTGGGAGGCCAGGCAGCCCCTGGGGTCCTGACAAAACGAGAGCAGGCATTTTTGGAAAACCATTTTAAAGGCTGGTGCGAGTCTTCCATCTGCGTTCCTTGTAGTCCACTGAGAAATGCAAGCTCTCACCTCACTCCGGGTTTGCACAGAGAGGAAACAGACGCTGTCAAGCTCACCCCACTGACAGGCTGTGCTGTCTCACTCTTTCCTACCCTACAGACCTGACAGGGAGCCTGGTGTTTCTGGGTGCTGACCCCGCATGGTTTAGAGGACCAGAGGATGGGATGAGGGTGACGGGTTATCAGTGTGCGATGCTTTCACCCTGACCCTAGCACTTTCCCGGTCCTGCCTGGTCCTCTTAAAGTCAAGGCTTATGGATCCGGTGGATGTAACACCTCCAGCCCCCTTCTTCCGCTGATCTACACCTATCCATTCTGCAACTGAAAGTAACAGCACAGGACGGAGGGACGGTGGTATCCTTAAGGGAAGGACAAAGGCGAGGTAATAGAACAGTAAGTCCTATTAGTATGATTGTACATAACCAGCTTCACCTGACTATGGATTTCACATTTATAGACTAAGAAGAAATAAAAGAAAAATGCTACTTACCCTTTGGACCTGGACTACCAGGTAGCCCATCTACCCCAAAGAGCCCTGGGATTCCTGAAGATCCTGGGGGTCCATCTGCCCCAGGCAGCCCCGGGAGTCCAGGGAGGCCCTTCATTCCAGCTGGCCCAGGAGACCCCACATCTCCTTGCTGTCCTTTCCTGCCTGGGGCACCTGAGACAAAACAGGGGCAGTGAGGAACGAAGGCTGAAAGGTACTGGCCTCCCACCGAGGTGGGAAAAACACACTCACAGAAGCTCAAATCCTGAGTCTAGGGCCCACTGAACCCAATCAAAGCAGCATTTATTGGCTAAAATAACAGTAACAATTTTACATCTGTCTAGGAATATATTGTTCTCGATACTCTAAAAAGAAGGAAGGATCATTTGAATAAATATTTCCCGGTAGAGATGCATGAAGATTATAAAGATATTTTTAATGGAAAACAGGAGTAAAGAACAAAAAGTTTTACTTGTATTTACTCCTAGAGGAGAAAAACTAATAGGAAGCTTTGTAGGCACAGCTGGAAGCTCTGCCCACATGAAGTTCCATCAGCCATTAACTGTGAGGGGAAAGTGTAAGACCCACAGCAGCGGCGGCTGGCAGCATTAGCGCTACAATGGAGCGGTCGTGGCAAGTTTCGCCCTTGTCTTGACTTTGGAAGTGGGCATATCCTTGCATTTGGATAAAAGCAATAGTGACCTCCATAACAGAATTAGTTATCTGTATAATGAAGTGAAGATCCTATTAGAAGCAGCCCGGGCTAAGGTCTGCATGTGTCTCCCCAAAGTTTGTACGTTGAAATGTAACCGCGTGATAGTGGGCAGAAGATAGTGTTAAGCGGAAGAGAACGTGGGTGCTCACTGGCTGATGAGCATAAAGCCTTCATGAATGGTGTTTGTGACCTTATGGAAGAGATGTGAGGGAACTGCTCACGGCTCTGCCATGGAGGGACACAAAGGCTCCACACACACAGCCACCGTCTGGTGCCTTGATCTTGGGCTTCTCAGCCTCAGGAGCTGTAAGCAACAAATTTGCTCTTTGTAAATGACCAAGTTGGAGGTATATTGCTACAGCAGCCCAAATGGACTCCAACAGCCCCTCAGCACCTTGTGGTGAAGGACACGACTTTGCAGGTCACTCTTTCGTGCCTGGCTAGCTGTGTCAAGAATGCAAAGACAGATGCCATTTCTTTCCTTAGGCTACTTCTCAAGGTTGTGTGTGCAGTAAGCGACCTTGGCAGAGGATACAGCTCTTTCTCCAATACACAGAGCAGGTTTGCTCGCAGGCTGCCCTAAAGCAATGGTTTCTGGATTCAACAGCCTCTTCGCATAACGCAGCCCATGATGTGTGGCCAGCAGGTAGCTGGCCCCATTGGCATTGCTCCCACGGGACTTGGGTGGCATGGGCTAACGGCACAAACCAAAAGGGACTCATGAGTAATAAGCTCTTTGTCTCTGACTTGGGAACAGGCTTCTGCCAAATTCCACAAAAGGGCAAAAGACAAGTATATTTGTTCGTAAGTAGCGTAAACCTTAGACCCTTCAGGTTCCTGACACTTACCTGGACTACCTGGAGCCCCGGGGGCACCTGGTTGGCCTGGGATCCCTGCAGCGCCTCTTTTACAGGAATGGCCTGGTGGCCCTGGGATGCCTGGAAACCCAGCACTTCCCTCTCTTCCTTTGGGACCTTGAAGGCCTGGCAACCCAGGAATGCCAGCTGTCCCTGTAATGATACAGCGCATCTATGACATTCACAGCCTAAAACCTCGTAGATGGCCCATAACAAAATGTGCATGCCGTAGTAACAGAAGGGAAACATCCTGATCCTGAGCCAGGGCTCAAATGAACTAAATTTCTCAATGGATGGATTTTCTTATCATAGAGATAGTGAGCTCCAAAGAAATAGAAAATCCATGCAGTGCTAAGTGAGTTGCTTGATAAAGTTATGTGGATGACAAAGAAGTTACTTATGCAAATAAGAAACCAGGCAGTTCTTCCTGATTCTAATTAACCTCTACCTCTACAGGAGGCTTTACACCAAATCACTATCATACAAACCCAATTTGCGCTGTATGAATTTGCATTTTGTAAGAGATTTTATCACTTGTACTCACAAATTTCCATCTATTGGAAATACGGTATCATAAGCTTCAGGAAGAAAAGTAAATGCACTGTAATTTCACACCCTGACCTAAAAATCTATTTTATTTTTCTGTTTTCATTGAATTTTGGTTCATTGGTTTACATCTTAAAAATAGCAACCACAACGCACCATTACTGGATTATTTCACAACACATATCAGTTTACAAATGTTTTGTACTTGTAATCTTTACAAATATGATTTTCATTGTTAACAAAAGTGCTATTCTTTTGTGTATGTATGTTCCTTATTCTATTGTATTCTAAGTCACCCTATTGTGCCCTCAAGGATACCAAAATCCAAGTACTCAACTCCCTTGCATAAGAATAAGTGGTATCTGCATGTAACCTGCACCAATCTTTTTGTATAAATCATGTCTCTATTACTTATAATACCTGTAATACAATGTAAATGCTAGGCTAATAATTGACACAGTGTATTGTTTAGGGAATAATGTCAAGAAACATATCTGTAGATGTTCATTACAGATGCGGGGTTTTTTCCTGAATATTTTTGATTCATGGTTGGTTGATTCTGAGGATGCAGAATCCGCTGATGCAGGGAGCTGATGTGCTAATGTGCTGTAGTGGATGCCTAAGGAATAGTGGTCCATCCTCTGTTAGGAAAGAGACAGACCAGCCTCTGGTCTGAGAGCCACACTTTGATCACCATCACCCAAAGGACTCACTGATGTTCATACAGCCAGGCACTATCCAGAATTCCTAAGACTGGGGGCCCTGACGATAATTTTAATGGCATCCCAGGTTATTTTTACTTACATTAAAATCTGAAAAATACCACTGTGCTTCCAGAATCAGGGCCCAGGCCATTTTCCTGTCTTGACTTTCACTGCTGTACCTATTACCTCAAGTGCAGCAAAGTCTCTACACCCTGTCTACGGACAGCTTGCCTGCCAGGACTCAACTGTACCCAGTTCCCCTCCACCCTAATCCACGCTGTTCTGATCTCTGGGGGTTGCTCCTCCTCATACATTCTGTCCTGCACCTTCAGCCTGACATTGGCAGTGGACAGGTTACACAGTCCCTGCTCTTGGAGTTTGGGGAGCTAATGTATTGCCCTGAGCAGATAGACATCCAGTATTGCCATATTGAATTGAGCTGGCCTTGCCACAGTGAGATACCTTACATCTGAAAACCACCAATAAAATGCAAAGGCAACACTGGAGGATGCTATTTGAAATGTAGTCAGTGTCTGTGTATGAGTGAAGGGCTCAGGAGAAATGTGTAAACACCCTAGCTGTCTAAAGCAAGATAGCAGAGCCCTTATACCTTCAGGTCCAGGGTATCCAGGATCACCTTTGGGTCCCTTTATTCCTGGCACTCCTGGAGGGCCCCGATTTCCAGGGGGTCCTGTGTGACCAAATGCAGGGTCTCCTGGGATTCCTTTCTGACCCGTCATTCCACGTGACCCAGGGTGTCCTGGGGGTCCAATGGGGGAGGACCCGTTTTCACCTTCAAAACCTGGGTCTCCTATGTCACCACGAAAACCTATTTAACAACAAGAAAATTTAGTACAAGTGTAGAACCAATACATAAAAGACTGCTACTTTGATAAAAACACACTTCTAAAGCACTCAGGAGTGTGTATCTATGATCTGAGATGCTTAATAATGTTGTTTCTGCCATTTTTAGTAGGAAGACAAATCGTAACTTTGTGTGTCCAATATACCAGGGATGTTTCTCTAATTGTGTTCTCCGTCTGACAAATATTCCACTTGAACAGAGCTATTCAACCACGTGATAAACTACTAATAGCCTATTAATGCATGCTCCAAGATGGAAGGAGCTTTGATAAAAGATTATCATCTACAAGTCCCCACAACACAGCTAAGGGTCTCTTATATCAGGAAAAGCCACTTGCCCGTTCTCTTCAGCTTGGCATTGGCAGCCAGCAGGTGACACAGACACTGCTCTTGGAGTTTTGGGGGCAAACATATTAATACCCTGAGCACAAGGCATGGAGACATCCAGTGCTGCCCTACTAAAGTCAGCTGGCAGAGCCACAGTGAGATGTTTTGCATTTGAAAACCATCAATAAAATGTAAGGGCAGTGGGGAGTATGGGATTCACGTTATTTGAAATGTTATCAGTGTCTCTATATGAGCATAGGCGCTGATCCCTGGGCCATGTCCTTGAAGTTGTTCATTTTCAGAAATGCTTAGAAGTTTCTGATAGACGTTTCCTAAGTGGGAAAATACTTACCAGGTGGGCCTGGTATTCCTGGTATTCCTGGTTGGCCTGGCAGGCCTTTTGGTCCATCCAAACACCTCGGCCCAGGAGCACCCCGGGGACCCGGAAATCCCTTCCGACCTAGATAGTAGCAAAACAGATTCAATAAAACACAAGTCAAGTGGAAACAAAATGAGGTTTTTAAAAAGGCTATGTGAGTGAAGTCTCTTTTGGAGTACTACTATTTTATGAAAGTAAAGGTGCTGCCTACCCTGGTTTACAAAAACATTTGATGAGCCATATGCTCTGAGGGCTTTGCTAAGCTACTTTCTCCTTAACTATACTGTAAAGGATCTTCCTGAAAGCCTTGGGCATGTACACCACCATTCAGATGAACTTTTGTTATCTTCTCACACTGGGTCTCAAACACAATCTGTAGGCTGGGTCTGACCTTATAGGAGAGCAGGCGGTAGCCAGAGTCTATGCTGGTAAGAAAGTCAGGTCTGTTTCCCTGATCTCACGGCATGTGTCTTTATGTGCAGTATGGACAAAAATGCCTGCAAAAGGAATTGAGATTTTACTTTAAGCCCTTTATTTCTTCCTAGGACTTAACTAAAATAATTTCTTAATTTTGGGCTTCAAACAAGGAATAACTGCCAACTTGAAGAGTGCATGTTGACTTCTTTTGAAGCCCAAATTACTGAAAGTAATCAGATGTTTTTAATCCATCCATGATTAAGGTACTGTTAATAGTGGAAATGAATGTTAAATCAACCACTAGTTCTTTTTCTTTTTTTTGGTTTTTGAGACAGGGTTTCACTATGTAGTTCAGGCTGGCCTTGAATTCACTGCAATCTTCTTGCCTCAGCCTCCTGAGTGCTGGGATTACAGCCATGTGCCACCATGACTGGCAACCACTAGTTCTTCACTCCCCTGGTGTAGAATTACGCTTCCACACTCTCACCACTGCCTTGTGCTGGCTGGAGTAAACTTTTCTGCCCTTTGACCCGTGGCTTGGTCATGTGACTCACTTTGGCCAATGGGATACTGATGGCCATAAGCAGTCCAAGGTCTAAAGTCAGTCTCTGAGGCTGGGCCTGTCCCCTTGAATTTTTGCAATCATATGAGAAGGGCACCCCCAATATGATGTGTGTTGCAGATCTGAACTGAATCTGGGGCCAGGAATCAGTCCAAGAGACAGCACCTTAGACCAGCTGAACCCCACGAACTAGCAGATCCATACAGACAAATAAACGTTTGACGTTGTGGGCCACTCAGATCTGGAGGCTATTGAGCGACATGATTGTGCTGAGACAGATGGTTAGGAAGGTTGTCATGAGTTGGTCATTATTCAACATTTAAATACATTGTGGACTTATTTAATATAAGAAAAATCACCTTCAATAATCATGCTAATACTTAAAGGGCCAATAAAAGTAAACTATGAAGAATTCAAAAGGAATTGTTCAAAGATCTTGATACACATTTTGGGTTTAATTCAGTTAAAAACATGGAATTGACTCAAATGAAGCAGAGGCATAAAAGTGCAATCAGGGATGTAGACATGTAGGTGGGTTTTGGCAGGGTTGTAGCTCAGGGTGAAGGCCTGAGTAATCCCCAATTCAGTACTTTTTAGTTTTTATTTTGAGACTTATTTTAAGCCACTAAATTGCTCAAGTTGGCTTTGAACTTGCAATCTTGCTGCCTCAAGCTCCCGGTGTGCTGGGATTGCAGGCCGTGTAACCGTGCCTGGCCATGTGTGTTTTAGAAGGTTCTGATCAGAGGTTGGTTCTCTTAGAATGTGGTATGGAAAGAAATTTATGGTTCATATCAGGCAACAGAAATAAGTAATATCTAAATATAAAAGAAAGAAGTGATTTATAATTATAGATGACATGATTTTATATACAGAAAAACCTAAATATTTCATCAAAAAATGGTAAAACTTGAAAACCAATTCAATAAAGTTACATGATACAAAATCAGCATAGAAAAATAACATTTTTAGGATAATTATACTACTGATTTCTATTGGTTTGTTGAAAGGAACAGTTCCTTCTTAAGTGTTTTATTGATCTTGCATGCCCATTTCTGGTGATCTGAGCAACTACTTTGAAGACAACAATATGTAATATAACAGCTATTGTTAATTTCCTATGACCTTGTTTTGAAATTGTTATCATTTTTATTGTTTTTAGCTATTTTTGTTTTTGATTTTGGGGGGGTTTCTGTGTTTGTTTTGTTTTGTTTTTCTTTTTAAAATAAAGTTTTTTTAAATGTAAAACAAAAAAATGAAATCTATAATCCATATAAGTGAGCAGGCACTTCCTACTCTTAGGAGATGGAAGAGAAAGATGATACAGCTTTAAAATTCTCAGAAGGCAGGCATTTAGCTAATGTGCCACAAAATCAAGGTAAATTTTGTTGCAAAAATATGTGAAAATCCCATCTGCACTGCACTCAAAGCATCAACTGCAATCATTGCAAATGCCCACCCCTAGTTCCTAGGCCCTCAAAACCTTATAATAATTGTAGAAATACCCTAAGTAGTTGTCAGAATTTGCTATGGGTTCATCTGTTGTTGATTTCACATGTAGATGTCCTCCTGACGCCGCATGGAGTCACAGGTGGGACCTCTGGAGGGTGCAGAGGGGACCAGAAGGTCACATCTCCCTTCTGGGCTCCTCCCTTGACTCTGCTTCCTTTCTGCCATGCAGTGAGCAGCTATTCTCTGCCATGCCCCCTGCCACGCTCCCTGCCACGCCCCCTGCCATGCCGTCCTGCCTTGGAGCCAGCCAATCATGCAAGGACTGAGACTGCTGAAACATGAGCCAAATAAACCTCTTTTCCTTTAAATTGTTAGTGTCAGGTATTGTGTCTCAGCATCCAGAAAGTGACTAAGACATCTGCCTTGCCAGGTCTTTTATCTGGGAAGTGTACGAGACAGTGACTTCTCAGTGACAATACCTGGAGGTCCATCAAAGCCTGGAGGGCCTGGCCTCCCAGGGTAGGTTACATTACAAGGAATGGTGTCACCTAGAATGCAAAAAAAGAGTGGCATTTCATCAGTTATTGCACTTGAGTGACAGCAATTATGAGTCTCAATGACAACCCATTCAAGATATTTTTCTATGTAGTATATCTAGAATTCAAAGGAACACAAGTCTCCCAAGTATCATTAGATCACTTAAATTCCGTCTATAACAAATTTCTAAATCCATTCTGAATCTGAATTTCAGCTCTGCAAACAGTTACAAATGTAGTGGAGATAAGAAAAATATTGATTCTAAGAAGTATCAGTTTCAATAGCCTAGGAAAAATAATGTATCTACAAGCCTATGTACACCTGACACCATGGAATCAGGAGCTTTGATAGATCATGAAACAGTGAAGGTCCAACACTGAGTTCAGAATATTTGGCTCCTAGCTTGCGCCATGGGGAATTGTACAAATGACGAGACGAGGCCAGATATTAAGAGCATCTGCCATTTATCGAGGACCTGCCATGGGTCAGGTGCCTCACACACGTTAGCTTGTTTTTCTAACAACTGTGCAACATACCTCCTCTTACCCTCATTTTAATTGGTCTTCTGAGTTGCCATATTCTATTAAAATTTAAGGCTTCACTTTCATGATAGAAATAATATCACATAACTTATTACTTTATAACCTTTCAAATAAAAGCACAAGATGATTTTAAAAACAATGTTATACTTTTCTGGGTTCTAGAACATGAAGTTACACACAAATACAAAGGTATTTGCCAATCCATGTTGTCAGAGCAAGAATTACAGACACTGTTCTACTTCAAAACCTCATAATTAACAATAAAGGCCAAGATATATGTATCTGTTACAAAAGAAAACTTCAGCAAACCTCTTTGTGGTCTTCTTTAGCACTTTCAGTTCTAACCTTGGAAGTCATTTTATTTCTTAGAAATTCACGTAACTCTCAAGTATACTTAAAATATCTTTTTTCCTCTCTAGAATGCTTACAACTAGATTTTCATGAACAATAATTTCTAAAATGAAACATCGATGTTTCTTTTATTAAAACATACTGCATTGTCTCAGAAGATTACAAAAATAGATACTTCAATATATATGTAATTTTAACGTAGTCAGATTATATGAATTGATACTGAGAAATGAATGAAAAGCTATTTTGCTACGTTAAACAAATAATGGAACAAAGACAGCACAGAATTTCAAGATCAGTTTTAAGTATCGATTGTGCTATAAAGCTTGTATATTTTTGACAGTGTGCAAGGTTTGGACAGCAGCTTGGTGGAATTGTAGTGAGCCCATAGGCCATAGCTGTAATAATGTTGTCTAGAAAACACTCACTCTAGCTTTCAGAATTTCATTTTGACATTCTGCACAAAAACATTAAAATTTACCTTTTGGCCCCTTCAAGCCATCAGGGCCCCTCATGCCTGGGTGGCCTGGGATGCCTGGTTGACCTCTCTTTCCTGGTGGACCAGGAAATCCCAGTCCCGGAGGCCCCACTGGTCCTGCTTTTCCAGGGGGACCCGGTGGGCCAGGAAAGCCCTTCTCACCTGGGGCTGCATCTTCATGATCCCCCTGGGAATGTTTACATCATGAGTCAATTACCAATCTTTGAACTAGAAGCAGTCATCATAGGCTACAGAAAAACATGTGAAAATTCTACAATTCCAGGAGACAGTTCTTCTGTAGCAAGTGTAACTTAAAATAAGTTAGACTCTTCTAATATTTTACATACATACTTTGCATGTTTACACACAAATATATGATAAGAATGTGTGTGGTATGCCTCAAATACAGAAAGTAAAGTGCATAATATCGAATAAGATATTTTATAGAGAACTTACCTCTAATATCAAATATTATGAAATATAGAAATAAGTGAGTCAAAGGAGGTGGTGTGCTTACGTGCATATATGCTCTCAAGTATTTGAAATCATTTTCCTGCATTCTGCCAGGAAGGTACATGGATAGACTCTATCACCCTCTACCCCTGTGGGTAAAGGACTAACAAATTCATTCCCCTTCTGCGTGAGAATTTGACCTTAGGCGAACTGTCTGACTCTCTGTTTGTCCAGAAATGAGATAAAAACTGGGTCAGCAACTACATTCCTAAGCAGCGTTGCTGAAACCCTGGTTGTAAGACTTTCATCTGGTTTAGAAGAACTATAAAATCTCTGGATGCCCTTGTTGGGGTTTGCTGGGTGGAGGTTCCTGTGAAGGGCAGGTTTCCAAGCCGTGTAGTACAGACAGCAGCTCCCGTGGGGGTCAGGAGGCGGTACAGGTAAGGCTGCTTTCCCATCTCCGTCTGTGATCTCTTTCCTGCACCACAGCCGGGTGCCCAGGCGGATGCCCACCGCAGGGCTTCTCGGATGTGAGGAGCACCTGATCCTGCCCTGGGGCAAGGTCAGGGTCCTATCTTCTAGCCTTCCGAGTGGCCTGCCTCCCCCACCGCCCCCGTGTGCTCTGTGATAGTCCTGTGGGCCTGGATTCTTCCCGTGCATCCTGAAGGAGCTCTGGCGGGTGTTTTAGAAAAGCGAGTGCTGTAGAAATTCCTTGCCCAATTTGACCTGTAAACACTCTTTCATTTTTCACATTTAGGTGAGTACATTAGGACACATACCACTTGGTGGCCTTGGTTTCCAAATAGTTTAAGTGGAAGATGAATTATTTCCAAGCGTAAAGCACAGATCATTCACATACTCTACACAAGCCAAAAGGCCAGAAAGATTTACGTAAACATCACCGGACCCAGTTTCTAAGCTCTGTCTTTTATCCACGTGTATTTAGTCTGAAAGGGTTTACCATAAAAGCAGAAAGCAGCCCTGCCTTATGTAATGGAACACCCTCTGTAGTTTCCCGGTGCGTGTGGGCAGCTCAGTCCGGGGGGCTCAGTATTCAATTTGGAATAAAACCGCCCAGAGTTTTCACTTCAACTGGAAAGATGGGTAACATTCCCTACACTTCCATTTCGTTACTCTAAAACTGGGAAGATAATTGCCCTTCAGTAGACAAGTGAAAGTTTTAGCCCAGTGTCTGTGATACTATATTGAATACTCCACTGACTTGCATCTTGGTAAATCGAGAAGGAGAAAAAAGAAGCTTTGGTGAAACATCGAAAAAGGGAAATTCTACAGCAGGAGAATTGTACATACTGGGGGTCCTGGGTCTCCTTTTTCTCCAGCGCGTCCATCCTGACCATCTTCTCCAGGCTGCCCGGGAAACCCAGGGGGGCCATGAGGCCCTCTTTCTCCTTTGTACCCTGGGAACAGAGGTCAAAACATATTCAGGTTTTGATCAGCAGGGGCTTAAACAGAACGGAAAACTAGCGATAAAGGCAAGGACTGTGGCTGTGTGTAGATTATAGCTTCCTCTGCGTGTCTCAGTTGCCCAGAGCCACATAAACCATGCCCAAACCAGAGGAGAAAATGACCATCACCAAACCACTTGAATCTCTTTATTAGGGAAAGTCTCCTTTTCCCATTTCCCCAAAGAAGTGGGGTGCCACAGAACCTCACCCCGCCTGTGTGACGCCAAACACCGCAGTGTATCCCTGGCCACTATGACCAAAGCAACGGGCACGATTGGGATCTTTCCCGAAGTGAATCAGTCCTTTCTGAAATTACTTTTCTCACTGGAGCTGACAACACAGAGCTCTCTTCTTCCCTGGGCGTAAGAATGCTGAGGTGCCCGGAGGCATATATCCCACACCCCGGAAAACAGCAGTCTGGTGAGAGAAAATGCAGCTGGGCAGTCCAAGATGAAAGACTCAGAGAAACTCCCGGCTGTACGGGGAGGCCCTGGATCTGGGCGCCCCGGTGCAAACCCCACCTCTCATCTTTCACGATAAATCACCGTCTCCCTCGCGCTCCTTCAAGCTAGGTGTCTGTCATTCACAATTAACATATTCTTGATTAATACGAGATAGTACAACACAGTGAGGGAACAATAGGAAGTCAAAGGAGATTGTCTTTCAAAACCCACATTCACGACAATAAAGATTTGAATATGGGTGCTTATGTTTTCAAGCAAGACACAGGAGATGAAGGTATTGACATTCGTAATATGAGGCAGGGAATTTTTTTAAAGCAATCTCAATAATCCTAAACGATAGAGAATTGATCTGCAGTCACAGGGGAAATTAATGGAAGAGGACGCTCCATACATCTTTCACAAAATGGCAAGGAGCTAAGTGATTGATTGTGCTCACCTTTAACTCTTGCTACCACCATGTCACCCTTTGCTCCCTTGCTGCCAGGAGGTCCTGGAACACCAGCTTTTCCCTGGGTGAAAAACAAGAGCAATAGATTCATGATGATGGGTCCAAATTAGTCATATTTGTGTACCTCTAATCTCCCTTCCTTCTTTTATCCAAAACTCTTGTTGACATTCTTTGTTTGTTTGGTTTTTTTTTTTTTTTTTTTTTTTTTTTGAGACAGGGTCTCACTATACAGTTCAGGCCAGTCCTGAGCTCACTTTGTAGCCCAGGCTGGTCTTGAACTCATAACAATCCTCCTGCCTCAGCCTCCGGAGTGCTGGGTATTCATTACAGGCGTGCGCCACCATGCCCGGCTCTTGTTGACATTCTTATCCTCTGTCCCACCTTCCAAAGCGGTCCTAACTCACAAACTTGAGACTTTTGAGCTGCAAGTAAAAGGCGGTGAAATCTGAATAAGGTCACTGCCTGAGTTCATAGTAATATACATGTAGCTTTCTTGATTTTAGCAGCGTGCCATAGTTATGTAGGGTACCACTGAGGGAAGCTGGGGACAAGATACAGGTGGGCTCTCTGTACGACTGTCCCACCTCCCAGGAGTCTTTAACTATCTCAAATAAAGACTTGCAATTAGTTTTAAAATTGTCTTAGGCTCTGTATTGTAGAACTGAGAAGAAAGATGAGCTAGCTGGAACTGAACGTAGAGGTTCAGGGAGAAACCTAAACCTTTCCTGTGATGAAAGAAGCCAGAAAATAATGTGACGTTCAGGGAAGTTCGTTAAGTTCTCTTGTTCAGTGAGCAAGAGAAAGAAAGCTGAGTAAGAACTTGTCTCAAAAATAAAATAGAAAAGGCTGGGTATGAAGCTCAGTATAAAAGGCCTGAGTTTCATGCCTCGTTCAAAAAAAAATTGATGTTATGGAGTACCAAGCATGACTGTGAGTGCTAAGGATACAGTAGTTGACAAAACCATCTTGCTTTTGTGGTGTTAAGACCCCAATTAAATGGCTATTTAAACTGAGATATTCCTGGGAAAGATTATTGTGTATATTAAGTGACCTGTTATCAGTGACTTCAGGACCGAGAGCTACTTTTCACAATTCGATAATGGAAGATCACTAAACACTTGTGCTAATGCAACCAGAGCCCAGAAAGAACAGAAATTCATGTTTGTCAGGCATTTCCCTGTTGTCTTATGTACAGTCCAGATCAGGAACTCTGTTTTGGCTTATATCTAGATGTCCCCCCAAAGCCTCATGTGCTCATAGGTGGGGCTCTGGGGAGGCGAGTGGGTCATTGGTGTATGATACTGGATCATGTGTGTGCCATACTGGGTGAGTCTACTGCTGGGTCTGTAGCTGGGTATGATTTGGGAGGTGAAGTCTGGTGGGAGGGGGTGGGTCACTGTGAGTGTGGTATGTCTATTCCTTGAATGTTCATTGCTCCCCACTGTCATGCCATGAGCAAGCCTGCTCTACCATGGTGCCCTGCCTTAGAGCCAGCTGACTATAGACTAAAACCTCTACAAACTGTGAGCTACAATAAACCTTCTGCCCTTATCCTGTGGGTGTCAGATATTTTGTCCCAGCAATGAGAAAGTAAGTAAGACAGACTTCAATGGCAGGTATGTACTAGGGCCATGCCTCTCCAAGAGAAGTGGGTGGGCGGCACCACGAGAACTGGACCCTCAGGACTCCCTGATGCACAGCCACCTGGACAGACAAACCAATGGCCATCATGGGAACATATTAACTGTGCTTTTGTGAATATCCAGTTTCTCAAGGAAAGCCATGAATCTCACTGAATAATCCAAAAACAAACACCATAAAAACACAACCACACACTCCATCAGGTTAGGTCCAGCCCATGACAGTGTGTGGCACTTGGTTTGCTTTCAGATTCCTTGGGGGTAGTAACCCTGGCTGTCTTGTTCTCTGGTGTGACCTTACTGCTCTCAAAACTTAGGGCTGCACTTCTGAACAAGGCCACAAGACAGTGTTGTTATGTCCATTTTATAAATGACCATACAGCTCACAAACATCAAAGGGGAATTAGAACCTGGGTCTGCCTGCTCCTGTGGTCAGTCTAACAACCAAATCTATTGACTCTATCTTCAGAATATTCTAGATCTGAACACCTCCCACTCCACCTGGTAGCACCACTTCCATCTGTCTGCTATTCTGTTTCACTAAGGTTGCTCAACTATCTCCTGGCAATCTCTCTGCTTCTCTTGTCTGTGGTCTGTTCTCCACAGACCAACCAGAATAAGTGATCCATTTAAAGTGAATGTCAGACTAAGTCTCTCTCCCTCCTTGAAACTCTCCCCTTCTGTCCCATATGACCCCTAGTAAGAGCTCAGATTTGAACCCCTTGCAAAGTCCTATACTCTGCAGTCCTTCCTAACCTCCTGCCATTTCTCTGATCTCATCTCTTCTGCCACACTGGATGGTGATGGTCTTTGTCTTTTGTCTGTCATATGGTCTGTGTCATCTCTGCGCCCCAGGAGAGTGGAAACCGTGTCTTGCGTCCCTTATATCTTCAGCACCTAGGACAGTGCCTGCGACACAGTAGGCCCTCAATACATAGTAATTCATTGAATAATTAGCTGATGAATAAATGAATATGAGGTATTTTAAGTTAGTAATGATTTTTTAGTTATTAATATTTATAGTTTCAAAATATAGATTCTATCACACTATAAATTAGAAAAGGGTCTCTGTTTCTTTAACTGGAAAGATGATGTCCAGAAGGAGTTACTCACCGGTTGCCCTGGAGATCCTTCAGCACCGGGAGGGCCTGGGTCACCTTTTTCTCCAACCAGGCCTGGAAGCCCCATGTTTCCCTTATCACCCTGCCTCCCAGGCAGCCCTGGGGGGCCAGGAGGGCCCGAGGGGCCAGGTGTGCAGGCGCAGGGACCTTCTTTTCCTAGAGGGTAAAAGTCAGCTTTGTCACATTTCCTGGGAAAGAAATTCCCAATAAGGAATTTTCTATACAAAACCAAGAGTGCAAATAGGCCCCAAAACTGTCTGATGGGCACAATTCTTGTCGCAGATAACTGATAACATGTTGTGGGAGGCCTGGGTGGTAGCTTGGAGCACCCCACAAGGGAAGTTTTCTTATTTCTAAAATGTACAAAGTCTGTACTTGGTTTCTACCAAAGAAAAAAAATGGTTAAGCTGTTAACCCTCAATTGTCCAGGAAACAAGGTAACACACGCAGGGACGGTGTTGTGTATTACAGTGGTTAATTCACCACAACACATTCCTAATCAGCAGGACTTTCAAAAAAAGTCTTTAGGAAAGTCAGACTCCTGGGATGTACTTATGCTGTGTATCATCTGGCCCAGTCACTGAAAAGCTTCCAAATAATTTAAAGTGGAGAACCTAGAGCCACAAGCAAAGAGTCTGGGAAATATGGGACTCACAGAAAAAAAGGAAACAAAATACTGTCCTGTATGCAGGACACTCTGAAAGATCAAGACCTTGTGAGCGAAGTCATCAATCAGGGCAAACTTCGTGGCCTTTTTATTCTAAGGAATGAGGATGCGACTTTTTTGGTGACTTTTAATCGCATCACATCATATAATGAAACAGAGAACTCACAGGGAGTAACTACAGCGAGTAACAAATCTGAACGAAACACCGCACAGTACCTCGCGGAAAGGTGCCCCTCCACCTCCCTACGCAGTTGTCTGCTGGAAATCTCATCTTTGATGCATACTTGCCTTTTTCTCCTTTTGAGCCTCTTCCTCCTGGAGGGCCCACTTTGCCCTTTATTCCTTGTGGTCCAGGGAGCCCAATAGTACAATGTACCACTGCATGGCGGATAATGGGCGGGCAGAGAGAATCACGGAATCTTTGTTAACGTCTCCTACAGAGCAGAAGTCATCCTCCTCCCTGTGTTTGCCTCCTCAGCCCAGTGCTTTGTTCCATCATTCCCCAGGACACCTCCCTCTCTCTCTTTCTCTCTCTCTCCCCTCCTCTCCTTTTCTCTCCCTGTCTCTCCTCTCTCCCTCTTTCCCCTCTCTCTCCCCATTCCTCTCTGTCTCTGTCTCTGTCTCTCTAAAACATGTACACATACATACCATGCACTTGTCATGGCATACACACTTCTGCCACCATAACTGCTGACTAACCTGTCTTTAATCCCAGCCCTACGTGAGCAGAAAACAGACAAAAATAGTTGTCCATGGTAACAAACAACTACAACAGAATAGCAAAACAAAACCAGCAAAAAATAGTCACTATATGAGAAAAATTTTTCTCTTTCAATTGCCAAATATTAGGTAATGAATAAAACATAAATCATGGCTTGCAAATTATGAACACATCTCATTAAAGATGTCAGATAAAATGCAAGCAATAAATTCTACATTCTCCCCCAAGTCCCAGTAGAATAAAAGACTGTCAAGGAATATTATAAAAAGACATAAATCTACAGGACAAGTGAAAAGGGAGTAGTATAACAGCAAACAAAAGTAAAATGCAAAAGGTCTTTGCAGACCCTAAAAATGTTTAGCCTAAACAAGCAACGGGGAAAACTGAGAAAGAAGCAAATTTACATCAGAAATCTCCTCTAGAGCACAGAGAGTAGAATGACAGTGGTCAAAATACGAGGATCAGGGGAGGAGTCATTTAGACAAGAAGATCCCTTCCCCCAAACTGCAGCAGTCAAAAGCAAAAGAAGGCAAAACCAACCAGACTTTCCCAGTGCAGTCTCACCAAAGTGTAAGAAATAGACAATGCCTCAAGAAGAAGACATTAAAAAAACTGTACAATTAAAATAGCAGATAAGGGAGGGCATTCCATCCTTGAAACATGAACAGGCTGTACAAAAGGAACCATTAAAGGAGAAAAAAACAACAATAAAATCCTCAGAGAGAAAACCATACATTTTAACCGTGATAGAAGTTTCAAGAGGAAAGCTGGGCGGTGCAGCTGAAGAAGTCTGCCAAAGCTTTTATAGAAAAATAAAGTGATGAAGAGTAACCAAGCTAAGGTTTAAACAAAAGACATTTAATTGTGCATGAGCACACGTGTGCACGCCCGAGTGTGCGGTAGTGGCGATGGAACCAGGCCCTTTGCACTGAGCTGTGTCTTCAGCCTTTTTTAAATATTTCATTTGGACACAGGATCTCCCTAAGTTACTAAGTTGCCCAAGCTGGCCTTGAACTTGCAAATCTCCTGCCTCAGTCACCCCGAGTGCTGAGATCATAGGAATGTGCCACCACATCTGGGCTAAGACTGTGTTTGGTTTTTATTTTAAAGATAAAAGCATGAAAACATTAACACAGAGACATAAACAAAACAATACACAAACAATTAAAACAATACAGAATTTCAGACAAGGTGATAGGAAATTAAAAATGGCTGTTGTACTACTACATATTGTTATTTTTCAAACTGGTTACTCAGTTAAACAAATATAGGCATGTAAGATTGATCAAACAATTAACCAACAAGTCAATATAAAGTCCAGAATAAGAAAAAAAGGGAGAGAATGGAGGAGATAGTGTCTTCAAAGAAATACTTGAAGAAAATTTTCTAGACATACAGATGTGTTGAACTGACACTTCCCACTGGGTACCTGCTAGTGAATATGAATATACCACCCAAAGGCAAACTGTTATGACATTTAAAGCACTGAAGACTGAAGTTTCTCTCCTACAAGCTTTCCAGAAAGGAAGTAAATTTCAAATAAAGATTCAAGTATATAAATGTTATTGGAGTTTCTAGGAGTAGCACTGGAAAGTAAAAAACAATGCAGAATGTTTCAGAGTCCTAAGGAAAAAAGATTTCCAATCAGAATCTTGCACTCAGCCAAATTATCAACCAAATCACACAGCAGAATTGTCATTTTCAGACAAGCAAGTTCCTCTGCTTTACTCTCTTGTTTACACCCTTTCTTAGGAAGTATATTGCAAGAAATATGAGTCATGAGAAACAAAAGGAGAACCAGAAAGACAGAGGAAAAAAACACATACAGAAAGAGAGACAGATAGAGAGACGGACAGAGACAGAGACAGAAACAGAGAGGATTGAAAACACTTTTTCAGGATAATGGTGAAAATTTTCAAAATAGTATCTCAGCAACAGACCAAAAGTGTAGCTAGGTTGGTAGCACACACATGTAAACCCAGCATTCAGGAGGCTGAGGCAGGAGGATAGGGGCAAGTTCAAGGCCAGCCAGAACTACAAAGTAAGTTCAAGGCAAGCGTGAACTTCATAGTAAAACCCTGTCTCAAAAGCATACACACACACACACACCCATGCAAAAGCATACACACAAAAAAAGTGTAATTTGACCTAATTTGAGCAAGTCAAAAAACTCCAGAAAAGATTCATTCAAAGAGATAATACTGCTAAATTATTTAACAAGTTAGGGTTATAATGATGAGATTTACATAATTCTGGGTGGCTTGAGAGTAGGGTAAACCAACTATATCAAAAACCAAGGTAACACTCAGAGAAAACCAGGTAATTTAAAACATGTTGTGCTAGAGAAGCAATAAATACATTAGGACATGGCTCTGTTCATGCATAGCACTTATATAACCATTGTGTGTCAACAGCGAATACTTATGTAACCAAACCATGACGATAACTATACTGATAATCGGTCATGGCAATGGGAAATATACATATGTGATGGGACACTGGCACACGAGAGTAACATTCATTTTCTGTAGGGGAAGCCAAGAGACAATGCCCACACTGGAAAATGAAGGAATAGCAACATGTGTATATAGAGCATGCAATGCAAAAACAAAGAAAGATCCAGCTACGTGTGTTGAGATCATCATCTCTGGCGAGGAAGGACAGGAGAAGTGGTGGCCTCCTATGATTTCCGTTGTTCATAACAGACCTTATAGGACACTGTGAGTTTTAAACCAGCTGATAAAAACAAACACTATGTTTAAGAAGTATTGATTTACAAAATTCGATCATTCACTCCTAAATCCCCAACTGATTAATTGCATCTGTTATTGTGCAACCACAGTTTATTTATTTGTCAAATAATTTTAATATTACTAACTTGGCTCATGAAATATTATAGAACCATTTTAAATAGTTAGAAATATATACACTTTGAATGATCCTGCAGAACTCAAATGCAGCATAAGTGCTAGCGAATACCAATGAGGAGCACTTTACCATCCGGTCCTGGGGGTCCCTGCAGCCCTGGTACTCCGGGTAAGCCAGGCGGTCCTGGCTGGCCTGGTTGTCCCGGGGCACAGTCAGGTCTCCCAGGTATACCCGCTGCTCCTGGAAACCCTGGAAGACCAGGAAGCCCTGGTGGGCCAGGAGGCCCCACCATGCCTGCAAGAGAAAGCAAGAATGAAACCCACTTGTTCTTGCAGAGTAAAAATTTCTGCAGAAGAAATCAAAATCAGTACATGCATCCTTAAATCATGGAACTCTTAAAGGAAAATGGATGGGGCTATAGGGCATTACACTCAGTGACATATCCCAGGCACAGAAAGAGAAATGTCTATGATCTCACTTGAATAAAATAATGAAAGTCACAGAAGGGGAGAGTAAAGTGACAGTTGTCAGGGCAGAAGCAAAGGGAAAAGAGGGTAACAAAGTCTCAGTTATGTAAGATGAGTACATTTGGGAGATCTAATGCACAACATTGGGCAATATTGAACAATATATACTATATACTTGAAAATTTCAAGGGGCTAGATCTTAAATTCTCTCTCTCTCTCTCTCTCTCTCTCTCTCTCTCTCTCTCTCTCTCACACACACACACACACACACACACACACACACACACACAAATAGTAACTGTGTGGGGGTGACGATACATTAATCAGCTGGAACGTGATAATCATTTCAGTGTGTACCTATGATGGAATGGAGAGTTATATACCTTAAGAAGATAAATTTTTATGTTAATGATACTTCATATCTCAATAAAGCTTTTTCTTAAAAAAGAAAATTGTTGCTGATGACAGTGCTCAAAAGAAGCAGAAGTAGAAAAAAAATGTTTAGACAATTTGGTTTGATACGAAGCATATTATAGCCAGAAATCAAGAGTCAAATCATGATAACCTGAATAAACTACATTAAGTGAAAAAAAGGAAAACATAGCTCAAAAATAAGTGAATAGCTCAGCCATCAAAGTACCTGGCTTCCTTTGAAACAAACACAAGTGCAAACAAGTTTGGGGGATCAGATTTTCCTACCTCTTTACCTTTTCAGGGTTATAGGGTAAGAAATACATTTTATTTAATTAAAATTATTTTTCTTTCAATCTTTCTACCTTAATACCCTGTTAAGACTAATCTGAATAAGCTTATTAGCCATGTAGTGGATAAAAATATAGACTTACCTAATTGTCTATGTAGGAAATAAAACACCCTACCTTTCATAGCAGCTCAGGTTGCCAGGGAAGCACAGAGGTGCCTGATTAGAATTTGGACTCTCCCCTTCTAGCCATGGGACTTTAACAGCTATTTAGCTGTTGAATCTTTGGTACCTGTCTGGTAGGCTTATTGTGAGGATTAAATATAAATTCCGTGTAAAGAGCTCAATGCAATATCTAGCCCTTCAGATGTTCTGTGTGTTCACATGAGGTTCAAAGTGGTGCAACAGCAGGTAAATCCTACCTGCCCTTGACATCCAACTGCTCTTGCTGGTGTCCTTGGCTTAAAGGTAGCTGGAAGCCTCCCGATGAATGTGACCACTTCTCCTAGTTCCTTCTTCCTAAGCATGCCTGGTTCTAAAATCTCCTCATGGAAGACTGCATTTCTCAAAGGTAGCATCACAGCTGCTCTGACCCTGCTTGTTCTTGTACAACTTTGACATGTCCCTACTGCTCCTGCCCTGTGAGCTGAAGCACCTGGGACTGGAGTCCTGAGACAGCTGTTCGACTTTGAAGCCTCCTGTGCTGTATAGAAGCCTAAATAAGGAGGAAACCTTATGGCTTTTGTCTAGACATCCCCTCAAAGCCTCATGTAGTCTTAGGTGGGGCTTTCCAAAGGTAGATGGACCCAGAGTGCAAGATGCTGGGATTAAAGTGTGTGATTACTAAATTAGTGACGTAGTTCTGAGTGTAGATAATGGGAAGGTCCTCTCTGGGACTGAGTGCTACCTGCCCTAGGCTGGATAGAATATAAGGGACAGAAAGACAGCTGCTGCTGCCACTTGCTCCTTGCTTCCTCGCTACTTCATTGCTTTGCTGCCTTCTTGCCTTCTGCCTGCCATGGACTGTTTCTCCTCTGCGACGCCTGTCTGCCATGCCACCCTGTCTTGGAGCCAGTCAATTACGAACCGAAACCTCTAGAAACTGTGAGCTGAATGAACCTTTGCTCCTTTAACTTTGGGAGTTGTGTATTTTGTCTCAGCAATGAGAAAAGTAACCAAGACATACAGGAAAGACACTACGGACCAGGACTGAATCTCTACTTCCTGCACCTCTGTGACTGTGGCAATATGAAAATCCTGAAGCCAGAAATGCTCAGGTTAGTTCTTCCTGAGCTCTTAAACTACAGAAAGAGTGAGAGGCTAATATAGTAACTGTTGTTGTTTCAATCCACTAGATTTTGGGGTGATTTGTTCAGCAATAGACCATGAAAACCCTGTCAGTAACAGTGATATAGCACACAAGTTAAGTCAATAGCTATTGTTATCTTGTGCATATATGCTGGCGCTTCACGTACATTTGCAAACATTATCTTTTCTTCATAGAAAACCTGCAAAGGTTATACCTTATAGATAGCACACACAAAGTTGCGGTCAAATATCAGTAACACTGTAAAAGAATAGCTAATGCGCTGACGCTTTACTATGCACCAGGATTGTCTACATATAACTTCTTTCCACCCTAAAAAGAGCCCATTTTATGAATGAGAAAATTGAGTTACAGAGATGTTTAATCAATGCCCAAGATCAGATAGTTTATAAGTAGCAGAAATTAGAGTATTTCTAGTTCTATGCTATACTATGTGGTTTCCACTATATGGTAAGGCTGAGACCTGATTACAAGCACCTGACTCTCAAACCTTTATCTCATGGCAGGTAATGTAGACAACTCTGACAATTATATATATAAGAAGGGCTATATACTTTGATGTAGTAAGAACAAACGAAAGCGCACCTCCCCTCCTCATATATCTGGCTGCCATCTGGGCTTCCTGCTCTTCCCAAGACCTGACTGGGATTCTCCGCAGTGAGGCACTGGATTACTTGGATGCTTGCTACTGCCTTTGACCTATTGCCAGGAAGGATGCTCCACGCCCTTCTAACAGAGAATGGGCTGCACTGTATTTCATTCTTGACCCCTCGACACTAAGGCATGAAATCAAGTACATTGTGGCAAGCATTAAAATTTTTTTCCAAAGAAAAGAGTGGAATAAAAGATAGGGTGTATCACATACCAAAAAGGTGTTATGCTGTGAAGTTTGTTTCAATCCATGGGATTACATATATACATTTGAGTAATGTAATATAAACAGAGGCAAAATAAGGTACATTTCTTTTTTTTTTAACAGAATGAAAAAACCAAAATAACAACATAAATAAAAACAAAACAAAAACAATAAAAATGATACAGAGTTTCAAAAAATTGTAGGAATTAACAGTGGTTGTTATATTACATATTGCTACCTTCAGTGAAGTTGCTCAGATTAGCAGGTGTAAGAATGCAAGATTGATCAAACCATTAAAGAGGATAACAAATAATTTTAAAAATTAGATATGATACAGAACTAAACAATATGGTAGGAATCTTGGAAACAACCCAAATGTCCATCAACTGAGGAATGGATAAAAAAGATGTGGTATTTTTATACAATGGAGTATTACTCAGCTATAAAAAAGATAAACCCGAGGCTTTTATAGGTAAATGGATGCAACTACAGACCATACTCGTAAGTGAAATAAATCGGATCCAAATGTGTAAACATCGTATTGTCTCCCTAGTGTAAGAACCTGAAAGAGTAAATAAAACCAAAAGTGTACAATAGATGTTATGAAAGGGAAAGAAATTGCTGAAAGGAAGGAACAACTGGAATGAGGAAAAGAAGAAAAAGAAGGAAGCAAGGAAAAAGATGATAGATAGATAGATAGATAGATAGATAGGATAATTATACTGCTAATGTCTAATGGTTCATTAAAAGAAACAGTTAATGCTTAAATTTTTTGACCAGTTTTACATGCTTATATCTGGTAATCTGAACAAATAATTTAGAGACAACAATATGTAATATAAAGTACATTTCTTACTATGGATCATAGTTGATATTTGAAAGCCACTGGGTTAATTTATTTTTTAAAAAGGCTTGTGGAATTAAAAGCCTCCTGTATGTCAGAGTTTGAATCTTCTAGAGACTCTTTTTATCTACTCCCATTGGGTTTTGATTTCAACTTGCTGGAGACACTATTTCATTATAAACAATACTAAAAGTAGAAATCTAAGACCAGAGTCTATTGCTTTCTAACCAACAGAACATTCTGTCTGATTTGTACAACCCTGAGTCAACTGGTGGCATAAAAAGTTCATGATCTAAACAAAGCTATACTATCTTTCTAGCCATCTAGCCCTGCAAAGTAGATGCTAGATTTGCAGATTAAACAAGAATTTTGTAGTTAGCAGCTGAATACCTCAGGAAACTTCTTAGACTTTCTCAGTAAATATAATGAGATTCAAGCTGGATAACATTACATTTAAGACTTTTCTCCTCACAGATTTACTCGTTCTCCCAGTTCACAGAATGCAAATGTCCTCTAACTTCTATCCCCAACCTTACTAGAAATACTAACCAGCTCAGCTACCCAAGGAGCTCACCATCCTTATGCCAACAGGACTCTTTCCCAGGCATTTAGTCAAATGTCACTATGATCTATAGTTCTCTTGTTTTTGTTTGTATTTTAAGAAGAGGAAATCCTTTTCTTTGAAGTAAGGCTGAATCAAAGTGATATTTTTAATCAAAAAATTTTTTGCACATTTTGTATACAAGGATTAAATTGGGGCCTTGGTAGATGAATGGAATTTTACAAGTAGATGTCAACAGGGAGAGCCTTCCAAGAGGGTGGGAAAACTGAGGGAGCACTAGCTCTAGCCACAGTTTCAAAGCTTACATGCAGGGGGCAATCTTGGCGGAGATCTGTTGTATGTATGTATTCTTCACAACACCACTGATAGATCTGATGTCCTGTATTCTCTCCTAATAAATGACTGACTTGAGTTCAGCTATCTTTAACCCTGGCTGTACATTAGAAGTGCAGGGCCACACTCACACTGCAGAGTCCAGCATGCTGGATTTGGGAAGAGAAGGCACTGATCTCTTTCAAACACTCCTAAGACGATCTCAGTCCCAGCTATCATGGGCGATGCTGGTGGATGCGATGTAGGGAATCTCCCATGTAAAATGCGGTAGATTCGTACCTGGACAAGCTTCCCCTGGTTGGCCCGGAGGACCTGGGGGACCAGAGGGTCCAATAGCTCCCACTTCTCCATAGCGGCCAGGGAATCCTGGGTCCCCTGGAGGACCTGCCAAAGATCATGACGGGTGTCAACAAACAGATGCTGTATACATTTTTAAATTCAGACACAATGACCTTTTGTGAGGCTGCTTAAAATGTAATTAGGGGACTCTTGCAGGGGTTTTTTGCCATACTTTAGGTGGAATATTTTAGATTGGGTCTTCCCATGCTGTGCTTCACACACGAACTTTGACTAGGCCCTCTTTGTCATTGATTTGGGCTCCTAAATAAGATGTAGCACCTCAGTTGGTGGTAGTCAGATGATCTTATATATTTTTTAGCAATTAAAAGTATTATTTTCTGAAGGATGTCATAATAGAAATCACAGCATACAGTTTGCCAACTGAAATAAAATTTGATATATTATGCCACAAGACATGAGCCAAGATGTACATCCCTACCTGCACGGGTATAATTGTATTTTCATGTTAAATTTCATGTATTAACTTGCCTAGTGTGCAAGCTACAGGAATAATGGGTCGGACTCTTCTGTCTGGGACACTCAAAGTCTCCCTATTCCTACATAAACTGTGGAAGAACTGAATGCGACACAAACCTTTGAGTGGAAGAGATGGAGTTACCAAAACACCTGGTGGTCCCGGGTACCCGCGGTCTCCAGGATCCCCCTGAAATTATTTATTTGTTCACTTTTCTTGGAAGTACGACTGTTTAACTCATGTTGCCTGGCATTAAACAAATATAAGAAAGGCCATTTGCACGCTCATATACATAGAGACTGTAGGCTGACTAGAGAAATGAATGATTCATGGAGTTCCAGAACAGAGATACATTGCTGTCCTACCTACACACAGAAGTAAATAAGAAGCTGACAAAACTCTCACAAAAGAAAAAAAAATTAAAGTCCAACAAAATTTTTCTATGGTCAAACAATAAATACTTCTGAAGTCACTAAGTTTTTTAGATATAGAATAAGCATTAATATGTAACTTGGCGCTGTAGTACGAGTAACTTATTCACCATGTAAATTCTAAATCCTTATTGCATTCTGGCAGCAAATATTGTCTCCCTTGATCTTAATCATGTCTCCTGGTGCCATGATCACTTGTTGTGAACAAGTACCAAATGTCAGGTCACAGTGGTTACAAAGGAAAGAAACCCATGGCATGGTAGTAAAGGCAGACCGCTCTCTAAGACGCACTCTGTTTTTAATTTCAATATTATGTGATCCCATGCAATTTTAGAAACTTTAAAAGAATCATTTCTGAAATGTAAAACATAATCATGAGGCTGGGGATGTGTCTCAGTGATATTTGCCTACTATGTGCAAGGTCCAGGGTCCATCGCCAGCAGAATAAATAAACAAACACCACACCATAGTTATGCTTAACATGATAATGATAGGATAAAATAATAATCATGGATACTAATGCACAGCATGCATTCAAATGCTACAAAACTAACTCTTTCAAATGTTACATTTTTGAAAGATTCTCTGAAAAAGACTTTAAAAAATAAATTAGATAATGTAAAGGATATGACACTTTGTGACATTTTAAATAAGATCACTTTTTTACCTTTGGGCCAAGAAAGCCAAATAGCCCAGGATCTCCAACCAACCCTTGTTCTCCCTACAAACAAGCACAAGCATATATTTTTAAAAATTAAATATAATTAGGTAACAAATTAGCTCATCCTCATTTAATTTGAACAAAACAGGCTCGCTGAGATGCTGAGGAAAGTATAAACACTGCTTTTGCACTACATCAGATAGTTCTGAGGTTCAGGTCTTGGACCCACAGCCCAATCCTGCAATCCACAAAATGAATGTGTCTGCCTTTCCAATTACTATAAGGGTTGGCATCCAATAGCATAACTTCTGAAAGATGTTGAATTACATTTACTGATGAAAAGGTATCTGTTATCTCTGTAATAGTGTACATTTACCTTTAATCCTGGAAAACCTGGAGATCCAAAGGAACCAGGGTAACCCTAATCAATTCAGGAAAAATCAACACACAGAGTTAAATTAAAATGCATGAGCCAGTTCATTGTACGACTTTTTTCACCTTATCAAATTGTTCTATGGATAGTCTTGATTGCAAAAACAGCTGAATAAACAGAAATTAATATGACAGATTCCATTTATAATTTTTGCTACTTTGATCCTTAATCTTATTTGATTCATGTCATTGCCAGTGTTTTAATTAAGAATATACTTTTGTTCCTAACCTAAAAGCGACTAATAAATACATGAAAAAATATTCAGCATCATTGGTCATTCAAGAGATAGAAATTAAAGAACACCGAGATCCCATTTCACCCCAGTAAGAATGGCTACCATCAAGAAATCAACCAACAACAAATGCTGGAGGGGCTGTGGGGAGAAAGGAATCCTTCTTCACTGTTGATGGCAATGTAGACTGGTGCAACCACTTCAGAAATCAGTCTGGAGATTCCTCAAAAAATTAGGATTAGAGGTCCCATCTAACCCAGCTATTCCCCTTCTGGGTATTTTCCCAGAAGGATTAAAAACATCAGACCACAGAGATATATGTGTACCCATGTGTACAGCAGCACAATTTGTCATAGCAAAATCTTGGAAACAACCCAAATGCCCATCAACTGAGGAGTGGATAAAAAAGATGTGGAATTTTTATAAACTGGTGTCCTACTCAGCTATAAAGAAAGATAAACTTGAGGCTTTTATAGGTAAATGGATGCAACTAGAGATCATACTTATAAGTCAAATAAATCAGACCCACATGTGTAAACACTATATTGTCTCCATAGTGTAAGAACCTGAAAGAGTAAATAAAATCTGAAAGGTACAAAGACATTGTAAAAGGGAAAGAAACTGCTCAATAGGAAAGAACAACTGGGATGAGGGAAAGGAAAAAAGAAAGAAAGAAATAAAGGAAAAAAAATGTATTTATACACAAGATAGCTGAGATAATTGTGCTACTAATTGGTTTATTCAAAGGAACAGTTAATGCTTAATTGTTCAGTCAATCTTGCATACCTACATCTGGTAATCTGAGCAACTACTTTGAAGATAACAATAAGTAATACAACAACCATTGTTGATTTCCTATCATCTTGTTTTGAAATTCTGTATTGTTTTTGTAGTTTCTGTGTTGTTTTGTTTTTGTCTTTGTTTCTGTTATTTTGTTTTTGTTCTTTTCTCTTTAAAATAAAAATAAGAATATACTTTTGTTGTTATGACCTTCCAATTTTAACTTATTCAATTTAATACTTGCACTAGGTCAAATATCTTTAAAAATCACTGCAATATATGTCTGGAAATTAAGAGTTGCTCTGTGAATCATTCATGATAAAAAAAAAAGGCCATAGAAACCAATATTACCCCATTCAGCACTAAATCTAGAGGCAAATAAGCTCAGTGCTTGTGGCCAGCCAGGAACTGGCCTGTATGGTGGCTTCGTGGGGCATCCCATTGATGACACTGGTGGTGATAGTAGTGGCCTGATTATTGTGCTTTTCTCCTAAATTCTATTCCTAGATCAGCATCTTATGTTTATGGAATTGGCTTAAATTAACGACTTCAAATAACTATTACACTGATACTGAGCTACACAAGAATTGCCATAATCCTGTCACTTCTCCCTGTATTTTTTGTCTTCCTCTTGCCTATTCTGTCTGAATGATATCATTAGAAGGAATGCCTTGGGACTTTTACCTATCACACAATCTTTGTTCTCCAAAATATACAGTTCTTATGTGAGATGTCCTCTGCTTCTAAGCACATGGGAATTAACAAATCTACTCTTAAATATCTGTCATAGAAGCTCATAACAAATGATCCTTACCCGAGGTCCTGGGAAGCCAGGAATACCTTTCTCTCCTTTTACCCCAAGGCCAGGTTCTCCCTTTAAAAGATGACAACACTTAGGATTCAAGCAGAACTATTTCATGAACAAGAAATCAGCAACTTAAACAACTACATTAGACTCGAGGCCTTATAGAATTATAGGGAGATAGCAAAAAGGTCTGGTAAAGTGGATGTATGATCAGACAGCACAGTTAATATTTAAATCAAAATTATAAAATTTACTATACTAAAAGACACATTGCCACAAATCACCCTCATGTTGTCTCCCCTCACGTAGAAGCACTTATCCCATCATTCTTGCCACTTTGGAGTAGTGACGGCAATCCTCTTTTGTGAGTTTCTTTAAATGTGCTCCTTGTTGAAGAAAACAATATGTAATCTAACAACCACTGTTAACTTCCCATCATCTCGTTTTGAAATTCTGTATCATTTTTATTGTTTGTGTGTTGTTTCATTTTTATCTTGGTTGGCATGCTATTTTTGTCTTTTCTCTTTAAAATTATAAATAAATAAATAAACAAGTGCGTGCTCTCATGGCTGCCTTGATGTCCTGAATTGATTCAAAACATTTATGGCAGTCTCTGCTAAGTGAAAACCATATGGTGTGTCCTCACTCACATTATTCATTGGATCTGGCAACATACAATTTCTAGGTCTTTCCTAAAGTCTAAGTGACCAGGAAAGGGGGACGTTTTGAATCTATTCATGACATGAAGGCAGCCCTGACAGTGCAACTAAACGACTTCATGAAAGAGGACTTCAAGAACTGCTTCAGGAAGTGGCAAGAACTATGGGATAAGTATGTTTGAAGCAAAGGGAAACATTTTGAGGGGGATAATGGTAATGTGTCTTTTACTATAACTTTTGAAAAAAATTAAACATTCACCGTAATTTTCTTTTTTTTTTTTTTTTTTTTGTTGTTGTTGTTGTTTTTTTTGTTTTTCTCCGGTACCGGGAACCGAACTCACGACCTTGCGCTTGCCAGGCAGGCGCTTTTGCCGCTGAGCTAAATCCCCAGCCCCTCACCGTAATTTTCTAACACACTTCATATAGACTAGCATTTAAAACAATGGCATGTCATGCAAAATAACATTCGAAATTAAGTCAGCACCTAATGTAAATGAAAAAGATATTTAAATAAACTACCTTGAGTCCTGGTGGTCCTGGAGATCCAATCATTCCAGGAATTCCCTTTATACCCTAAAATTATCACAAAGAATATAATCTGACTTATGCACCAAAAAGATTCTGTCTCTCAGAAATCATCTCTTCTGACAACCTGTTTCATTAGTTTATATTAATACGAGATTGCTCTTCACCTGCCACTAATTACCGTGACACTTCAAGACAGTCTAAGAAATGTATGAGGTATGGGGTGGACCAGCATGGAAGCAGTCACTGAAAGTGGCTCATCTTGAGCAAGTTAGTGGAATTAACTAGTAATTGAAAAAAAAAAAAAAAAGGAAGAAAAACAGAATCTGCATGTGGCATCAATAATATTAGAGCTAAAGCTAAGAGAAAAATTAACATCTGCCGAAGAGTCTATTAGGTGTTCATTTCTATGCATTTGTTATCCTTTCCATTATCAAGACATCAAACCCATCTATAGCATCTAAGGACAGACAACTGGGCTCCCTCCTGTGGTCTTTTCTGTTCACATATCAAACCAACATTCAAGAGGCCCTGTATTATGCAGGTCTTGGCACAAGTTAGGAGCCTGAACGATTGCCATTCAGCAGCTGAGAAAACCTGAGAACATGGGACCTTCCAAGCCTTATTGTTCACGCCCAATACAACGGTACTAATAATAGCACCGGCCTGTGAAGGCAGCTTTGGGATCAGCACTGTGATGCAGATAATGTACTCAGCACTTTGCTGCCGTGGGTGTGTGTTCAGGAAGTGTCTTCTGCTACTATTTTACCAAGGTGACTTACGGTTTGATTTATGAGTAGGTATTACCTTTTCTCCTTTAAAGAGGCAAAAGTCAGGCGGCTCTACCAATAGGGTGGGTCCAGGAAAACCTTGCTGGCCAACTTCACCCTTGGAAAAGAAAAAACAGGGGAATGGTACTTCTATATTAATTTATGTTCTGAAGCAAGAAAACTTCTACCCATGCATTATGCCACAGTGCTTCCAACTCTGTGTCATTAATTTCAAATATAAACCACGGCAAAGATGTCATATTATTCAAAATGATAGCTTTTGTTTCTTATTGAAATGATGTAAATACAGTTGAATATAAATTTAAAAATAAACATGACTCATAATCTTATCATCCAGAGATAACCTCTATTAAAGAGTTGGTATAATTCCTTGTGGTTGTGTGTGTGTGTGTGTGTGTGTATATATATATACATACATACACGCATATATCTATATATACAAATGTATATACATATATGTGAGTAAATGGTGTGTTAAATGTAATTTTAAAAATAATCAGAATAACACCAATAATACATAAGCATAACTTAGAATATACAATATAATTTATATTTTATTATTTTTAAACAATGTCATGCTTTTATGACAATTTGTGAGCATTTTCCAATTATACTAAAACTTCTTCAGGATCACGATTTTTTTGTTTGTTTGTTTGTTTTCTGGTACCAGGAACCGAACTCACGACCTTGGGCTTGCCAGGCAGGCGCTTTGCCACTGAGCTAAATCCCCAGCCCCAGGATCATGATTATTAATGCCTAACAAATAATCTATCACAAAAATGTACTATGATTTGTAAACCAGTGTGAACTGGCTAGATTTTTAAAATTTATATTAAATAAATTTATTTATTTTTAATAACATTTTAAAACTATATAAAATAAGTGGCCAAAAGTTTTCATTTGTATTATTATAGATATTGTCTTGGAGAAAAAAGTCTTTTGAATTGATTTTTCAATAACACAACAATAAATTCTCATCCTTAATTCATTATTTTGTATTTTTCTGATTGTTGACATGGTTCTGCACTTAGAATTATCATCCCCTACTGGCAATTAAAACCAGGTCACCTGTGCTTTCAAATCAGGCCCTGCTGGCTGTGGGACACTGGGCTATTTACAGTATCTGTTAACTCTAGTTTCTTAAATTCCTCTACATCTCACTTTTACTCTCAGTGAAAGAGGTTATAACATTGCTTACTTCAAAGTATTATTTTATTAAATAGAAAATATACATAGGTGTGTTTAGCTGCACATTAAGAACAAAGTCTATTTTCAAATAATATAATTACTCAGCCGGGCGTGGTGGCTCACGCCTGTAATCCCAGCACTCGGGAGGCTGAGGCAGGAGGATCTTTGCAAGTTCAAGACCAGCCTGGGCTACAAAGTGAGCTCAAGGCCAGACTGAACTGCATAGCGAGACCCTGTCTCAAAAAAAAAAAAAAAAAAAATTAAATCAAATAATACAATTACTAAAGCCATTGGTTTTGGTAGGTGGGATTTTTGAAGGAATACTATTTCAAGTTTACATGAAAATAAAGGAGTTCAGTCTCTGCATAGATCTGGGAAACTAGCTATAGAAGAGTCTTTTTTCCCCTTTGATGTATCCTGCTAGTATAGTGTTACCAGCTACTCTGCATATTGCATAAATAAATGATTAAACCAAACTCATAAGCAACGCATGAGTAAATGACTCATATGTGCTGGTAATGTTAACTACACTTATTCTCAGAGCTGAGGTAAGTTTGAGGACATCCCACAGAGGCTGGCAAAAAGGGAGCTCTTCAAAATATGGCCCATGTTAGTAGTTTTTCATATTGTAAAAGTACCATATATTCAGTGCAGTCAAAAACACACATAAAAAAGAAAACCACGAAGAATATTATGTTAAAGAAAGTGCATAATTAGATCGCCTGGGAATAATTAGTAACCATTATGTACGGCAGTGTTTCTTAAAATAGGGTAGGGAAACATGTTCTTGAACACCTGAGAATTCCGTATCAAAATTCCATCTGACGCTTCACTCATCTGACAATCTACAAGCGCTAATGCAAGCATATTTGGGATCATGTGAAGGGCCACCTCATAACCAAATACATCCACACTACTCCACAGCCTGAGTCTGCAGATGCACCCACTTGCCTGGGCGTGGAAGGTCACCCAGCTTCGGTGCTTGCTTGGCTCTACGAGGCACGGGGCTTGATTACGTGAGATGTGTGCTCCTGGCTTTGCCGAACATTCGCAGGGGTCCGTGATGCCCCAAGTGTGACAAAGATTATTTCAGTGTCTTTGCATTCAGTCAGTTGTCTGCGTCAGTGGTTCTCAAGGCTCGAAGGGGAAGGAAGTGATGGGAAACTGCCTCCTCCCAGGGACATTTGGACATCTTGACATGTTTGATTGTCACGGTTGAGGGGAAAGGATGCTGCTAGCATCTAGTAGGTAAAGGATATATGCTACGAAAGGTCCTGAAACCCAGAGGATGGCCCCCGAACACAATGAGCTACCAGAAGTGCTCAGGTTGAACAATCCCTCTCTAAGTGTACATTGTAATGTCCTTTTGCTTTCATTGATTGTTCTTACGATCTTGGGTTTACAAGTTTTCAATTTGTTCTTTCTCATCAACATTATACCACGGACATTTCTCCACATCCTGCAGACTTCCTATGTATTTTTGGCTACAGCATTGTTCCCTTAATGATTATGCCATAGGTGACCATGCCAGGACTACTGAGAGCAGGAATCAGGACTATCTTGCTAAGTACCCATGCTCGGTGCCCATCACAGCCTGGCTTAGGATAGATGCCCAGCTTCTGTTTGCCCATCATTATCAAAAGAGTAATTCACCTACCATTGGGCATACAGACTGTTCCCACACAAGCCACCACCTGAAATCACTTTTCCAAAGAGTATCCCGACTAAGGTTCATACTACAGTAGAAAAGCCTGTGCATGTGAAGAGGGGAGAGGAGGGGAGGAGGGCCTGGGAGAAGGGAGGAATAGGGCAGAGGGGTAGAGCAAAGGGGGAGTGTGTTCCTAAATGCTTATATTCATATGTGGACTTTAGGATTCTGATGAAATTTTTGAAAGTAAGCCAAACAAATCAGCAATTAAGCAAAATTATTGCTCCTGAGATTTATACAGTCAAAAGTGCTACATCTCTTCTTGCTAGGGTAAAATGTATCACATAAATTAATTTGAATTTAGTGTTAAGTTTTGCCTGTCATGTTACAGTTAAGGTGGTGGTGCTATAATATTTCAGCAAAGAGAAGGTCTCCGCCATAAAAGTGGGCAGAGACTAGGTGATGGACACAAGCTAAGTACCAATCAGGACAGCCTCCACAACTAGAGTGCGCACGCATTTTAACATCCGCTCCTCCCTGCAAAAGAGGATACTTACGGGGTCTCCCATTTGCCCTTTCACTCCCACACCAGGATTGCCCTGAAAAAGAGACAAAAGTAACTCTAATTGCTTTGGAATTTTAAAAAAGTAATAAAAAGCAAGTAAGATTTTTGCTGACATTTATTCAAATACTTTGGGAAGTCTGATAGGAGGGAAGATAAAATTCTGACAGATACCAGATACTAGTTATTTCATTAAGTGGGGTCTGCTTATGTATCTTACGACCACCTACCTTCAAACCTGGACTCCCAGGGTGGCCTGGAGGGCCCTACACCAAGGACAAAAATACCACAAATCAGTTATCAGTCGTAGACATTAGAATGTATCTCACTGATTGCCCCAAGTTCCAATGTAGGAAACACTTGATTTTAAAGTATGCTTAGTATGTTCTTACTTATATGCAAAAGCTGAAAAGAAAATGATCCCAGATAAGCAGATGGCAAAATAACAGAGAGCAGAATAGTTCAGTCTAAGAAGCCTGGATAGGGGAGAAGAGGGAAGAGAGATGAGTTGTGTAATGGGCACAAAAATACAGTTATAAAAGAGGATTGAGTTCTAGTATTCTACAGCACAGGAGATGAATATTGCTAATAGTAATACTTTTTAAATGGCTACAAGGTTTTGCATATTTTCAATACAAATAGTAAACATTCAAAGTGATACATATACTAATTTCTTGGTTTGATTATTATACATTGTATGCCCATGTGGAAATATCACACTCTACTCGTGATTATATACAATAATTGTGTGTCAACTAAAAAACGTGCACGATGGACTTTGTGCCGTGGATGGGCCGTTCTATACAAACATGACGCCAGTGGCTTCTCATACAGGGAAGCTGCGTATGGATATGCATTCCTGCCAGTGAGGGTGGAGCTATGTCGGTCTGTGAGCTTGTAAGTATTCAAGAAAAGCTTATACCGGGGCCTGACCTGGGCCTTCAGGTTCACTTTCTACATTTAGTTTTATGTTGCCTCTGGATTTTGGAGGCCCAGCGTCCTCAGGGCTGCACTTACTGTTAACCCTGGTGCTCCGGGATCTCCCATGGGGCCTTTGGGTCCTTGGGGACCTCTGGATCCCTAGACAGGAGAAAAATCAGCACATTTATTTAAAAAAAGGTCACAGTCCTCACTCATAGCATGAGTTGCATGTAATCGCATGTGGATAAAGACCTCCAAGCAATCAGTTCCCACCACATCTGCTCAGCTAGAAGATCTTCTACTGAGGTGGACGGCAGCAACAACTCTGGTAAATGTGAAAAATTCCTGTGATCAGATTCAGTTCAGACTCAGGAACTAATCTTTTTTAAAAACACAAATCTTGTAAGAGTGAAAGACAAGGACACCCAGAGTACTGACACACAACAGTAGTCCCAGCTACCCAGCAGGCTGAAGCAGGAGAATCACTTGAGCTCAGGAGTCTGGGCAACATAGCAAGATCCCATCTCAAACCAACAAATACAAAGCTGAGCATAAAGAAAACTTGTTGTTGGCTATTCTTAAATTCCATAGATACTATATCGTAATTTTTAAAAAATATTAGGATTAGTTAACATTAACATTTAAATACCAATGTATTCCTATTTTTAATACATGTGTAAAAGTGGTCTACAAGACCAGAGTGAGCAGAAATGTTATCCCTTCCCTGGAACAAGATGACTCCACCATGAGCAAGTCTATGAAATATGTAAGTCACAGTATAACTACACACATTGCCAAAGGAAGGCTCTACCCAGGCAAGTCGGAAGGGTAGAAAGAAGCCCTCTGCACTACCTTCATGTCAAATAATTTTTGAGTGTATCAAAGTTGCCCTCTGTATGAAGCTGGGCTGCTATTTACTTAAAGAGCAACACCAAAAACATCTCATTTATTACACAGAACTGATCTTCTTACAGTAACATGAAAACCAATCTGGGAAAATAAATCTGTCAATACCAAGACATTGCAAAACCAATTTAGGGATAATCAGAGAAATACAATCAAGAAAACATGGAGCAAGATATTAAATATAATACACAATTACTGATTTGGCAGGTAAAAATGGTAAAGAGACAGAACACGACAATTTCCACTTGGTATATACATGCAGGAGGCCCAGGAATGTGTATTATAAATGTAGCATCTAAGCGGACCTACTTTCAGAAATTTTAAGTGTCTGCATACGCCTGAGCAACGTCGCATGATCACTAAGAGACAGAAGGGGAAGGCAAGAGGGAGCCTGTTGAGACTCAAGGGCCACATCAGGGGCATGCGACCTGTGTTGTCACACATGGACTTAACACCCTGCTGTCACCATCTTGAAATTCTTAATAACTTTTGAACAAGGAACTTAGATTTTCATTCTATACTATGTGGGCCACACAAATTCTGTCGCCAGTAGAAGGCTGTTTGAGAAGAAAGCAGAAGCAGATGGCCTGCTCCGGAGACTTACCGGTAAGCCGGGTGCTCCTGGGTCCCCTCTGTCTCCCTGCAATAATGATGGTACATTGTTTTAGGAGAGGAGTATAACTTCCCTAAAACGTAGATGATGTAACAATGGGAGAAAACACAAGAATTCTTCGGCTTAGTCTAAGTGTGCAGTTTGTTCAGTTTTTCCATGTGGAGACAACTGCAGAAGGGCTGCATAGAGGTGACTTCGTTTTTCTGTCCTTAGACCTTGGATGCTCCTCTGGGCAGGGAGCAGAGAATGACTGCTGGAACCCTGGCACCACAGAGTTAGGACGGAATGATCCCATTTCAGTTCCCAACTATCAGCCCAATGGCACATTTCCTGCAGGTCACCTGTCCTGGCCTTGCTTTTCGGGAGGACCCCAGAGGGGACGTGAAAGGATCTCATGGGGAGAGCCTGTCACCCCTGCTCCAGCCCACATCTAAGGCTTGCTGCTCTACACTGAGACTCAACTTTCTTTAAAGCCTCAAAGGGTATATACTGCCTTGGATTTAGGCTATTTTGAAATGTCAGTTATGCATAAAATAAAATGTAATAGTTCAAGCACTGGGGGTGTATAGGTATCTTTGTGGCACTAAGTACAGCACATTTATTCAGCCATGACCACCCTGATCCCACGATTTCTTCATCTTCCCCTAAGGGAACTCTGTTCCCACTAAATCTGTCTCGCTGGTATCCTTCTCCTTAGTCCCTGACAACCCTCATTCTACTTTCTGTGTCTAGGAATTTGACCACTCTCAGAGCCTCGTATAATTGGTCTCATACGGTATTTGTCCTTCTGTGACTGGCTTATTCCACTTATTTCACATCACATGATATCCTAAAGCCTCATTCATATAGTTGCATGTGTCAGAATTTCTCTCCTTTCCAAGGCTGCCTAATATGTATTTATATGGATAGACTCACAGTTACAAATCTGCTTTTCCATTCATCTGTTAATAGCGACTTGGGCAACTTCCACCCTTTGGCTACTGTCAGTAACACTACAATGAACATGAGTATATAAGTATCTGTTTGAGTCTCCGCTTTCAACTCTTCTAGGTTACATACACAGAAGTGAAACTGCGAGATCATACGGTAATCTTACATTTAATTTTATGGGAATTATTTTCCACAAGAGCTGAACTATTCCCACCAGCAATGTCTGAGGGTCCCAATTCTCCACACAGTTGCCAATCTTTATTAGTTTTCTTATTGTTTCTTACAATAGCCGCCTGAATGACTGTGAAGTGGATATAGCATTGGCCTCAAAGTAATTGATTTGCAGTCCATTTTATTAGAAAGCTTCTATTTCTGAAGATGAACAATTTTCATACCCAAGAGATGGAGGCAGAGGGAGGAAGAGAATGGGGGTAAAAATATGTTTAAAATAACTAAGATGGGTTGTGTACATGCACTAATACATAAGAATTCTCATGCTCGTCTCCCCTTCTATCACACATTTTCTATCGTAATTACAAAAATACTCACCATAACTAATACTGCACAGCACTATACAGTTTACCATGTGCTACAATTACAATTATTATAACACAACGTCTTAACAATTGGAAGGCAAGGTGGATATTACTTTATTTTCCTTTCGCAATTCAGAAAAACGAGGCTCATTTGTGTTAAAGAAGCTGCTTAAGTCACAGTGTAAGTAAGGGCCAGCTCATGCCTTCAGATCACCATTATGGCTCCCAGAATGACTATGTTTTGATGCTATTTATTCGTGTATAATTTCAGGCATGCCCAACTTGCTGCTGGCCATTTTTTGCTCTTTTTTTTTTTTTTTTTTTTTTTTTAGTAAAGAGAAGATGTCTTGGGCTGTATGTAAAATATACGACATGGTTAATGTATCTAAGTAACAAAACTTCCTTTTAAAAATATTTAGGGGGAAATGGCTGGCTATAGCTTGGACACATCTGGAAGTTCCATAGCACTTCCTGTCCAGTACATATGAATGGGGCAGAGGCTGCAAGCAAATCCTCTGATCTCACAGAAGGGATCCACACTCAGGTGTTCCTACTCCAGGGGGCCCAGAAATTAGGGCTTATTAGAAGCAATCTAAGAGTAGCTTTACCTAATGGTTTGTAATATTTTTCCATAAGAAAAATGACCCTGTGTCTTGAAAATGTACTCCCTCTTCCTGATTCAGCATGTCTACTGATCTCTTTTTACTTATCCATGGCTTCTCATATAAGAGATGAGGTGGTTAAATAAGAGCTTATTCCTGAATGTTGTACATAATTCCCTGCTAAAAACATTAAATGTATCCAGGATAGTGCTAGAAGGTTTTCAGATTCGATGGTGGTGACTTTGATTATATTAGAGAGTAAATATTAACACTAGAATACTTTAACTACAAATAAATCAGTGTCCTCACCTGGGGGTGATTTCTGCCCACCCCAGGGGACATTTGGTAGTGTCTGGAAATGTTACTGATGGGCGTAAGAAGACGCTACTGGACCCTAATAGGTCAAGGTCAAAGGTCAGGCAGGCTGCTCAGAATCCTACGATGCTCAGAAGAGCCCCTCAAACCAGATTATTGGGCCCAAAACGTCAATAGTGGCAACCTTGAGCAAATAAATGTATCCTTGCAATTCCAAATGGTTTGTTGGTACCAGAAGCTCATAGACATAGTGAGTAAGAGCAGTGTTTTCATACAAGAAGGACAGTGTCATGTCAGTGTGTCAGTGTTATGGTTTGTGTCTGGATGTCCCCCCAAAGACTCATGCAGTCATGGGATGGGCTTCTAGAGTTTATGATTGATCCAAGGTCCAATGCTGGGGTTATGGGTGGGAGTGCTACACACACCCTGAAGCAGGTAGCTTCCATACAGTACAAGGGAGGGAAAGAGGCTTGCTTCCCCCAGCTGCTCCTCCCTTGTGCTGTCATTGCTTTTGCTGTTTTCCACTGCCATAAACTGTTGCCCTCTGCCATGTGAACTGGCCAAGTATGGACTGAAACCTCCACAAACTGTGAGATAAATAAACCTTTCCTTCCTTAATTTTGCACATCAGGTATTTTGTCCCAGCAATGAGAGAAAAGTAACCGAGACAGAATTTGGTACCAGGAGTGGAGTCATTGCTGTGACTATACTTGACCATGTGGTTCAAGAACCTTTGGAAATGTCTTGTGGGAAGAGTTTGGAAAGGTTCGGAGATGCTACCTGAAAGAGAAGCACTAGAATGCCTTTGGCTGTTCTGTATGGGAGATTCTGGTCAGAGCTTGGAAGACCAGAAGGCTGATAGAAATCCTGCCAGTACAGACCGTGTTTGGGAGGTTTCTACGGAGAGGAGGACTGCATTGGCTGTTGGACTCCAGAGGATGTGTGTTATGGCTTGGTAGAAAGTTTGTCTGCATTTTGCTCATGTCCAGAGACTTTGCCTGAGACTGAGGGTGGCAGACTGATTAATCTGGCAAAAGAAATTTCCAGGCAGTCAAATGTTGGGGCAGTGACATGGCTATTGTTGGGGGCTTTTTGCCAAATTTATGTTGAGAATCAAGAGCAAAGAACCCAGCAGGATGATTTAAAATGTTGTGAGCTTGGCCAAAAAGAAAGGTCCAGTAAAGCTGTGGACTGAAAACATAAAGCTACAGAGATCTCCACTGCTGAGAAAGAATAAGAGAACTGAAAAGATGGCCTGAGGGCATCACAAGAAGCAGCAGGTCACCACCCCTTGCAGCCTCAAAACTGCATAGGTGAAAGACTTTGCTTTGAGGAGGAAGCAGCAGAGTGCCATGTTTCAGAATGGCAGTGGTGTAGAGAATTTTTTTCTCAGAATTGAATTTAGAGTGCCCAGCAATCCAGGCACTCACCCCTAGGGCCAAGAGAAAAAAAAGCCTGGCTACTGTTTTAGCTGGCAGTAGACCTTTGCATCATCCATGTGGCACTGGTTTTAGATGCACGCAGAATGCAAGAGTTCTGAGGTTAAACAGGCTTCCACCTCGATTTCAGAACAAGGCCTAAGAGGCCAGGCAGTGTGCCCCTGAGAGAGCAGTGTGTGAAGCTGTGAGTGTGAAGTGAAAGGTGTAGTGGATACTGGAGAAGTTTGGAAAAGCCAGGAACATGGATTGTCTGAGGAAAGCTGCAAGGAGGGAGCAAAGTGGGCCTAAGAAAGAAGCCACGGAAGCAGTAACCACGAGAAGTGCCATAGGGGTACAGTCACTCAAGCCCTTTGGAGCTCACAATGTGTCACAGATTGCTTTGCTTCAGATGCTGGATTATGGAACCACAGGACTTAATGTTTGCCCTGCTGGATGCTGGACTGGCTGTGGTCCCAATGTTTTCTATCTTCCTGTTTGTATCTTTTGAAATGATATTGTTTGTCTTGTGCCACTGAATGTTGGAAGTGTTTAACTTTTCATTCGTACAGGGGCTCACAGCTAAGAGTTTGCCTTAAATCTTGGAGGAGACTTCGGATTTGGGCTATTCAACAATGCTGAAACAGTTAGGACTTTGTCAACTCTTAGAGATAGGCTAAAATATCTTTTGCATAAAGGGATGTACATGAGTCTTTGGGGTGGCCAGGGGTGGAATGTTATGGTTTGTGTCTGGATGCCCCCCAAAGCCTCATGCAGTCATGGGATGGGCTTCTAGAGTTTATGATTGATCCAAAGTCCAATGCTGAGATTGTGGGTGGGAGTGCTACACACACCCTGAGGCAGGTAACTTCCATACAATACAAGGGAGGGAAAGAGGCTTGCTTCCCCCAGCTGCTCCTCCCTTTTGCTGTTGTTGCTTTTGCTGTTTTCCACTGCCATGAACTGTTGCCCTCTGCCACGTGCCACTCTGCCTTGGAGCCAGCCAAGTATGGACTGAAACCTAGACAAACTGTGAGCTAAATAAACCTTTCCTCTCTTAATTTTGAGGGTCAAGTATTTTGCCCCAGCAACGAGAGAAAAGGAACTGAGACTGTCAGGGTAATATTTAAAGGAAAATCAGTGTACTCAGTGACACTCCTCAGAAAATCCCTGTCCTATGCTTGCTGCATGGCTCAACAACTGGAAAGAAAATAAACCTACCAAGATCACTATACTTACTCGAATACCTTTAATGCCACCTGAAATGAACACTGAATTTCCTTTTTCTCCTTTTTCTCCAGGAAGACCCTGAAAATAAAATAATCAGTTAAGAGGAAAAAGTACACTACAATTTCAGTGTTTTCTATATAAAGGAAATTCCTCAATGGACTCTCCCTCCCAAAGTGTTCTGAACATAACAACTTTGTAGTCTACTTAATATCCTGACATAGCTTAACTTAGTTGCCACACAGAAATTCTACTACTCAATATGTTATGATCCTAAAAAGAGCACACAAATTTCAAAGCTGATCACACCTCATTGTCTGATTCCACTTCCTGTGGGAGAAACTTGATGGTTTTACGGTGACTTATATCAGCATTTTGCTTGAGAAGTCATATTTGCCTACACAGGCAGTCCTGGCTTTGTACAGTTCCAGTCTGCATGAATTTCAGTTCCACAATTAAAGAACACCAGTCCAATACTATGGTTCAATTTTCAGTTACATTTGTAACTGAAATTAGTTGAGGGATTGCATGTAGTACAAAATGTACTTCTACCTGGTCAGTTCACAAATCAACAAATAATTATAATTGATCAGTTGTGATCACTGACCAATCAATGTACATCAATTATATATGAGTGGGCACATACACATACGCATATACACACATGTGCACAGCAAAACACATAGGTGTGCTGTGTCCTTACTTCCAAGTGGTAAATCCACATGATATTTTACAAAAATGGACAGATAAAAGAGGGAACTGGCCAACAAAAGCAAAAGCAAAACAAGCAAATGAAAAATTGCAGTGTTGGAAATGAAATTCAAATAGAATATAAGTGGAGTTACACAAGAAACAGCTGGCTGTGGGAATGTGGGCACTGCAGTCATTCAAGAAATGCCGGCCACCAAATGAACGCAAGAGTGATGAACTTATCAACATAAAGTAGGGAAGAGATTGTGATGAAAAGAATGACAATGTGCCTTGGAGAAAATGACACAAGCAAAAACTGCACGCTAAAGGAACTCGGGAGATATTTCACAACACTGAAAACAGTCCAGCTGAGAAAGAAGTATGACATTTTTGCCAAGGCGTAGAAACACATTCATTCCTTACCATGAAATACACGATGACAAGACCAGCACTGTTCAAACTATGCTTGGTGGGTATTTACAACGAAGTGAAACGCTTTGATTCTCAGTGTTTTGAATTTCAGTTTACTAAATAAGTATTAGTTTTAATTTTTATTTGTCTCTATATTTAAAAGTGACAATGAGAGAATTATTAAGGTGTCAACAGAACATCTTAAATAGTATTTTTACTATTTAAAAAACAATAGTCGCTCAGGTTGCGTAAGTCGATTGGGTGGCTTCATCTTGCAGGGCTCTTTTCACATTACTGTACAAATGAGGGCTGCTTCTATGTCAAAGAAGGCAAGCGAAAGAGAGCTGCTCTGCACAAGACCATCAAGACAAACGTCAGCAGTGTGGTCAGTGCGATATACGGTGCTAAAGCTATAGTTGAGGACGTGGGCTCTCTTGAATGTGCGCAATTCTGTAGAATGGGATTTGGTCCCATTTGAAGAGCTTAAGAAATGTGCATTCACCAGTCTGCAAGGACCCTCAAATTCTAGTCCTGCCCGCCTCTCCATCCACAGCCCCAGAGATCCTCGCTGAGTCACCACTCTCATTAACTGCTTCTCCCACACACCGAGCCTGTTCCTACCTTAGGGCCTTTTCACTAAGGATTTCTACAAGCTTCAGGTCTGGGCTTCTTACCAGGGGGCCTCTTGGGCCAGGAGCTCCTCTCTCCCCTGGAAATCCTGGATCTCCTCTTGAGCCATTGTAACCATCCCTGCCAGGTTTGCCTCTGGACCCAGGAGGCCCCGGGTAACCCTACCGAAAACAAAACTGTAAGTGAAGAATTTTTGCAAGAATATCACAACATAAAGGTTATGCAATATAATCTCAAATTGTGACTCACATATTGTTTAATTTTGTAAAGCTTCCCTCACCGCCCAAGAGTGCTACATTGCATAGTAAAACTAAAAATAAATTTTAATGCACTTAAATTTAAATTAATGTAGTTTTAGAATATTCTGGGAGATTTGGTTTTATTTATTTATTTATTTTGGTGCAAGGAATCAAACTCATGGCCTTGCACTTGCCAGACAGGTGCTGTGCTGCTGAGCTATATCCCCAGTCCGAATTCTGGGAGATTTGGGAAGGAAACCCTCTCTGAGATCATTAGAAAGAGTCCAGTGAATTGTAAAGCTTCCAAAATACCTCTTCTTTCTTCCATTCGATTTTCATATTAGAAATGAGTCTTAAGTATACTTACTTCCAATACTAGGACTCATCAGGAAATAAAACTTTCATTAGGAGTCTACATTTACTTCCAGAACATTGTACTTAATGTCACAAGTGTACATAACAGTTTTTTTTTTTCCTCTACTCTGATCAAAAACCTTGTTCTTCAGGAAAATCTGTTAGTTTTAGAGTTATTGTACAAAGCTGAAATGCAAACACCCTTATATACACTGGTATAAAAATTTAAAAAGTTGGCCCAATATTTATGCTTTTTGAACGTGTGGTTTTAAAGATTCTGATGAGTACATCTCCTTTCTTTAAAAAAAAATGAAGAAAATTTAGAGAAACTTACAGGTATACCATCCAAACCCGGAAATCCAGGAATACCAGTTGGACCCTAAAATCCCAGAAAATAAAACAATGATATAAAAATTGCTAAACTAGTAGATTAACAAGTTGATTTACTTGAAAACAGGAAATGCTAATGACTGATATTAAGGATACTCATCAGCCACTGTCACCTACTTTTATTTTGATGAGTTTAAATAACAACAGCTTTTGTACTTCTATGTGTATTTAGAGAATGTTGACAGTACTAACTCAAATAAAATATTCAACATGGTGGAAGTCAGAAATTCTACTTCTGAAAGTCTATCATACAGTAACAAACTCTTACATGTGAGCAACAATAATTTACAGGATTATTTCTGTGCACTGGCATGACACAAAGTTGGGGTAGAAACTCAGACCCTCACTGCCAGGAAATAAATGATGGCTTTATCCCTAATATGGTACATTATGCAGTATATTAAAGGAATAAATTCAATCTATGAAAATTAACATAAAATAATCTCTAAGACATACTACTGAGTGAAAACTGAAGGGCTTATAATGACACACACAATATATTACTTAGTTTTTTTCATTCAATTGGTTGGTTGGGTGTTTTAGCCATCAAACAATTCAGCGCTTCAGTGGTACATTTAAATGTATAAAAAAGTTGAGAAGGGCAGGCTTCTCTGGAAAGGGGTGGAGAGTGAGAACTAATAATCACAGAGGAACACAGCTTTATTCCGTGACGAGATGCAAGTTTGCCCCGGCTGTGATTGTTACCCCCGGCAGAATAGCGCCGCTGAGAGGTTCATGTGGCTCTCTCACTGATAAAGCAGCTCACCTTGTCTCCTTTCTCCCCTGCGGCCCCAGGAGGGCCACGGTCACCTCTCAGGCCTTTCTCTCCTGAAATCCCAATGGGTCCCGGGGCTCCTAGAGGGCCTATGGGGCCCTGCAGCCCTAGTAGTCCTGGTTGACCCTGAAAAAGAAAGGTGTGAGGGGAACAGTTCAGTGTCTTCTGGCACAAGCACATGGTCACTTCGATCCACAGAAGGCTGAAAAGTTAGATTCGAGAACACTCTAGTCATAGAAACACAAACGTCTGATTTCATACACTAAAAAGAAACTTTTTTACTGCCTTTTCCACTCTGAATATAAGCTGTATGATGAGGTCACATTACTGCATACGTGTACATGTGCAGTGTGTGTGTTCACAGAAACATTTATAGAAGCAGATTATAATTCTGCTACTATTTTCATTCGGTCAGCTCCGTTTGTAAATGTTGGGCTATTTCATGAAGTGCAGAATTAAAAATGTCAAAGTCTTATTACCTTTATGTAAGTGACAGAAGTTTAGAGTGATGGGAAAACTGTGAGATCTTCATGTGCATCCATGAATAAAAATGTGGCCTCTTGTTTTAGGTGGAAGTTTCACGAGCTCAGTGCTCACCCTGAGGTCCCAAAAATGGGACCTTGAGGCCCAGCGCTGATGATCTCCCTCCCCCTTTCTCCTCCTGCTCTCCTTGCATTGGGGAGGACCAAGTCCCTGCGCACTGACGCTCAGGCCCAGCGACACCGTCACAGGCAGCCGAAGGTCGCACAGCGTCCTTGGCCTCACGACTCGGCTCTCTTGTGTCCTTTACTCCCATGTCCCTCCGACCTCAGTCCTTACACACAGGATCCCTACTTTCAGTGCCCTCCCTGGATTCCAACACCCTCTTATACGTCTCAGCCTGGACATTTCAAAATTCCAGACCTCCACATCCGGCTACCTCCTTGACATTTCCCTGGAGCCAGTGCTACCTCCAGTTTAAAAAATAAAAGAGCCAAAAATTCAAAATGAACTCTTTAACCCCACCCCATGCCCTCCTCTGCCCCCTATCTGACCCTCCTCCTATCCTCCCCATCTGTTCAGCCTGGAAGTCAGCCTGGATAGTCTGTCAGTATAATCCCTGCTCAACGGATTGTTTCTACTTTTCAGATCGATCTGAAATTCACCTGCGTCCGCGTCTCCACTGCATCTGCTCTGGCTTCCTGAGGGGCGCTCCCGCTTCCTCTTACCCACCCCAAGCCCCTGTCTGCAGAGCACTGAGTGACCTTGAAGCAGAAATCAGTTCACGGCCCTGGCCTGCTTTTAAAAACCCTTCCTGACTTCCTGAAAACAATTAGCATAAAGCCCTGCTCCCTACCTTTTGGGCCTTACAGATTCCCCGGCCTCAACATGCTGCCCTCACGAACCGTCCCCAGCCACATGGCCCCTCCTGCCCCAGTGCCTTGGCACGCTCCTTCCCTCTGAACAGCTCTTCTCCATGACATTCACCCAATGTGGACCCTGGTGACAGCTCCTCAGAAGCCTCCTTAACTCCCGGTGCAGCGGGACGCCAGACTCCACTGCAGCTGCCTGTCCGTCTTCTCAGCACCAGCACTTCCGATCTTTAAATCCTGCGTGTGTCCATTAATGTACTGTTTCCCTCTCCAACGCGATAGAAGTACATGACTAAGAGGACAGGGATGTGGTCACAGCTTGCTGTGGAAATTCTTCCACATAAGTAAGGAATGGTGGACAGGCAGTGACAACCACCTCCACACCTTCCAATTGGGCCCTGTAGGGTTAGGATGGTGATTTTCAAATGCTGAAAATGCCAATTCCATCAAAATGTGATCCTCTTGATTTACATAAACTCATTTTATGTATTCTTTTTAAAAACTTTTCATAAATAATCAATGTATGGACACAAAGAAACTATTTTATTTAAATGACCTCAAAAATCCACAATCAGGCTTTCCAACTTGCGTCTAGAAGCAATGTGAGCTGAGAGCGTCTTTGATTCACGTGATACTTTTAATAACTCGCTTTGTCGTTTTAGGGTGAGGCCCTTACATTAGGTAAAGGCTGTTTATAACAGGGCTATCACACAGGCATGGCTTTTTGGCTCCACCTCATGCACCCCGTCTCCCATGCGTTAGGCTGGGCGGTCCCGCACATGTCCGAGTGCGCGCGTGCGTGCCGTGTCTCATCACAGTTTGAAGACGCTTCCACCGTTCATTTGGCTTCAGTCTTTTGTCCTTGAAATTTTTCTAAAGATTTTTTAAAAATTGTTTTATATTCCCTCTTCCCCTAAAGAACATGGCTAATTGCATTCAGTCAGTAAATAAGTCTTGCTATAGAGACAGATAAGCTTGCTGGATTCAGACGTTCACTTAAACATCTACAGCAGAATAAGACTGCCCCCTTGAGTAGGGGGGGCGAGGGCAAAATAATTCCTGCAGAGTCCCACCTAAATAAAAAATGGAGTCACCCCAAATCGGTGAATGATTTCAGTGAATAGGATGTTTGTATGTGTTTTTTTGTTTTTGTTTTTGTTTTCCGGTATCTGGAATCGAACTCATGACCTTGCGCTTGCCAGGCAGGCGCTATGCCACTGAGCTAAATCTCCAGCCCCTTCAGTGAATAGGATGAATGGTCCATCCATTCTGGCCATTCATTACCACATGGTCAGATACAGGAAATACTCTGTGCTCGCAGCTGGGTGTGATCTGTTTACCAGCCACTCTCCGAGACCTGGGCATGACCTCAGGCCCATCTAGTCTATCAATCTGAAAGCCAAGGGATCACATGGCCAACTCCACATTGGAAAGCACCCTGAGAAGAAGAAATGATTACTTGGAACTGGTCCATATTTGGAGGGTCACCTTAAATAGTGCTACTGGCCTTAGCCAGGCCCAGATGTGCACAGAGAGATGGGGTGAGCCCTGGAGGCACGGAGTCTGGGTCAGGACCCCATAACAATATCGTGGAATTATTTTCCAGAATATTCTTTGCAACTTCCCAGAAAACTTGGAGTCCTGTGAAAATCTACCAGCCTGAGACTGAGTGAATAAATTACAGTATTATCATACAGTGGGTACCACATACCCTGTCCCATCTGGGAGCCCCAGAGGCAATGTGGGAGGCAAGAAGTCAATGCAGGAGGTAGGTAAGGAACAGAGGTAGACACTGGAAAGGAAGGCAGTCAAGAAGGTGTGACAACCAGTTACCACCATGGGCAACAGGATCTTGACACTGAGGGGATTTTGAGAGTCAGTGTGGAACACATATGCCAGGGTTACACTGGACAGGGCAAGGAGTCAGTGCATTCCCTCCACGGGCTGAGGACCACTGGTGGTGGGCAGGATGTCTTGGGCTTTGGGGTCTTTGACAAAGTCCTCAGATAAAGAGATGCAGATATAGGCAGTTGATGTCCAAAAAGCAATGGTCCAAGGAGAACGCAAAGGTCACTCATGACATTTGAAGCTAGCCATTCAAGAGAGCAAAAAGATTGGTCTAGGCTGATGTAGCACATCCTCACGATGATCATGAGGAAGGACGAGTGCTTGGTGGTCCAGGCTCTGTCATCAGGCCCCTGTGCTTAAAGCGCAAGCCTGTCGCATGAACCTGAGTCTCTTCTCTCCTTCCTTTTTTCATTCTTTCCTTCCTCATCACCCCCCCACACACCCCTGGTGCTGAGGATCCATCCTAGGGCTGTACCCTTTGCACAGGCTATGCAAGTGCTCTACCCCCGAGCTGTGTCCTTACCCAGGTCTGTGTCTTAATCTCACTGGTCCTCAGCATCTTCATCCGTCAGTGGCTCATGAACATACAGGATCATGCATGCGAAGCTGTTTAAGAAACTGCCTGTCTAAATGAATGCTAACTATTATTATTATTATAAGTGGGTAATTATTAAGTGAGGAAAACAAGCCAAGGAATAGTATGTCATCTGATCTTACCTGCAATGAAACAGAAGAGCATCTTCCCTGAACACGTGTTTATAAGAGAAGACTTCAGGAAGGATATACCAGAAATGGCATGAGTAGGACATGCACACCTTCTATTCTTATGTGCTTCTTACAATCATCAAATCTAAAGACTAATTACTATTTCCCTTCCACCATTAAGTCACTGACTCATCAAAGACTGACAGCCTTTAACATCTGCCTGTATTTCACGAGTCAAAATTGTACTTTTCTGTATTTTCCCTTTCCTTCATACTCTTTCAACCTCATCATAATGGCTACTGTTTATTGACTCTTCATAAAAGTGCCAAAATCTTAGAATTTCAAAGGAGGCTTAAATATACAAATATGTGTTACAAAAGAGACAATAATCAGATTATGAAATAGAATTAGGCAGGTGTAAACCACCTGGAGTATTCTGAGAGCAGATCAATATACAATGGGTACTACAGAAATTCTAAACTACAATATAAAAGTAAGAATAACAATTATTCCAAATGACCTTTTCTAACCTATGTTTATTAATCATAACTTCTAAGATTAATGTTACTTTAAGATTAATTAACATATGTTTAAAAGCTCCCTTTATTTTTAAATGCAAGAGTTAGAAAATAACTGCTCCTTCATTAAGTTTGAGAATTATCTTTCCATCTTGCATGTAATTTATACATAAGCTCCCCCAAATTGTCTTCTATGAATGCATACTTTAGAACAATTTGTTATTTAGACACATAACAAAATGCATGCTTGAATATAAAGGAAAACTGAGAAAGAGACAACCGATTAACTGGCTATAAATCTCTGTAATGTGTTTGGTTTTAGACATACAATTCTGAAACCAATGAATGGAACTGATAGCGAGGAACTTCGCAGAGGGAAAAAAAGTAATAGCAATGTTTAACATGGTGCTAAGCATAAAACTCCATTTAGTACAGTATAGAAATGTGTCCTGATTTGAGAACATGCCATAAAAAATACTGTTAAAAAAGGTAAAATAGGAAATAGTTATTTGCATTATTGAGGATTCTGATCCCTCTGCTTTTGTTCTGATCGCCCCTCCTCCCCTGCCCCTAAATGCCACAGATTTCTTAGCGGGTTCTGTTGATTCACTGCCTTTGCACACACTGTCCTGCCTCAAGAGGGCGCCCCTCCCCACCCTAGCTGACTACAACTCAAAACTCCCACAGCAAGATTGTCCTGTCC